CTACTATCTTTACTAAAGATATAGTATCTCTATATCTTAATAACCAGCCTATTATAGCTAGATATAAAACTAATAACCTTTATCATATTCCACTTACTATATTCTATCCTAAAGAATATATTAATGCCTGCCTAGATAATTCAGAATTATCTAAATTTAGGAAATGGCATATAAGGCTAGGGCATATAAATGCTATTCCCCTAGGATTACTATTAAGTAATATGGGAATAAATATATCTAAGCATGACTTAGAAGATTTTAAAAGTAATCCATGCCCTACCTATATCCTTGCTAAGGATAAAAGGTATATTAATAAAGAATCCCTTAATAAAAAGGAATATAACATCCTAGAAAGGATCTATAGTGATATAGGAGGCCCCTTATCACCTACCTATAATAAATATAGGTACTATATAACCTTCCTAGATAAGAATTCTAGGTATTTATGGTTATTCCTGCTAAGGCATAAAGATGAAGCTTTTTAGACCTTTATAAATTATATTAAATAAGCAGAGAATAATAATAATAAGAAGAGAATAAGAGAATTCTTTTCTAATAATAGATCTGAATATACCAGTAAATCCTTTCAAAAGGCATTAAATAACTATAGTATTATTCACTATACTACCCCTATCTATACTAAAGAGCCTAATGGCTTAATAGAAAGGATTAACCTAACTTTATTAAATAAAGTTAGATCCCTTCTGATAATAGCAAATGCTCCTAAATACCTATGGGGTGAAGCACTACTAGCTAGTGTTTATCTATATAATAAAACCCCCCATAAGGCCTTAGGATTCAAAACCCCTTATGAAATATTCTATAAGGAAAAGCCATATATTCTAAATATTAGAACCTAGGGATCTATAACATACTATCATAGTAATATGCCTAAGGATAAATTATCCCCTAGAAAGGAGAAAGTAATTATTATTAGCTATAGCTAATATAATTACTATAAACTATAGGATCTAAATAAAAATAAGGCTATATGGTCTAGGGATGTTACTATCCTTAAGAATAGTTTTCTAGACCCTAAGCTAAATCAAAATACCTCTATATCTAAGGATTCTAATCAATATGATTATATTGATATAAAGGCTGATAGTAGCCTTATAAAGGAGTCTAGCTTAGCTACCCCTAATAAGAATAATAATTCTATTAGGGAGTCTACAGTAGCTAGCCCTAATCAAAATAGACCATTAACTAGGTCTAAAATAAAGGATATATCAACTATTCCTAATCATAGGATTGAAATTCAAAAGTAGCTTAAATATAGTCCTAGTAGGTAACTTCTTCTAATTACCTCTAGTTATGCAGTAGCTACTATTTACATCTAGGAGACTCTCCTCTCCTAAGAAGATCCAGGCATGCATGTTCTATTATGCTTTTAGTATAACTATTAAGCTAAATATAGTCTATTATTAAGAGGCTGGCACTAATAAGGCTATCTATTTCTAATATACTCTAGACTATCTCTATAAAGATTATATTACTTAAGATAACTAGGAATTACTATCTATATATGTCCTTACTTAATGCCTAGGGGAATTTACTTAATTCTATAATATTATTTAGATATATCCTATAAAAGAGAATGTGCATGCTTATAACTATAATAAGCTAAGAGACTCTAGTCATCCTGTGCTTAGTATTAAAGCTATATATACTAGTMTCTATGCAGAGACTATCTCTATAGATATAGGAGGAAACCTATATAGAGAGTTACTACTTTCCCTTAGCTATTAGGTTATACTAACTAAGAATATATAGACTAAATATAGCTTAGTAAACAGTGCCTTTAGTACTATCTATGATATTATATAGATAGAGGGATTAGACCTAAAGTAGGAACTACTATATATACTGCTTATCTACTTTAACTAATATAATAGGCCTGCTTATTAAGAACTTAATAGCTATAAGATTATACTAGTCTTCTAGTCTAAGAGAGAATTTACTAGGGGAAATATCTCCTATATATAGATATAGTTCCCTATTATAGTGGCTTATGCTATAACTATCTATAAATTATAAGGGATTACTATCTCTTAGGCTATTCTTAATATATCTACTTAGGATTTTAGTCTAGGCCTGACCTATATAGTGGTTTCTAGAGTTAAGTCCCTCTGGGGCATCCTCTTTGAGGAACTATTTAATTTTAAATAGTTTAAGCCTAGAATGCTGGATATAATATAGATGTAGATATAGGATATTAAGTATTAAGAGATAGAGTATATATGCCTTTCTATATCCCTGATTCCTATATAAAGATCTAATCAGAGCCTTCTAATTATAGTATAGTTATATCCCTCCTCCTAGTTCACCTCTACTATATAATTATATACTAAATTTCCCTAGTTCTCCTCTATAGATATTCTCCTCTCCCCTCCCTATCTAGCTATTACCCTTCTATTATTCTTTTACCACTATGGAGTGGTCTATTTTTAATACTCTATAGATACTAGATTATCTTAGCTTCATCATGGTTGTGTTTATATAGCTAAATAGATTAGAATAGTATATAATACTTAGGTGAATAGCTACTACACAGGCATCCTCTGTATCTAGATTCCTTTATTTTTCTATAGATACATCACCCTGCTATGCCTTAGTAATATATCCAGGCATAATTAGGCCAGGGACTATCACCAGCCAGGTACCTCTATAGAAAATATTAATATCTGGAGGCCTCTGGTTCAAACCCAGCCAGACCTATTTAGAAAAAATCTTTTTCTGTTCTAGAGCTAGATCCCTCTGTGCTAAGCCTCCCCCCTAGGTACATCGCTTACCATACAAAAAAGTATAGATATCTATGTACCTTTAAGAGGTGTTATATTAGTATATCAGGTCATTATGGGTGTGTAACGCCTAGGCGTGCTAGCAAGGGTTTATTTAATTATTCACTAGGTATCTAGATATCTTGCACAGGCTTTACCAACTGGACCACCTGGTAATTAGTTGAAATTTGAAGCTTCTTAGTTAAATATCTGCCTCCCACTTCGCTCCGCTGCCTTAGGCGGTTCCTGCCGGCTACACCTTGTATAGTATAGCTCTAGGATATATTAACTAGTAACCCATAGCAGACTCTTAAGGGCTATTCAGGCTTTGTTTAGTCAGTAGCCTTCTTACCTAATAGGTAGCTGCTGGTATCTAGCTCTAGTAATAACACAGTATAGCTCTGGGATATATTAACTAGTGGGCCAAGGGCCCCCCTGGGGGGAATGGTAAGGTTAAAATGGTTAAAATTCGCGGTTTAACCAACCTGAAACCAACCCGAATCTAACCATGGTTAGTAAAGATAGGCATAGCTAGGCCTAGCTAGGCCTAGCAGTGGGTTTTTACAGTGAATCTGTAACTAAATCACACCAGGTTTGATTTGGTTATAAGTTCTAAAATTTCAACCTAAAACCACAGTAGTTCAGTGCCACCTAAGGTTGAACTCACCCAAACCTGCACCAAATGCAACTCTAGTAAAGATACTTATTTATATTTTTATAGAAGCTTAACTCTATAATAGTACTAGCTCTAGCCCCTAAGCCTATAAAAAGTATAAGACTACTTCTAGTTTATATCTATGCCTACTTATATATATAGTTATAAGGATTATCTAATTTATCTCTAAATAAATAGTAAAGTAAGTATTTAATATCCTTAGCTATTACTAAGAAAACCTTATATAGTTTTATTAGAAGTTCCTATTTTTTAGTTAAATTATTTTTAATAAACTAAATATTTATTAGTATCTAGATTATTATAATAAAATAGCCTTCCTAAAGGGGCTATATATTAAGGATATCTTCTTTTATCTATCTAAAGAGAGTCTAAGAGGTCTTATACTTCTATTTTAAGATAAAACTAGTAAAATTATAGCAGGCTATCTTCTAATATAGTAATCCTCTTTTTTATATAATAATAAATTCTTCTGCAAAGAGTTTAAGGATTTATAAGAAGGGATTAGGTTTATTCTTAGAGAAATTTTATTATACTTTTATTATAGGAAAGTCTCTATCTATAACTAGTATTAGTGTAATAGTTTTTAATATTAAATTTAAAATAGTAGTAATAACTTATACTACCTAATTAAATACTACTTAGTTATACTTTTTATTAGTACCTAGTAGCCTAGTACTAGTCTTAGATAATAAATAATATTCTCCTTCTATTCCTACTAAAGTTAATAGTTAAGAGTAAAACTATATAACTTAATAAATTTTTACTACTCTCTAACTACTTTCTCTAGATACTCTTTATTAATTTCTAAAAATATAGTTATATAATATTATATATAGGTGTAAAGCTTAGGGGTGCTAGTAGATAATTTAGTAAAGATTAAATAAGATAGGAATTAAAAAACTTTATTTTAAATAATAAGGCTCTTAGCCTATTTAATAGTAGCTAGATTAGTAGTATAGTATATATTTTACTTAGTAAAGGTGTCCTTTCTTACTATTTATAAACCCTTATTACTACGTCTTATTACTACTTATAAGCTATTTTCTAAAGTAGTAATAAGAAGTAATAAAGTCCTTACTTATATTACTAGTACCTATGCTAAAATTATATAGTTACTTTTTTAGGGGAGGAAGGCTTTTTAAGAATTTACTACATTTAATATATAGCTTAAGTATAGCTAAGCAGATGGGAAGCCCTGTTCTCCACACCCTATGGTTGTATATGCTAGAAATAGAAGAGTTAGGGATGATATGTGATCCAAATCAATAAAAATCTTTATGATAGTTGCGTTATCATCTAGATGGGAGTAGAGCTGCCTCTTGCACACTGTGGTAGTGGCGTTGTAGTCGTACCAGCAACTCCTTTCTGCGTCCATAGAGTGCCATACCAAGAGTGGAAGGAAGCCGAAACACATTAATATGGTCTATAGAGCTTAAAATTATGTACTAGGGTGTAGTAAGAAGGTCATATAAGCTATAGTTTAGGGGTCATTGACGGCATTGCATTTTGCTGATAGAATCCTTGTTAAATTCCTGTGCTAGATGTCACACCTCAGTTGAGTTAAGTTGAGTGGTTGTGGTATTCCTCTCATGAGGAGCCCATACATCAGGACGATTCTTCATCTGGCTTTCTCTCGCAGAAATATATGAATTCCAGATATCCAGAACCTTCTGGTAGGTCACAGAAGTGGCATGTGCTTTCAGTCCACTCTCACAGAATTCAATATCATCTCGCACTCTCTTGAGGCTATCAGCGTACTGGAGCAACCGCATAGGTTGCCCCTGCCCCTTGACCAGGGACAGCACACCGGTGATGAGTACAGTGACGGCGCCTAGGACTGCAACAACAATATGGTGATCTCCGCTGATTGCGGACAGAATCACCAGAGTCGAGGATACTGCTAGCTGAAGAGCCAGGCATGCATATATAAGTATATCAAAAGCATATAGCTGTCGCAATGCCGTTTTCTCTTCCCTGAGGATCTTTGGGTACATAGCCATGGTATCTTGCAGCTCACGATAGTCTGTTTGCATCCACCTTGGCACCCAGGAGCACATTCTTTTTGGGGTTGTACTACCTCTGGCTGTACTGCCGTCGGTCCCTAACAGGGCCTGGAAATCAGGCAGACTAAGAGGTGTGCCATCGTCTGGCTCTACCGCTGGCAGTGATGACGTGATGGGATGGCTAATGTGCTCCATAGTGACAGGTGGTTGAGCATTGACAGAGCTCATATTGAAAGGGAGATAGTGGCTGGGAGATAGTGACCTTAACAGTCTTGCCTAAAAGAAGTACTGGTTGGAAAGCCTGGAAATCTGCATTCCATACACAGCAGTAAACTGATTCTTCCTATTAAATAGGAAAAGGAATTAATCGATTAGATTTAGGACAAGGACTAACCTTAAATAAAATACCTATTCCTTGCTTGCCATAAAGATTATGAAGCCACTACTACAGCATAGGCTTGTTAGAGAATTTCGAAAACCTTATTATTCCCTCTTGCTCTACTCTCATAGCCCTCAGGTAATCTGAGGGACATCTAGGTGATAGATGTAGAACGTCACATTAACATCGCAATATGTACATATGAGTGACGTGATTCTCTCCCCTCCTCCTAGTGCTGCCTATGCGGCCGAGTAGGGGTGATACAGCTATCCGCTTGCGGTGATTAATGTATTACAGATTCCATGGTTATCTTCTCTTACGGCGTATGGTCTGTTGGAGCCAACTACCTTAGTAGCACTTAATGTTAATAGAGTTGGATGATTGGATCTAGCTTTAAGGTTTATTTCTCTCATTTGCGACGTGTGGTTGGTCAATTAACTCATGTTAGGTTAGAGTTCATCACGTGGTCAGACATTCCGTAGGGCCTAGGCCAAGCTGATGTTCTCACCTCCTCTCTGAGTAGCCTGGATTGTGAGCATAGCCAACCCACCGCAGTAAAGTTGGAGCAATACAGCAGTAAAAGGACATGACTGGCCTGTCCAGTGGACTCAAGGTGGAGGTAATTAAAGGTAGCCGGCTGCAGATCCTTATTCTGCCACCACTTGCTACCACTGGAACCCAGTTACTTGGGCAGGCGGCGGACGGCGCGGGCTCTGGCTAATAACGAAGATTTGTGCGAGGCCTAAGCGAAACACACCAGCTTAAGTAATTGACAGTATGGCCGCCTAGGTGGACACATCAGCCCTAGATAGTGATTATTAATAAACTAAGGATGATAAACGAGGACTTTGTCTGCAAGAATGCTTTTGTAGCATGCTTACTTTGCTTAGTGTTGAATCAGCATTATCAGCCAAAGAGTTTCAATTAAGCAAACAATGAATCTGGTAGGTCAGTAGAGATCAGATACATATAAATATTCAGATGATTAGCGTTATTTGGGGCAAACCATTCCCGCGAGCTAGCATCAGATTTACGCCCTATATTAGAGATAGTTGTTGTAGGGTCACCTGACTCCTACGGTTAGTCAGCCCACAGCTTAGCGAGCTGCCCCTATTCCGTGCATAGTTCGGCTTCCTAGCTAGGGAATCCAACCATCTCAACCATCTCCATGCTACCACTACGTCGATAGTCATTGGATTGCAGGTGTAGGCTATAGCAACTAGATTAAAGGAAGCTGCTCCTTCTAAATGCTTGAGCCAAGGTCAATAGTTAACGTACTGTATTTAATCAGGTTCTTGTTTCTGACGATCTCAACTTTAAAACCAAAAGAGGACTAGCGCATCGTCTGTGCCCAATCAGGCGATGACATCATCAGCTGCTTCCACCTTGCTCTCTCTCTCATCTTCCTCTCTCTCTCTCTCCCCTGTCTTCCTATCTCTCTCTCTCGCGCTCAGTGTCTTATCTCTTGTGGACATCGCTCCCTATAGTTATCCATGCTATAAGAAGTACAGTCGGGCCATTCAAAGTACCCAACATGGGATGCAGTTGATATCATCAGACATTCTTCCCTCTGCATTCGTTATCTTCGCCCCTTAGGCTCAACCGCGGACCGCCCAACCTCGGTTCCGGTTCCCGATATACACCCCAAACACAACGACTCTGAATATCGCAACCTTTTATCTACCGCTAGTCACGTCATGACATTGAATACGGTCGCATTGGGTGTTTCCCTTACGCCTACCGTCGTCGCGACCTTGGTCTCTCATGTAGGTATCGCACAGCACCTTCTCCACCGTTCACTGACAGCCTGAGTTGATAGTATCTGCATCGGAAATCCCGTCGCACCAAACCCACCGTCCACATCTCCTACGACGAGGCAATCCATGTCATTCGTCAATTCCTCAACTATGCTGCCAAACACACGGTTGAGGATATCCAGGCGTTCACAGCTCAACGAGTTCCCGCCCCTCATTGGGTAAAGACAACCAAGGTCCTCATTCCAGAGCAGTACCTCTCCTCTGCTGCGACCGCTCTTATCAACCAGCTTGGTCCCAAAGGTATAGCGCTCGTGGGGGGAGAGAAATGGTGGCAATGGCGTGGACCGTCGGAAGATCTCAAAGGAGAGTGGATCGAGATGAAGTCGGACTACCAGGAGAGGAACCGCTCAAACAACCATCCGAGCGGGAAGCGCATCATGTTGTATCTCCACGGCGGTGCCTACTTTTTTGGAAGTGTGGAGACCCATCGGTATCAATTGCAGCGTCATGCTAGAAAGCTCAAGGGACGAGTATTTGCACGGTACGACGGACGGCCCCTCTTCTATTTAACAATATGCTAATTGCGTAGTGAGTTACGCCCAGTCACAGAAGGTAGAATACACAGCTAAAACCTACGAATAGCGGAATATCGTCTGGCACCGCAGTTTCCCTTTCCCTGCGCCCTACAGGACTGCTTGGCAGCTTATTTGTTCCTTCTCAACGAACATGATCCGACAGAGATCATCTTTGCGGGAGACTCCGCAGGTGGTGGAATGGTCCTTTCGTAAGTGCCATACCTATTGCTCTGAAGATGCACTAATTTGGGCAGGATGTTGGTCACCATACGCGACCAAGGACTACCTTTGCCCGCCGGAGCGATCCTGATCTCGCCCTGGGTGGATCTTACACATTCTTTCCCCAGTGTGCTATCGGACTGTCCGGGTGACTACATCCCACCTAATGGGTTCCGATATAAGCCCTCCGCAGCCTGGCCGCCTCCAAACGTGGATGAAATTCGCGCGATCAAACCCGCCAAGCAGAAGTCCCCAGAAAGCGCCGTGGAAGAAGCCGTGCCAAAAGAGGACACCCAAGCTCAAGAGACAGCAGTGAAGGGGTACACAGTCGAGAAGGAGGGGTCAGGTCGGACAGAACCTACTCCGGCGGCTCATAAACATGCAGAGGATGACGAGACCAAGGTCATCGCAATACCTATTGACGGTCAGACAGTCGAACTCAAAGACCAGATCCAAATGTACGCACCGAATCACATCATCTCTCACCCACTCGTCTCTCCGGTACTCCAACCGTCGCTTGGCGGTCTACCCCCACTCCAGATCCTCGTCGGGGGAGGCGAGCGGTTAAGGGACGAGCAGTTTTACACTGCTCACAAGGCCGCCAATCCGACAGCATATCCACCCAGTGACAAGACACTTGACGAGTATGATGCGAAACGTGAAATCTTACACAAATATCCTGGCACGCATGTTCAGTTGCAAGTATGGGACGATCTCTGCCACGTTGCCCCGACCCTTAGTTTTACACGTCCGGCCAAGTACATGTACCGATCGATTGCTCAATTCGGTGCCTGGGCTCTTGCATGTTCTCAGACTTCTGAGATTGCCATCCTCGACGACCATGACATCTCCCCCATCACCTCCTCCAGTGAAACAGACAGTCGCGAAGCAGCGGCCAAGGGCGAGAACAAGGGTAGCACAAGACCGTCCGTTGCGTCCGTCGGGAGGGCTGGTGATCCACTGCCCGCATTTAAAGATCATATGATCCGTCAAAGAGTCGACAAAAGAGGCCGCATATATCCGCTCGATCCCCCATCCTCCTATTCGGTCCTGCAATTCCCGCGGGATAAGATCGGCGTAGCGAACCCGGAACTGGTCCGGAAATGGATGGCCGGAAAGGAGGAGTGGGATATCAAATTTGCCAAGGACAAGCTGCGAGTGCAGAAGCAGCGGATGGAAGAATTGGTCCACGGATTCCAGGACTTTGAGGGGGATACTCCTCCTGCAAGCTCCTTGGCGGCAAGGAGACAGGCTCCGGGCGTGTTGCCTCAAAAGGGCGGAAAGGAGCGGAAGAGCTACCAGATGACGATGTGGAGTCGGATGGCTAGCAAGCATGACAAGAAGACCCTCGCAAGAGAACAGCACAGGCAGATGGAAGAGGGTCGTTCGAGGCTGACGAGTGTTGATGCTGGACCAGCATGGGCGTCCATGGATAGACCGAGATCTCCAGATCATGTCGAGTCATTTCCGACTGAGCAGTCTAACAAGGACACACAAGTCAACGGAGGGAAAGCACATGAAGGTCTGCGAGAAGACCAGGAATCATCTAACGGTGCTGAACGCGACACCAACCAATCTGGAGTTTCGCGTCCGGCATCGTCGAATTGGGGAAAGTACACCAGTCCTATGATCGTCTTGCCCGATTATGAAAGCAGGCAGTTCAACGCAGATAATGCCAGCACGACGACTTTGCTACATGCTGCTGGAACCATTCCCGCTCGATCGGAACAGCCGCGGCCTGTCTCCCAGGCCGGTTCCGGGACGATTCGCAGCGCCATGACCGCCGACCGAGAAGATGCCAGTACCATCGATGATGCGAGGTCACTAGCCGTGACCACGATAACCGCGCTCGACAATGCGAGTACCCGGGCCGTCCGTAATTCCACTGGAGTAGTCGGCGTGGTCAACGATAAGAAATCGACCAATGGTTCTGTCGAGACGTTGTCTGCGACTAGGCCGTCTGGGGATCTGGAGTCCTTCTATTCGGTCAATGCGAACTCGGAGGGCGATGCTCATTCTGTCAGTGCTCGCCCGGATATGCCTGATCGGGAGGTGTTTAGAACTGCAGATGAACATATTTGATTCTAATATATGGCCTTGTAACATTGTGTTTTATATCACCATCCTGTTGTACAACACTGTTCTAGTGTTCCATGAGTTGGTAGATTTTTGATAGCTCTGAGATTCCCAATACAGATATTCAACATGAGCATTCTGAAAAAGGCTACATTCATATGCAGTAGTACTTCTGTTGACAATAGTGAATATCTCTGGATATTGCTGCTTCTATAGCCTTAGATCAGTAGGCTTATTCACTATAGTCATTCACTATGTCTCAGCTCTCTCCAGATAGATTCACTGCCCTGACTCAACGCTGTCTTTCTCCCCCCTCCCGATCTTCTCTCTCTTGCTCCCGCTGTTCCCCACCTTCATTCTCTCTGTTCTTCTCTCCTGCTCATGGATAGCATCAATGCAAGTTACTCTCTGCCTTGTCTCTTGATACACTGAGTCAAACTAATGCAGTGTTCTGTTTCTTGACCACGACGCAATTCTGAAGACGACACACGCTGAACTTTTTTGGCTGAAAGGCAATGCGTCCGTCGTCCTAGTAATACTGCTTAAATGGTCCGCATTATCATACAGCAGAATCAAAGGAACCGTAGAGACAAGAGAGCTCCGCCGAACAGTGGCCAAATACCCTTCCTCGATCGACCTGGTCACATATCGATCGTCATGGCGTCCCCAGGCAGGACTGGGACGTGGGTAAACTATGAACTCTCCTCTTGATTCAATTAATTGATCACAACTAACTGATAGCGCAGTTGACGTGGTCCGATTACCGGTAACCTACAAGGTCCTGGGCTTAACTGGTGGGCTATTCGTGAATACCTGGAACACTACACGGGTGAAATCTGTGATTTTTCCTTCCTGGCTATTTTTGCCAGCCTGTCTGACGCTCATGGCTCAGAGTAAGGAAGCAGGAGGTATCTTTATGATCCGAGGAGTTGTTGATGATACTCGACATCCAGTGAGTCTAAAGGAGCGTCAGTCCCGGCAGCAAGTATCGTGGTTCTTGCGGATTCCATCTACTCGCATTAAGTTCGTCCGATTGCTGTCCTTTTTGGTGCTCACAAGCGGATTTCGCTGCGAGAAGACGCATTGGTCTATCATGTTGGCGATTGTGTTCAAACTTGTCATGATCTTGTGCTCTCCATGTGGTCTACACTGGCCCACTAGGAGGAGCCACAGGCACCATGCAGCCAATCGCATCCTGCTAATAACGCATCTTGTGAACAAGATCAACCTCAGATTCTGTGCAAGTGCAAACGAAGATACTGGGGTCAGCTCGGCGGAGGGCCAGCACTGGAGCGAGAGCTGGAGAGATGATAGATACCATCAACGCGACTCAGCTCGTGGGCGATTATCTGGAGGAGGACAGGATGCACGCGGCGGCAGGCTGCTTCGACAGGAGGCTTTGCTATCTTGCCAGTCTGAAGTGGATTCGTTGACCTGCTCCGAGACAGGGTGGGTAGCAGTGCCGTTGAGGATCCCTCCAGTGGTCAAACTAGCGAAGCCACCGGGTGATCCGTTTATTCCTCTTTTCTGTGACCTGGGGGCCGGTGTTCTTCTTTTGGAGGCTTCGGGCCCTCGTCGCGGAACACTCGCCGACTGGCTAGGTGGTCTCCTGAGGTCAAAAATATCGAGCGGTTGTAAGCAATGTGCAATCCCTAGCCGACCTTGGTACCTACATTGGCATGACAGGATGGTTGCGACAATATATCCCCTTCTACGCTGCTAAAATCCAACCTTTACAGGATCGGAGAACCTACCGAAAATGTACCGCTCCCCCGAATATGACTCGAATGGTACTACAATTGTTTCAGGGTGCCTGCGCCAACTGTCTTTGGCACGGAAAGGGTTCGACGTGCGAATTTTACCCAGATCGGAATAAACAATGGAATTCCGATGATCAAAGCAGATGTCAAGCTACGTCCGCACTGTTTGGAGCGGTGCTAAACGGCCAGCACCCTACAAGTTTGGCCAGAGATGTCCTCAGCTCTGGTGATGGGAGTATGTCGTGTCGCCTGAACGGCAAGGTCGTGCCTTGTTCTCCGGTTTCTGGCCAATTGTCTATGGAGCGGCAAGTCTGCAGGGTGCTCTATCATCTCAGCAAGAATTGGCCATGTGCTCTACTGGTATGGCAGAGGGTGTAAGTGACTCATGGGATTTGCAAGAACGAGTATAACTAACTAGAGTAGTTCGGTGAGCACTGCCATGATGCAAACTCATCAACAATGGCATGAGATCTGAAGACTCGCAAGACATGATCCTCCAGTGCGAAAAAAAAAACTGGCGTTTATGATTACCTTCAACGGAAAACGGCGAACCCTCGTCGGCATTGCAGACTATACCGTACGGTATAGAGACGCCGCCAAGGAGTCCAGCAACCTGATCGTGTTGGAAGCAAAACGATATGGAGATACATCAGGCCGTGGGCAGCTTATCGCCTATATGGGTTAGTTCCCAACGAACAAATCTATTTCCATTACAACGGCGTTTTCTGACCAGCTTAGAGATCGTTCACTGTGCCAGGATTCAGGAGAATGTTGGGCCAGCTGCTAACCCACTTCAGGGCTGACTACAATGATGCTGAAATGAATGAGGGTTAAGGCTATTAGTTGCCTTACCAGAAGCTGGTCGTCAGTTGAGAAGTCATGGCATGTGTTTCACACCCTCACTGGCCTTCTTATTCCGGTATGTATATGCTGACTTGACTGAAGAAAGATACAGATGCTGATCCAGTCCCAATCTCAATCCACAGACATTCTACCCGATCACAATAGCCGCCACTGCAATAACCTGGCTAATGAAACCAAGCACATGGACAACGCATGTCCCAACTGCTTCCAACCAGGGAGCTACGCCGACAGGGCGGGGAAACCAGACAACGACAAGAACTGGAAGATAGTTGAACCGATACTGCATGACACAGCAGTGGGGCAGAAATAAATTGCACGGCATGGTCTTCCTTTGAGTTGGTTTAACAATCAGACAATACCGTTCATACCAGCTGATACCCATCTGGCCCTTTACTATGATGCAATGAGGCAAAATTGCACTGTCTCACTTGCAGATCAATCGCTGAACTATGTTTGTCCAGTTAAGCTGATTCGATTATGGCTCCGCAGCTGGATCAGATCTTACCAGACATCATCACCTGCACCGACAAAGCCCGTCTGCGACACAGCAGGGCCATTATATGGAGGCACCCTGAGCAATATTTTCCCCTGATGTCAGGTCTGATCATCCTTTCGACTGGATCCGAGCACACACACCACCCAGGGATAAATCGACATATCCTGAAAGAAATGTACCGTTAGCGGGCATAACAGACCACTTATACACGAGCATTCGACGTGGGTTTGCCAGGATCTTTGACGAGTGTCAGCCCTACCAACCTACCAACAGCCTCATGAATCCAGAGCCTGGAGATCCTGACTTCCGGAAAGTCTGTCCGCTTGCGACAACTCTCCATGTATAGTTGAGGCGCCAACTGATACGGCGATGGTTTTCGATGACCTGACTTGCTTGGACTTGTATAGACTTTCCAAACGCTCGGGTAAAAAAAATAAAAATAAAATAATATGCCTAAGTACCATATTGAAGAATGACCGTCCAGATAGCTTAGTGAAGTGCTGTTTTGGCAACCATACACAACCTCAGCCATGTCGCTGCAACAGTTAGGGTAAGACTGGATCACATGACATGGGTGGCTGGTATTCCTTCACTGCATGCCTACAGCGGAACCTAGCCATAGAATATTCTCCATTTCAATTATTAAAGGGTTGACAACTGACTGTCCAATGCTATTTGGCTGACTCTGAACTAATCTGCAATAAACTCAAACGACAGTCTACCAATCCGCACACATGCCCGTATGCTTATCAAACACCGAACCAGACGAGCATTCGGGAATTCCCGTCGGAGGACAATACTCAAAGTTCATGCAATCACCCGACGCCAGAGCACACTGCTTGCCGTTGAAGACCTGGCCGGGGGGACAAGCAGGCCGCTCAACAGAAAGACACTCCTTGGCCTTCTTGCTATAGACGGTGCCAGGCTGGCAAACGGGGTCGTTCTCCGCGACACATTTCTTGCCGTTGAAGCGCATCCCAGGCGGACAGGTCGGCTCCTCGGGGTGTGCGCAGTCCTCGCCGTCGAACTCCAGTCCGGGTTCGCACTCAGGTACCGAGCCGACGCAGTTCTGGCCGTCGAAGTGCGTGTCGGCCGGACACTCGGGCTTGCGGTCCGAGACGCACTCCCCGTTGAGCAGGGTGTAGCCTGGCTCGCACTCCGTGGTGACGAGGCTGATGCAGCGTCCGTTTGTCCACTTGTGGTCGGGCGGGCACTCTGGGTCCTTGGGGCTGACGCACTGCTTGCCGTCGAAGACGGTGCCCTTGATACAGGTGGGGGCGCCGACGATGCAGCCGCCGGCGACGAGGGTGGAGCCGGGCGCGCAGGCGGGGATGAAGCTGGTGACGCAGTCGCCGTCGCCGTTGGGGACCGAGTTGGCGGGGCAGGACGGGGTGATGGTGGAGACGCAGCGGGTGCCGTCGAAGATGGTGTCCTCCGGGCAGCGGGGGAAGTGGCCGGAGGTGCAGTCCTCGCCGTTGAAGGTGGAGTCGTCGTCGTCACACTTGGGGTTGTGGGTGGTGGAGATGCAGTTGGTGCCGTCGAAGGTGAAGCCCTCTTCGCACTGGGGGCGGGAGAGGCTGACGCAGAGGCCGGCTTCGAATTTGGTATCGGGCGGGCAGCTGACATGGACGGAGGAGATGCAGTTCTCGCCGGAAAGGATCAGGCCAGGTGGACATTGGGGTTTCTCGATCATGGTGCAGGTGGAGCCGTCCAGGATGTAGCTGGGCGGGCATTCGGGGGGTTCGGTTGAAACACAGCGGCTGCCTTCGAGGCGGGAACGGGGCGGGCAGGTTGCGACCTTGATGGACTGCTTCTGGCAGAGCTTGCCTACGAGCGTCATTCCGGGCGGGCATTTGCCGTTCTCGTCAACGCCCATCACGCATACCTCGCCATTCCACGTCATCCCAGCGGGACAGCAGCGGGCGGTGCCATGGGCCACGTCGAGCGAGAGATCGCTTCCGGACGGGCAGCTGGCTGGCTCAGTCAGCACACATTTCTTGGTGACAGGATCCAGCTCGGAGCTTGGTGGACAGGCGGGTTTGGCGGTCGTGGTGCATTTGCCCGTGGTGGGTTGGAACGTGCTGCCCTCAGGACAGGAGGGCTTGATGTCGGATACGCACATCCCGTCCTTGACGCGGCTGCCTTCCTCGCAGGACGGTCCGGAGACGGAGACACACACCTTGAGTGCCTCACGGTATTCTGTGCCTGCGGGACAGACTGGGGGACGATCGCTGATGCAGTGACCTTCATGGAATGCCAATCCTTCGGGACATTGGGGCTTTTTGACGCTGACACAGGTCTTGCCATTGAAGGTGTAGTTTTCGGGACATCTGGGACTCTCCTTTGACTGGCACACTTTGCCGTTATACTCGAGATTAGACGGACAGGTGGGAGGCCCAGTCACGCATGACTTGCCCTTCCATACGGTCGAGGGTGGACAAGCTGGCTCTGAGGTGGAAATACAGACTTTGCCGTCGTACTCGCTGCCGTCCGGACAGATGGGCTTCACCGTGGACACGCACTTGTCTTCTTTGCGGATGAAGGATTCAGGACAAGTCGGTACACCGAGGACGCACGCCTTGCCATCGAATTCTGTTCCCTCGGGGCAACACTTGACCAGGCCGGAAGAGGGATCGGTCAATGGACGAATATCATCGAGGGTGTACTTGGACTTTCTGAGGGGGGACTGATTGGCTTGTGTTTGGACAGAGAGTGCCAGGACGAGCGCCCAGAGGGCCTTTGCTTTTACCATGACGGGTGTTCAGTGCAGAAAGAAGATAAAGATAGAAGGATGAGAGGGATGATGGTCGAGAAACTGATGAAGCTGTGAATTGCCGCTCTTTATAGCAGCTCACAGGGACTGAGATGTCGACCGCATCTCTGAGTATCAAACTTGGTATTACAACTCAGCGTTCAGCTCATCGAATGGATCATCCACTGACTATGCGTCTCAGTGCGGAGTACCTAAGATCATCGCGGCGATTGCGGTGTCTTCGATGGCCACAGAGTCCAGTTTCCACGCGCTGGCGCCACTGATGTAGGTCTCCCAATGAGGGATATCGCTACGGCTGCATGGAGTTAAGAGTACGAATAGACCACTGGATTTCTGCATGATTGAGCCACGGTCACACTTATCAGAGGAGGGGACTGTGGATCGAGAGGACTTGGAGAGACGACCTGGTCTAGTGCAGCTCAGCTGAATCCTGGGACGCCCATTTGCTAGTCTGCATCATCTAGCAAGATAGATCTTAGCTTAATCAATTCCAGCTTTGCCATTGGCCGTGGATTAGCAGGGTTGTTTCATAGCGTGGATCGATAGACTTTATGTTTGCTTTTTCTCCACGTTTATGGCAAAGATATTCATACCTGTCGTCACCGGCTGTCTAATCAACACAGAAGTACTGTAAATTAGAGCGATATCCAAGTATCAACATCATTTAGTCTCGTAATATCCTACTCCGGGCCAGGCCGCCGATTCCCGCGATCCGCGATGTTTAGCTGGAATCGGTGTAGTTGCAGACCTCAGATCTGCAGCATTGACCGATGGTTCGCCATGTCTCACATGGCTGTCCAATCGTAGATCTTAAATAGAGTAGCTGGAACCTCCACGGTCGATCTTGTTCCAATACTTCATGACAGTGGGTCGTCGATCCCAGCTATGTTTCTAGCTGGCTCGAGGCTGCAGATATCCCTCGCCTGCTTAATATAGCTGAATGAAAGAGGTCTTCATTTGCTGGTGCTTCCGGCAATGATCAGCGGTATCCTCTGAATTGGTCAATGCATGGTGAGCTCGCCTCCAGCAGTGTAACCTGGTGAAACCTGCGCCATGCACAGAGAAACTTAATTCGAGTAAACTGCCAAGTATGCCATCTTACCATTGTGGAGAGTCAATTTGGGATGTCTGGGCACTGCTGGTGAGTGCCTATAGACGAGATACTGTTGACGTGGCTGGCTGGGGTGGCTTGTCTCATGTAGATCTCTTTGGGTAACTACTGAACAGAGTCGTCATCTCGCATCCACGTAACCACGCAAGCCTGGCCTGAGATGTGATATAACCGTACTAGGATAAAAATGAGCCGAGTGATTCCCCACGGGGAGTAAGGATACGGATTACTGAATAAAGAGGCCCCGCGAAAGACCAAAAGCAGGTAATGTATTCGGCAATCTTTTCCGCATTGAACCAAATCTCAACCTGGAGTCGAGTCCTTGGCGATATGCATACTGCTCAGCTGGAACTGTGTGGACACCGTCTTGAGCTGCAGCTAAGTGTCTACTAAGTGTGATGCACTCGATATCACCTGGAAGTCAGCTCCCCATGCAGCGCCACTGCGGGAATGAGACAGGTCACAGACAGACGGATCCCCAAGCTGAACCTCTCGTGGATATCTCGGCCCCTCACAGCGCTGCGGATCGTCGGTGCTGACGAGCAGACCATTGACCCAATGTGTTAAGTCTTACTTTCATTGACTGGCTTCCACCGCATTCTCGTTCGGAGAGACTTGACCCCAAGGTGTTGCCAGACTCAGTGCTTATAATCCTTCTGGAGCCCCGGTCGTCCACGCAAATCTTAGCTCTTTCTTCTGGGAATCCACATTCCTTTCGGATCAGGAAACAGACATGCTATTAAAACACTCCATCTTTTCCCTCCTCTGTGCTCTGGAGGTTGCCTGGGCCTCGGAGCCCTCCGCATGTTTCTCGCCCGACGCCAGAGGCGAAGCCGGCTATAAAGCATGTTGTGCGAACCAGGACAATGGTAAAGGCACTGTAGGCGGGGTCATATTCCAGTATACCTGCAAAACATTCCTCAAGAAAGGCAATGACTATGGCACAACCCACCGGGGAGTCTTCAGCGCGAGGGAATGTGCCCAGCTATGTGCCGACGACTCGGGCTGCCAGGGCAGCTCGTGGGGGAGCGGTATATCTCAATGCTTCCTGCTCTCGAGCAAAGGGTACACCCGGTATACCCCCAACCCCGGGTTCCTCATTCTCGAGAAGGCGCCCGAGGAGCCGGAGAAACCGGATCGTGCAAAAGACTGCCAGGATCTGGTTGAAGCCGGGAAGAAAGAGGGCGAGGCCCAATGTGCCGCGGAGAAGAATAAGCTCCGACAAGAGGGAGAAGAGGCTTTGCGTGAGTGCCAGAAGCAGAAGGATGCCGCTGTAACAGAGTCCAAGACGCAGTGTGAGAAGGAGAAGGACGAGCTGCGCAAACAGGCAGAGGGAGCAGCGCAGAAAGAGCGCGAGCAATGCGAGAGAGACAAGTCTCAACTGCGCCAGGAACGTGACGACGCATTGCAGAAGTGCAAGTCGGACTGTGAGGCGGAGAAGGAACAGCTCCGCCAGCAAGGCACCGGTGCAGCAAAACAGTGCGAGAGCGACAAGGCGGGACTACAGCAGCAGCTGAAGACCTGCCAGGACAAACAGCAGCCGACGAAGCCTACCGACACGACTGAAGCTCAGGACCCCAGGTGCCGGGACAACAGCTGGCAGAACATGTGTGGCGGTGTGTGCCAGGAGGAGACCTTCACCCTTGCTGGAGTCGTGTTCAAGAAGAAATGCTTCGTGCGGACTGTCCTGGGACGGGAAGTACAGGTCTACCACCGCTCGTCGCTTCTGGAGTGCCTGGAGAAGGACTGTGCTCCCAACAGCAACTGTCTGGGCGTCGGATGGAGGCCATGGGAGGTCGGAGTAAGTTGATCCCTTTTCGCGTCTGTATTGTTTGGGTCGAGGCTAATATGAACAGCAATGCCATGTCCACATGAGCATCGGCCGTGGTCTTCGCACCTCGTACCATCCCCATGAGCATCTTATCTACGCAAAGGATCGAGTTGCGCCTGTGGGAGTATAAGGCAGAGCTCGAGGGAGTCCTTTGGGTCTTGGTTTGGAATAAAACACATTGACGATCTCTGTATAACCTCTTGGGAGCTTCATAATGTCATTGTACGGCTACAATGCGGCATCGATTCTTTATATGCCAATGGAGTTTACGAGGTACCATCCATGAGATTGAACATTCTGTGCCTAGACAGGTGACTCACCGGTTGCCCAGTGCACCCTATAAAGTACAAGATAAATCCTTTGTCTCTTCGGTCGCATTCGTACATTGTATTCTAGAGTCAGGACCAAGCTTGAAAACCTACATTCGTATTTCTCTCCTGAGCTACATGGGGAGCCCTGCCAAGGGACACGAAGGCCTTATACGGTGGCCATCTCTGCCTCGATGACGAAAAAACAATTACAAATCATCGCTGCTGTGCTGCTGTGACTACATTGCTAGATAAGATGGGTATCAGGCAATGCATTGCCCTTGGGCTTTTGCACGCCAGCCTGGGACCGGCAGGCACTGTTCCTTCATACGTCCGTTTAACCTACAGTGACCACCTCGGTCGACGTGTCGCAGGTTTTAGCCGCGATAGAAGGGGTATCTGGGCTTGGCTTCTCGCGAACGTCGGCATGCAATGGCTAATCTGGACTCGGTGTGTATTCGGCCACACCGCGGACGGAGCCATCTCGGCTCTGGTCGACTGATTTATTGCCGGAGACATAAAAACTTGAGCTTAGAAAACGGCCAAGATTCAAGGATGTGGCCGAATATGGTGAAGAGCCCTGTATCTGAAACATAGCCCGCCTCTTTCAGGGACCGTCAGACCCTGAAATTCGTATCCCATATTGCCATTGATTCTCCACCTTCTCTCCTCCATAGAAGTAGGAAGGGCTATTTCGAGCTTGGTCTGAGCCTGATTGATATTCGCCGAGGGCGTAGACAGGTGCATGACTCGTTTGTCAGGGTCTTGTATCTATTTCCTCCTCTAGCCAGAGCTAGGCTTACATGTGTGGAGCGTCTTAGGGCACTAGCCTCGATAAGACCCTTAAAAGACCTCCCAGGTCATCCATTGGATGACTTCAGCCTATTCTGGTCTGAGAAAGCGTCTGGAAGTGTGAAACATTTGGTTCCGTGTTTATTCGGTGTCAACTGAGCTGATAGCTCTGATGACGGAGTATATAAGTTAATCGTCAGTGCCGTCACCTTTTCTCTGGCAGGTCAAACTTGTTCATTCTTCATTGATATCAGTCTTTCACTTCTTATTTTCTTGATTCCATTCTCTTAGTAAACTAGATTGCTGGCGCTTTTCTACAAAAATGAAGCTCACTTCGTTCATTCTTTTCTAGCTTGCGAGCGTCACCCCGCTGGTCTCGGGTCACTATGTTTTCTCCAAGCTCATTGTCGACGGCAAAGCCACCCAGGACTTTGAGTACATTCGCAGAAACACCAACGGCTACATGCCCACCCTCCCCTCCGACATCCTCAGCAATGACTTCCGCTGTAACCAGGGCTCGATGGAGTCCGCCGCCAGTACCAAGGTGTATACGGTGGCCCCAGGCACAGAGCTCGGCTTTCAGCTTGCGTACGGCGCCCAAATGAAGCACCCGGGTCCTCTGCAGGTCTACATGTCCAAGGCTCCCGGTGATGTCAAATCGTACGACGGCTCCGGCGACTGGTTCAAGGTCTACCAGGAAGGTCTCTGCGCTGACCCCTCCAAGGGGATTATGGACGAGGACTGGTGCACATGGGGCAAGGATACCGCGTCCTTCAAGATCCCCGAGGACACCCCGGCCGGGCAGTATCTTGTTCGGGTAGAGCATATCGGCCTGCACCGAGGGTTCAGCGGCAATGCCGAGTTCTACTTCACCTGCGCCCAGATCGAGGTGACGGGTTCTGGGTCGGGATCGCCTAGTCCTGTCGTCAAGGTTCCCGGCGTGTACAAGCCTAATGATCCGAACATCCACTTCAACATCTACTATCCTACTCCTACGGCTTACGACCTCCCTGGCCCGTCTGTCTGGACTGGCGGCTCGGCGGGAAGCGTCGGTGCCGGCGCTTCTCCTGCTGTCAGTGCTACTGTGCCGGCTGTCAATAACAATGCTGCCTCGGCCACTCCCAACATGGCGAGACTCACCAAATCCTCCGCCAAACCCACTGCTGGTGCGGGTACGGGTTGTGGTAGCTCCGTTTCCTCGTCCGCTGGAGCCCCTGCTGGAGTCCTCAAGAAATATGCTCAGTGCGGTGGACTGAACTGGACTGGTTCTGGCTCTTGTGAGACCGGCACTACCTGCCACCAGTACTACCCTTACTATCATCAGTGTGTTTAGTCTGGGCAGTTTTCCTTCGCGCTTAGCATTGTGGCAATGTGTGACCTTCTGCTCGCCTTTTTTGACAAGTGGTTTCATTGTGTCATCTTTCTCTGCCCTTTCAATCAAAAATTGTTGCGTATACAGATGTTAGAAGCAAGGCCCAAACTAGATAGTACCGACTTTCGATTTGGCAGAAGTTAGTGTATGTAATTCAAGACTCTACACTTCGGCATGGGTAGTGGAAAGATTTCTCGCAGGATCTGTATCAATCAGGCTCGAGGCTGTCTAATTGATTTTGATCAACCGGTCCAGAATAGAAACACTATATTACCGACGGATTCTATTGCTTATGGCAGTCAGCTCTCTAGTGATTTCGTTCCTTGTCTTCTCATCGTGGGTCTAGCTTATGGCTCTGTGACTCCTTCTTGACGACTGGAATTGAGCGTTATTGTTTCGCCTATAGACTACTGGTTCAGATTTCTTTCACAAATGTCCATCCGAAATCACATACCTGAGGGATAAATCAAGCAATACAGAAGATATTTAGCGGCTCCGGTCTTACTTCGCATGTATTTCGGAACATTCCCGTGTCCTCCTCTAAGGGTCCGGTAGGGTCATAGGAAGGATCCACTGGAGACCCTGGCCCGCTTAGCTTTATCCTGCCGTTGTAGCAAAGTGAAACCGCTAGTCTTAGCCATGGTCCCTGATGGCCCTAAAAAGTGGACATGGTGAGCTGTGGCCTGATGAATGTCGGCACTCAGCTCTCACAAGATGCCGTAATTAGAGAAAAGCGCAGGCATCTCTTTCCCAGGCTCCTGTTACCTGTAGATGAGACCCGCGCTGTCTATCCACAATTAAGGGTCTTTCATTTCAGGGACAGAATGACAGATTTCGTGGCAGCAGTCCAAGTGACAACTATTTAAGCATGCTAATTTGCCGAGGAAAGCGCTGGAAAGACACACTCGCATCATCGTTCCCAAAATGGTCACTTTCAGCCGACTTTTGCTCTTCCTCCCTGTTCTCGGGGCACTGGGCGTGCCCTCAGATCCCACAATCCAGCCCGCCATCGAGGCCAACAAGTCCTTTGACTTCCTCCAGCACATGGGAGAAATCATCTTCAACGCCACAGACGGAAACCTCGCGCGGCGCGACACCACATTCAGCACCAGCAAAGACGGCGTAAACGCCGCCGGCTACTACTACTCCCTGTACAACGACAACCACGCCGGCGCCGGCTACACCGAGGACCCCAACAGCGGCCACTTCAAGCTCGGCTGGAACCTGCCTTCCCGCAGCGAGTTCCTCGGTGGAAAGGGCTTCCGTGGTGGCAGCACCCGGTAAGCAGCTATGCCCTCTATCAGTCTTTCCTTTTATAACTAATATTCAACAGTACCCCCGCCTGGGACGGTCACTTCTCCGCCAAGGGCGACTACACCCTCGCCGTCTACGGCTGGACCACCAACCCCGTCACCGAGTGGTACATTGTCGAGGCGCACGGCACGGGCACCCCGGGCAACGGCCATATCCTCTGCCAGCTGTACGCTAACGATGGTGTCTATGATGTCTACATGCTCCCCTACCGTAACGTGCCGGAGATCTACGGTACCACGAACTTCAACCAGCTGTGGTCGGTCCGTCGGTCCCATCGCACCACCGGCACGGTCGACGTCACGGCGCATTTCAATCGCTGGAAGCAGCTGGGGCTGCAGCCGGGGAATCCGGTCTTTTAGATGGTGACTGCGGAGGGGTTCCAGGGGAGTGGATTTCTCGATTTTACTCTACATTAAGGGCCTGGTTGGAATAAGTGTGTAGTCTGCATACCTGTAGACGCATATATAATGTGCTGGCGCTACGACGAAGCAATTGGAGCAACGCACTTCTTTTGACGTGTTGGGGAGGCGGAGTCAATGTTGTCGATGCAGTGGCCTGTCTTTTATTTCTGTCAATAATGATTGTAACAGTGTATATGTATATCCGGAGTAAAAGTACAAGAGACAGTTCCTTACTTTGCTGGTTATACCCCTGTTTCCATATTAGGAAATTAGTAAGATGGTCCATCCGAGCAAATACTAATGGACACATGACGACGTGGAACGTCATATTTAAGCACCACCACAACATATCGTCTTGTTATTCTCTACTACCTTACCAACAGCCTCATCAGTAGATCAGAAAGTGGATCAAATGGATCGCCCCTCGACAATGAAAGCCTGGCTCTACACGAGCACCACTGGAGGCCTCGAGAAAAACCTCCAGCTCAGCACCTCCGCCCGCACCCCCGGCCCACCCGGCCACGACCAACTGCTCATCAAGGTGCTCTCAGCCTCCATCAACCCAGCCGACTACAAAGTCCCCGAAATGCCCGTCGTACCCCGGTTTTTTGTCGCTTACCCCGCCACCCCGGGAATGGACTTTTGCGGGCAGGTAGTAACCGCCGGCCCCGGCGCCACAGCCTTCCAACCAGGCCAGCTCGTCTACGGCACCACCGCTGCCCCCACGCAGTTCGGCTCGCTGGGCGAGTACCTCCTCTGCAAGACGGCGAATGTAGCTCTCCTGCCGGACGGGGTGGCGCCCGACCACGCGGCCACGGTAGGCGTCGCCGCGCAGACGGCGTACCAGTCTATCGCACCGTATGTCTCCCCCGGCGACAAGGTGTTCATCAACGGGGGTTCGGGCGGGTGCGGGATCTTCGCGATCCAGGTTGCCAAGGCGCTGGGTTGTACTGTCACGACGACCTGTTCGACGCGCAATGTGCAGTTCTGTCGGGATTTAGGGGCCGACGAGGTGATTGACTATACCCAGGAAGATGTGCTGGGTATCCTCCGTGCCCAGGGGCCCGTGTATGCGCATGTTGTCGATCATATCGGCTTGCCTGACGAGCTATACTCGCAGTCGGACGCGTTCTTGCTTCCGGGGAAGGCGTTTGTGCAGGTTGGTGCGGCGTCGATGCTTACGTTTGTGCGGCGGGTGGCGTGGCCTGGGTTTCTGGGGGGTGGGAAGAGGAAGTATGTGATTTTTATGCTGAAGAGCAACAAGACTGATATTGCGACGCTGGGGGAGTGGATGCAGCAGGGGAAGTTGCGGGTGGAGGTCGACAGCACGTATGAGCTGGAGGATGCGGTCAAGGCCTTTGAGAAGTTGAGGTCCGGGAGAGCAAGAGGGAAGATTATCATTCATGTTTCTACTTGAGGAGAGTAAGCTACGCTAGTCTGACATCCAAAGTAATGCATTCATCTACTTGAGTATGCCTATTGCCGGAGAAAAGTAAGCGCCCCAAGGCTCATCGCATCGACGGCAGTCCGCAGAGTCGGCTGGATACACGGCGCAAAGAAGGGCGAATGGTTACTCGGCAGCTCGTTCACCGTCCCCTTGGCCACGGCGTCCTCCCATGTCTTCTCGTCGACGCCGCCATACGTCCACATCACGTACGGGACCCCAAGCGCCCTCGCCAGCAGTGAGAAATCCTCACTCGCCGCAATAGGCTCCGACTCGACCAGATTCTCCTGGAAGTAGGCGCCAAAGGTCTTCTTGAGCGCACGCACAGTGGGCTCGTCGTTGATGGTGGCCGGCGTGGACTCGACGATATCAACAGATGGTTTCTCCACGACACCAGCCGCCGCACATTCGGCCTCAACAATCCGCTTAATGCCCGCGATGACTCGCTCGCGCGTGGCTTTATCATAGGTCCGCACACTGAGCTTTAGATCCAGCTGATCCGGAATGATATTCGCCTTGTGGCCCGCGTGGATACTCCCACAGGTCACGACCGCCAACTCGCCCGGCGTCACCTCCCGACTCACAACACTCTGCAACCTCGTCACAATCGCCGCCCCAATAACAATCGGATCGATGCAAGACTGCGGCGCCGAGCCGTGCCCGCCGCGCCCATACACCCGCACTTCGATCGAATCCGCGGCCGTCAACAGCCGCCCAGCCCGGACACTCACCGTCCCCGTCTTCATCCGGACCAAATGCTGCCCAAGTACAACATCCGGCTTGGGGACTTTATCGTACAGCCCGTCCTCGATCATCGCCCGCGCGCCGCTAACATTCTCCTCCGCCGGCTGGAAGAGACAGATCAGTGTTCCGGACCAGTGCTCCCGCGCCGCGTGCAGCAGGCTCGCGCTCGCCATGAGACTGACGACGTGGGTATCGTGGCCGCAGGCGTGCATCACGGGGACGGTCTCCCCGTCGGGGTCTTTGGCGGTTTTCGTGCTTGCGTAGGGCAGGCCGGTTTTCTCTTCGACGGGGAGGGCGTCCATGTCGGCGCGGAGGAGGACTGTCGGACCTGGTCCATTGTGCAGCACCCCTGCGACGCCATACCCGCCGATGTGTGTGTGGACGTCGAAGCCGAGATTTTTAAGGTGTGAGGCGGCGGTTGCAGAGGTTTGTTCCTCTTGGCCGGAGAGTTCGGGGGAGTGGTGGATATGTCGGTAGGTTTTCTCGAACGGGGTCAGGTCTGGTCGGTATTTCTCAATGAGGCCGTTGAGGCCGGTGGGAGCTTGTCGTTATCGTCAGATTGATCTATATCAATAGTGCAGACTTACCTCTCATCTGCATGCTGTCATCTGCTCAATATGCGCTGCGGTAGAGAGTTAGACAAAGAATCTACGTCCTCGGGTGGCAACGTACTTATACCCCGCGTTATCCATCCCTTGCTTCATTGGGATATCCGTGAGACTAAGTGATCGACGTCATGCGGAGACGAGATGATCTCTTTGTTTCTGCTGCTGATTGGATCGATCATGCCGAGATATGGCTGTTTCCGGCGCCCTTCTCCAGTCTCCTGTCTGACGTTTGAAGCTAGGCAGTTGGAATGTAGACAGCCGGTTAAAGACTTTTGCGGGCTGCCGGTAGCTTTGGAGTAGTTAACTACCACACGAGTGGTCTTGTCAGTATTATGATCGGAATGTCTAGCTTAGTCCAATGACTCCAATCATCGGCGATGCCAGTTAGACTGCGCCCTAAGGGCTATTCTCGTATTCGTCAAGCAACAGCACAATCCATGAGTGAGGTCACATTAGAGACAACCCTCGCACAAAACAACAGAAAATACTCGAATAGAATCAATCTGCATAATGATCACCCTGTGCGCCCTCCCCGATGACATCCTCCTAGAGATCCTCACCCAACATGTCCGCTCCGAACGCGGTATCAACGCCTTCTCCCAGACAAATCACAGGCTACACGCCCTTGGCAACCGGTGCCTCTACCGCCAGAATGCACTGCACAACCGAAGCAGCGCGCTGGTATGGGTATCCGAAACCGGGAATCTAGCCACAGCCCTGTACGGCCTCGACCTCGGCGGCGCTGACATCAACATCAAATCCCTCAACCACAACGGCGGGACGCCGCTCATGCTTGCCTCCGAGAAGGAGCACTGCGCGATCGTCCAGCTACTTCTCTCCAAAGGAGCGAACCCGAACGCGACGAACATCTACCATGAAACAGCCCTCAGCGTCGCAGCGCAGACCGGCGCGCTCGACATCGTCGAGCTGCTACTGGATCACCCCGAGACCCTCCCCGACCTGCCCGATACATGCGGGCAGACAGCGCTCTGATGGGCCTGCTGTAATGGCCACCAGGCGGTCGTGGCAGGACTGCTTCGAAGACCAGATGTCGACATTAACCGCCAACGACACGATGGCACGACGCCGCTGATTTGCGCAACCGGTGCAGGACACACTGCCGTGGTGCAAGCGCTGTCCGAGGACGAAAGGATCGATCTGAACCACCGCACGGAGGACTCCCGGCCGGCGCTGATGGTAGCGGGTCTGAACGGCCACGAGATGATCGCAAAGCTGCTGGTCAATATGACATGCAATATCGACGCAGATGACTCCGAGGGCAAGAGGGCGCTCTCGTACGCTGTCAAAGACGACTGCTGGGCGATCGTTCAGCTATTGATCGATAGCGGTACGGCCGTGAACCACCGGGATCACTTGGGTCGGACGGCACTTGTCATGGCGGTGGATCTTGGCCGCGAAAGCATGGCACGCATGCTCCTTCGGCACGGTGCCGATCCGACTGTGGCAGATAGTCGAGGCTGGGTGCCTCTTCACTGGGCTGCGCAGGGCGGTCATGAGGCCGTTGTCCGCGTACTCGTCGAAGATGACCGTACAACCCCCGGGCATGCGAGCTTCATTGGCACCGCGCCGCTTCATTGTGCGTCATGGGATGGTCATGATGGTGTGCTGAAGCTCCTGATAGCCCGAGACGATATTGACATCAATTGCAAGGATAACGCTGGCTGGACACCTCTGGCCCGGGCAGCGTTTAACGGATCTGCGAGTCTTGTGCGACTATTCTTGGACGATCCGCGTACGGACGTCAATGCTCAGGAGCATAAGGGCTGGACGGCGCTTTTCTTTGCGGCGAAAAAGGGTCAGCGAGCTGTTGTGGAAGCTCTTTTGAGTCATCCTATGATTGAGGCTGCGATCAGGGATCACACTGGCAAGAATGCGATGATGTATGCGAATGAACTTGGTCATTTGGATATCGCCGCCTTGATTGAAGCATCTGCAAAGAGAAGGCCCGTACCAATAGTATAGCTCAAACACCTAGCAGAAGAAAGATTAATCTATTACATACAGAAGGCTACTATCAGTTGCTCTACGCTAGACTTCTACATCCAGAGAGCAATACACTCGTCTTCGTTTCTAGTTCGGCCCAGTACACTGGATACTGATTAACGGGAAACGATCCAAAGACATGGAAAGGGCAAGCTGACTTCGAGACATGACCTGAAATGGACATTCAACTTGCGAAACTCCCCTTGAGTAACACAATTCCACCATCCATGACATGATGGGTTTCCACTATAGTCGGTGTGTGGTCTGCGCAAGTCCTACAGCCAGGTCCCGGCTATAGCTCATGCCTACAAGTTCTTTTCGTGAATGGAAAGTCCACGCCTCTCTATTTCTGTGCTCTATGTCCGAGTCCTGTCCCCTGTATTGAGAAAATAAGCGAAAGACCAGTGTGCCTAATGGTCAGTTCTGGGCATCTTATAATAGACGTATATCATCAGAACAGCGCCACCAAACATGCAACAACCATTCAAACACTGGCTCTTCCAGAATACCTCCGTTCCATGTCATTCAAGGCAGATGTAACCGGAAAGCCGACCAAAGTCCCCAGCGCCGCCGCAGCCGATGATATACCAATCCTTGTCCCGACGAGGTCTTTTTCCGGCGAAAGCTGAGGCACAATAATCGGATATAGAACTGCCAGTGGCCCCATGAACAAAGCAATGAGCACCGCCCAGACGATAGTGGAACCCACTGATTTAACAGCGATCCAAGCCGAAGAGGAGGACACTGGATGCCAGCGCGAAGCCGCCCATGGTGAGCGCGGGCCCCAATCGGTTTGAAAGTGGCACCGCCAGGTACCGACCAGGAATGGTTGATGTATTACAGATGACTAGGACATTGAAGGCTAGATTTGAGCTTGCGCCGGCTTTGAACTGGGCAAAGGTGGGGAGTAGAAAGAAGGGGACCCAGTAGGCGATCCACATGAGGAATAGAGCCGCGCAGAAGGCCATGAACGCTGGGTCGCGGAATGCGGTGGATCCAGAAGGGAGCGGACATTATGGGGAGCCTTGCTCTGGGTGTTGGGTAACATGATTGCCATCGCTATCATTAGTTCACCCAGCGTCACGAAGCCGAGAACTCGAGTTGCCCACGGGAAGCCGAGCTTGGGCTGGAGTCTCGAGAATATGATGGGATAGATTATCCCACCTCCATGTGTGCCTAGTTAGCGAGGATATCGGCAGGAAGAGGGGGAAGACATGGAGGACAAACCAACTGCGGTGCCGGAGGTGGCAATGAACATGGCCAAGGGGCGACGTTGTTGAAACCTCGATGCAACGAGACTGATGCTGGGCACATATAGGATTGCACTTCCGATACCGACACAAACGCACTGTGTCAGGAGGATCTGGTAGTACTCGCGCGCTAAGCTCAACATCATGACGCCGGATACTGTGGTTATTGTGCCTATAATTAGGAGCTCCCTGATATATCCACGATCGAAGATCGGCCCCGTTACGACGCCCCCCACTGTAAATCAAGGTCCCCGGTTAATCGGCGGGTCTTCTTCCTTCGACCTGGTAGTATCTTTGCCTCCTAGAAGTGTGGTGACTTACAGATGAGAATGACACCCTGTAGCGTGCCCACCCAAGCAATTGTGGTCGAGGGCGTGGAAGACAACAGGGTTGTTTCATAGAAACTTTCGTACGATCCGTAGGCACTCAACAGACCCCTACAATAAAGAAACGATGAGCAATACAAGTTGAGCACTATAGGAGACTTACGCACCGACTCACCATGTTGCTGTGTAAACGAGAAAGGCACCTAACGCCTGCAGCCAGGCGTCCACGCCCTCGTGTCCGTCCTTGGCGACTTGGCGTCCGTGTTGTGAAAGTGTAACTGTAGTTGGGATGGTTTGGAGACTTTCAGCTGGAGGTTTTGCGGAAGCCATGCGTGGTTTTCAGAAGCAGTGAGACCCTACAGAGCAAAGATGTGAGAGAGTTGAAATCAAACGTGTACCAGTGGGGTCGAGGTGGGAAAGCCTATAAAGCTATTAGTGTACTTTGTGAGGTCTACCGGGCCTGCCCCAGACAAACATTCTGTCAACTGCAGAACCCTGCATACAGCTTTACGTGGTTCCAGCTAGACTGGCTGACCCAATCCACATCCAACCACCAATCTGCACTTTGGATTGGATCCAGTAGCCCTATTCTAACCCGCAACTAAATGGGTTGACCATACCCAATCCTGTAGGCTGTAGAAGTAGAACTGGTAAGCTTATCTAACTATACCTATGCCTAGATAGGGGTACATTTTTATATCTATAGATAGAGGACAGTCATGCCTATCTATATATAAAATAAAATCTTGGATTTATGAAGAAAGTTAGAGTTATAGTGGGTTTTAGATTTTTGATAATGGTGATCATGATGGTAGAAAGATATATATCCGTACATCTCCGCACTTCTTTTCATCCTAACCTTAGAGGCCACCCCTACTCCTTTATATAGGGCTATTTCACCTTATAATATTTATATACAGTGAATTATTATATTATTAAATAAAATATATACATGTCCTAGTAGTGTGGCTAGAATACTACAAAATATGTGTAATTAGACTATTACCTTAGTATTATGGATATACGTGGATAAGGTGGTTCAACCCATAGTCTGCATGGGTTGGATCAAAGATGACAGTCAGTTTCCGCTATAGTTTTCAGTGCGCAGCCTCTCTCTCTTGCAAGATCTCAACTGGGATCTACTTCATTATTGTCAGTGTCTGGTCGCTATGCAGAAGATGGAGAGCTTAATTCAAGTGTCAACCATTAAAGGACTAGACTAAGGTGTAGCAGTATAATAACATGTTACATCCAACAGCACAACAGTGATGTACTGCAGTGGGCTGCCATTCATGGCCGTACAGACACCGCAAAAAAGGCCTTGCAATATGGCGCTAATGTGAATACCACCGCGCCTATAGGGGGTCCCCTTCTTCCTGATGGGTTTAAGTTGTGGTGCTTAAAGGAACTCCTCTTCTCATTAATGAATGATGCTGACCTCCCCGGGAACTTTTATCTGGTTGAAGGGCTGGCTACACCACTTGTTGTAGCATCCAGTGTGGGGTATGCGGAGCTTGTCGAAACTCTCCTGCAACATGGTGCTGCAGTTGATATGACAGGCTTGGATTGTCTCACCCCGCTGATGGCTGCAGCTAGCGCAGGCCATACGAAGGTGATGGAACTTTTGCTCGCAGGTGGTGCGGATGCCAGCATCCAGCGTGATGGCCGAGGATCAACAGCACTGGAGCGGACTGCGAGGTGGGATCATACGGCTGCTGTGAGATTATTACTGCAGTTTGACCCCGATCAGAGCAGTATATCATGGGACATAGCTCTTGCATACGCAGCGGAACATGGTAACATTCAGATGGTGAGGATGTTTCTGGATGCTGGTGCGCGTACAAGTGTCAAATACGCCAGGTTCCGTCCTCGTCTGCCGCTCATCTTCTGCGCCGTGGATGGGGACCATCCAGACGTTGTCAGCTTGCTGCTGGAACGGGGTGAGGATATTGAATGCCGAGATGTCGCTGCAGCAACACCTCTCATTCACGCTGCAAAGATGGGGAGCCCAAAGGTTTTGGAGATGCTTCTTCGGCACGGCGCGGATGTTAATGCAAGAGATAGGAATGATCGTTCACCACTCTATTGGGGGAGGGGTACTCTTGAAAAAGAGATGGTGGACATGCTGTTGGAATATGGTGCAGAATTGGAACCTCACCTTGGCTCGTGACTCAGACTAATACTGGCAAGAGGATGAGATTAAGCGGGAATCCAAACAATGCTCAGTTCTTTTCACAGCACGCTGGAGTATGTCGTAGGACTCAGACGTGGATCGATGCTCGTGGATTAAGAGACCTGACACATGAGGTCGGAGAGGAGTGACCTCTGCTATTACCCATACTAATGCTGTTTTCTGCTCATCACCTCATCATTGTTAAGTTTTACGTGATCAGAACAACTACTCACATGGCATCTCAGTCTCAGTAGATTCCCCTGCTTGTTTTCATCGTCCAAGGCAACTATTCTATGATATAACTCTCCAAATAAACCATCTAAGCATAAGTGCTCGCAAGGTCTTCAAGGCACTTGACAAGATTATCCATCCACGGAGTCAGGACACGAGCCTCATCAGTCCCCCGATTGTAGGTAACATGAAACTCCAACATGCCGTTAAGAATAACCGAATTGATCTCGAGCATGGCCCACCGGCCCAGCTCGCCCGCCCCATCAAACAGATTCTGCTTTGCCATGGGCTCCATGCGGAAGAGACCACCGGCCTGCTCGACCTGCTGGAACTTTCCCGCGTAGTTGAAGGTGATCTCCATCAGGTGCGTCCCGGCGCTGCATCTCTCCTGCGTGGTGTTGTGGTATATCGATGTGAAATGCTTCCATCCGTGCATCTCCATTGCCCGTCGAGCTTGCCGCACGGTACGCACAGCCGTCACGAGACTATCGGACGGGCTCACCTGTGCGAGCACAGGCCAGAGAGTGGTGAACCATCCGACCGTCTGGGTGACGTCGATCGAGGCATCCCATGTCTCGCGGCCGTGAGCTTCACCGAAGATGCAGGGAGCAGGGCGGTGGGGAAAGGTCCGGACAAAGGAGAGGAGGATGGCTGCGTGGAGGAGCTCAACCGGTTCGACGTCCAGAGCTTGGCTGGAAGGGCCAAAGAGCTTGTTGGTGATTTGCTCGTTCAGGCGGATCAGCCTCGTCTTGGAGTCTCCCCCTGTGTTTGCGTTGTTCTCCGCTCCCCAGAACTTGCGCATCGAGAGCTCGTCTATCCTGCAGAGCTGATGAACGGGTGGCGGTTCCAGTTGATGTGCGCCGTACTCGGCCTGCAGACGAGCCCACGTTTGGAAAGACATTGTGAGCTGGGGCTCATGTTGAGGGTCAAGAATCATCGCCTCCATATCAGCTAGAATAATGCGCCAGGAAGCAAGATCAAGCACCAAGTGATGCCCGATCATGAAAAGGGACTGCTGTCCGTCATGGTCGAACAGATCCACGGTGAAGACTGGGCCGTGTTCCGGGTCCAGCGATGTCTGACTCTGGCCGATTATATGACGCATCTCCTGTATTGAATTGACCTTGTGCATTCTGAAATGGAAGCATTGCTTGGTGTAGCCCGCGAGAAACTGCTTCCACGACCCGTCCTTCTGCCGGGCATAGCGAGAACGGAGTATTGCGTGGTTTTGGACCAACGTGATTGCCGCCCTCTCCACGTCGCTGTCTGCAACCTGCCTTTGGAAATGGACGAGGATGTTCTGGTTGAACCGGCGGGTTCCCTCAGGGTACATTTCGAAGAAGAATTCTTGAATCGGCGTCAAGCCAAACAGCTCATCCGTCACCTCATCCTTTACAACGGGCTGTGCGATGTCGGAAGGAAGCACTCCGACTTTTCTGGCAATTGCTTCGATAGATTTGAGTTGGTTAATATCTTGGATGGAGTGTTCAAGGCCGCAAGACCGTGCCTTTGCAACAACTTGCATGGCAGTGATGGAGTCACCTCCGAGGTGGAAGAAGCTGTCCTCCACGCCAATGCTGTCCAGAGGGATCCCGAGGATCTGCGACCATACCCGCTGTAAATCCTGCTCGACCCTAGTGGAGGGAGCCCTGCGTGCCGTGTTCGAGACACTAAACGACTGGAGATCTGACCATGACCATTTCCCGACTTCCTCCTTCAGTCTGCAGCGGTCGACTTTATCGCTGCTGGTCTTTGGCATCCGGCTGACTGGAAGATACACCGATGGCACCATGTGGGCTGGGAGGATCGAGCGCAGTTTCGACTGAATGGCTCCAGCCAAGTGGCGGAATTCCTCTGTAGGATGCGTAATCAGTGCGTTTGCAGAGTGGACACAGAAGGATTTGCGGCCTCTCGGGACAATGAACGCAACCAGATACGGTTGTTTCTGTCTATCCGACGGCGGCGCAACCACTGCCGTTGCTTCCTGGATCTCGTCGATCTGGCGAAGGTGGTGCTCCACCTCCTCCAACTCGAACCTCTGCCCACGGATCTTGATCTGCGAGTCCTTCCGGCCTATGAAATTCAACGAGCCATCCTCGTTGTACTGCACCAGGTCACCGGTCTTGTACACCCGACTTGGCTTCCCATCGCGCACGGCTCGCAGCCAGCCCGGCTGTTCGATGAACGCCCGCCGGGTGGCTTCCAGGTTATCAAAGTATCCTCGACCGACCGACGGCCCTTCGATCAAGAGCTCCCCAGTGGCTCCAATTGCCACTGGAGTTTCGTGATCGTTCTGATCTACAATCCAAGCCACGACGCCCATCGGGAACCCAATATCCCTCTGCCCGACATCTGAGATCTCCCTGATGGTAGACGCCACAGCGCATTCGGCAATACCGTATTCATTCATCAGCCGAACACGTTTCATCCAGTAGCTGCAGTCAGCCGGTGACATCGCCTCGCCACCCATGACGAGCACGCGTAGCGATGGGAGCTCTCGCTGCATGAGCAGTCGGGCCGTAGAAGGAGTCAAAAACGCATGTGTAACCGCTAACCTCTGAATGGATTCGGCGAAGTGATCATGGCGCTCCGAGTCGGAGAGTATGCAGACACATCCGCCAGCCATGAGAGTACTGAGCGTCTCCATGATGCTCACATCGAATGCGTAGGAAGCATACTGCAGCACTCTCGAGTCGCGATCCAGGCAGTGCGCGCGGTTGTGGGCGACGGCGCTGGAGCAATAAGATTGATGGTCTATAGTCGCTCCTTTGGGAGTCCCCGTTGACCCAGACGTAAACACAACATATGCTGGGTCCCCGGAACTGACAACGGGGAGCGTGGCGCTGGGAACATCCGCCAGGCATTCGGCATTATCGTAAATTGCTATAGCCGAGGAAGTGAGCGAGGCCGCCCTTTCGCGCATATTCTTTGAGCACAGTACGATCTCGCATTTCAGGCCATCGCAAATTGCATGGAGACGCTGGGGAGGATACGAGGGGTCAAGGAGGACAAATGCGGCGCCTGCTTTCAAAACACCCAACATGGCCACTGGCGACCACTTGCACTTCTCGAACAGCACTGGGATGTAACTGCCGGGCTCGACGCCGTGGGTCACCAATTGGGCTGCCACGTCGTTTGCGGACTGTATCAGCTCGGCGTAGGAGAGGTCTCCGTCGGGAGCAGTTACGCACAGGCATTGGGATACTTTAGATAACGTTCGTGGACAATATCATGCACGCACTGCCTCGAGGTCGAGGGCAAATTGCCATTCCACCGCTGTATCTGATCCCAATCTTGCCGACTCATCCGCGGCAAGTCGCCCACTTTCCGTGTGGGATCTGACATGGCCACTTGCAAGACTAGTTCTAGATGTTGGAGCAACCTCTGCACACGCTCTCGACTGATCATGCCCGGATCAAAGGTGGCAGTCACTTCGCAATGCCGATCGTCGTGCGTCATCTGACATTCGAGTGAGAGGCCGTAAGCTGAGAATCCTCCCGTTTGACTTGCCGAAAAGTCGCAGTTCTTGAAGAGATCCGGGGGGCTTGGAGGACAGGGTTGGATGATCAGTTGGCTTTGGAACATACTGGCTGACTTTGCCTCGGGCGAGTACTTTTGAATATTCTGTAGACCGGCCTGCTCATAAGGAATGACCTCCAAAGAGTGAGCCTGGATCTCTGCAAGTGTACCCTTGACGGTCTGCTCCGGCAACAGCTTGATCCGCTGTGGAATAGTGGCGATGGTTGGGCCCGTCATTTCACCGACCCCGTCGACAGCAGCACCTCGGCCGTTGACTGTAATGCCAAAGACAGTATCGTTGACACCAGTATTGCAGGAGATGACAACAGCCCATGCGAGCTTGATGTAGCTTGCCGTAGTGATCTGCGTGTTTGATTTTTCGAGAAGGTTCATTACATAGTCGACCTGCTCGCTAGCCCCAGGAGTATAGGAGGGAGAGGGCAGAGGAGGGAACACAACCGCCTCGAGGCCTTGGAACTGCCTAATCCAGTATTCTTTGAATTCAGATTTCCTCTTCGACAGATATCTGATGAACGCGCTGAATCGGTTGCTCGGTAGTTTGCAGTGTCCATATGCAGCTGTCAGCTGGTCCAGTAACAAGCGAATGGACCATTGATCGCAGAGAGCGTGATGCGCAACGAATACAAAGGCAGATGCTGAGTCTCTGTCCTCCTCGTCGGGAATGATGTAGGCATGCACGAGGTTGTCTCCAGCGCGGTGCGTAAGTTCATCTGATTGTTGTATGCGGTCCTGCAGATTCTGGGCCTGTGCCCACGAGAAGGGGGCTTTGCAAACCACCTGGAACGTCCCATGCGACGGAGACACGATGAATCGAGTGCGTAGGATGTCGTTCAGCTGTACCACACGCTCCCACGCTGCTTTAAGAGAGCCAATGCCAACATTAGAGCGCAGTTTGCAGATCACCCTCGCCTTATAAAGTGAAGCGTCCCGTGCAGTCATAGCGATAAGGCCTTCTTGCAGGGCCGTAGACGGATAAATGTCTTCGACAACGTCTTCATCAATACAGCACTGCGAGACTGCCAGCTGCTTTAGTTCAGAGACTGATTCTGGCTCCAGCAATTGCATGGTTCGGACCGCTGGGCCCTCACACCCATTGCTTAGGCTTGCAGCAGACGCGAGGTCAGCTAACACTGGATGATTGAAGACGTCACGTATCATCAATCGCAGCCCTCGCCGTCGAACAGACATGGTAAGCTTCATGGCAGAAGCCGAATTGCCACCAAGATGAAAGAAATCGTCGTGCATGCCGAAGCGCTCCGACGCCAGACCCAAAACATCACACACGGCTGCATGGATTGCTTCTTCCGCCTTGCCCCGTGCTGCTCTAGTCCTTACCCCCTGAGTAGTAAGGCCATGAAGCTGAGCGTAGGACAGCTTGTTGACGTCGCGGCATAGGGACCGGCGGTCAGCTTTGCCAGTAATAGTGGTGGGAATCTGGCTGAGCGGAAGAAAGAGCTGGGGAATCATAAAGGCTGGTAAGCGAGATCGTAGGCCGTCTTTGACATGTTCCACCTGCGATTGGTACTCCTGGTCTCCCGCCATAAACCCTACTTCCCCCCGCGAAAAGCCAGTGTGGCCGTTCTTAGCCGGATGGAGAGTGAGAGCAATGAGATTTCGCTGGTGACTGCCCGCGTCGGGGTGTTCATGAATCATGACTATCACCGTCTTGGCCTGGGGGAAGAGTTGTCTGACATGATACTCGACCTCACCGATCTCCAGCCGTTGCCCGTGAATCTTTACTTGATTGTCCTTCCGCCGCACGTATACCAGGGAACCGTCCTCGGCATACCGGACCAGATCCCCTGTTTTGTAAACTCGAGGCGCGCTGCCGTCCCCCTTGGCCAAAGCCGGCAACACCAGCCACGGCGGGCGCTGGATAAACACGGACGTTGTCCTTTCTGCATCGCCCCGGTAGCCCTGCGCGAGACTGGGCCCTTCGATTACGAGCTCACCCACCGCTCCTATGGGTGCCAGCTTTTGGTGATTTAACGGGTCCACTATCCAGGCCGTGGCATTTACTAGATAGCCGATTGATTTCCTATCCTCCGCTGTGCGTATTTGCCTCGAAACAGCAAAGATCCCGGCCCATTCCGTCAGGCGTTTGACTCGGGCTTCCCGCCCCCAACCACGTTGATCTACCAAGGTCGTCAGCATGCACATAAGCAGCCAACCACATCCTCGCTGTTGAGTTGTGTTGTTGGTGATCGTCCCTCTGAACTGCAGCTTACTGACTACTGACACATCCTCAGCAGGCGATTCTTGGTTGCTTGGCTGTTTCGGTTGGACCAATCAGTGGGCGTGGGGGGAACCGTGCAGAAGTCGACGCAGAGATCACTTCCTTCACCATGTTGCACAAGCACGTTCCATCTGGCTGCAAGATTCAGTTGTGCCTCGTTACGCACTGGGCTGTGATGTAAAGAGCCTCAGATCCTAGATGGATGAGGACTGTGAGGGCTTTGTCAATATCAACTTGACATGAATCGAGTCAATTGAGTTGCATTACGGGACCAAGTGCCGAGACATCTCGCCTCCGTGCTTTGCCGTCTGACAGGCGGATCCGCATCGCCAGAGGCGGCCCAAAAGTGTAATCTGCATGCGCGAAGGATTTCGAGGTGCAAGAAAACCCCCTGCTAGTGGTCCTGGTTCAGGACGGACTGGATGACATTGTCAACGTCGACTAAATCGAGGCCGTTTGATTGGAGTGCGGATCAAGTTGTGACAGAAACTCTCCTTGCTCTTTGACAGGCCAGATAATGCACTGCAAAGTGTAATCGGCCTGCGCGGAGACATTCAGGTGTCAGAATACCCCCCTGCCAGCGGTGCTGCAAAGCGATGGGAGGTTAAACGCTTTCTCTTCTCCGAGGCGTTGCTGCTACTATTTAAGGCCGGTAGTCTACCCCCTCCCTGGGCCTGCGCAATGCCAACTACTCGTCAGCGATGGCGACAGCAATGCAGGATGTGTCGCCATCTTTCATGTCGTCTCCGACGTCCACAATGACTACTTCTCCCACCCCCAAGCCAGACAAGCCTCGCAAGCTACGGTCGGCCTGCGATGCCTGTCACCGATCCAAGACTCGATGCTCGGGCGGCAACCCTTGTACCCGATGCCACGAGTATATGAGCCCATGTACCTACAGCTATTCCTCCCGCTGCGGTAAACCCAAGGGGGCCCGTAGCCGCAAAACTCTGGAGCGGGAGCAGCGGGTGGCGGCGGCAGCGGCAGAGTCCGCTCGGATGGCGGGGAATCCGCTTCCGTCCCGTCCAGCCGCCGCCTCAGCCACCGCGACAGCCACTCCCGCCCCGTGTCCAGCCACCGACTCCGCGGCTGCCGCAACTGGCGCAACTGGCGCCACCACGTCCGCGGTCGCGTCTCCTCGCATGGACGAGTCTGTTCGACGACGAGGAGGAATTGACCCCGATTTTCTCCAGCTGCGGTGAGAATACCGGGGTTACAGCGTTTTCGACGGACTGGATCCCTCCTCTGCCGTCCATATCCGATTCCGACCTTTCATTTCCGTTATTAGAGTCAAGTTTAGGCCCCGACCCTGACCCCAATGACTCCCTTTTCTGGAGCACGATCGCCGAGCCTGAGTGCCAGCCGGCGAGCAAGGAGCTGCTGGATCCTCGAGCCAACCTGCTGCGCTCCTGCAAATGCCTCCAGACCCTCAGAAACCTAACCTCTCGAGATATCCGTCGATTCGATGCCACGTTTGTCTTTGTCCGGAACTTTGCTCGCGCATTTTCCGCCTTCTATCGTTGTTCACACTGCCCGAAAGATGCCGGCAGTATCAGCATGGCAGTGACCGCGCTGCTGCTGGCAACGACGGCCCTTGAAAAGACCACCAACACAGGGACCGAAGCTGCTGTCTTCAAGTCAGGCTGCTCAGGCATGGCCTCTGCCGACTTTGATGGACCTGCTCACGCCAAGCTCCGATCTCTTCCCGCCGTCGAGCAACAGCAGTGCCACCAATTCCTTGACCCAGCTGGGAAGCTACCAAATCGCCCCTCTTCCGGGAGAACCCGACGCGGAGGAGCATAGTGAGATTCTGAACATCTTGATTCGGTCCGCGGTGCGCCGCTTATTGGCCGTCTGCTGGCAGATCTGGGATCTGCTCCGTGGTCCCGCTTCCCGCGACGGCCGCGGGCATGTCTTTGATCCCCTTGACTCGTCTTCCTCTTCTTCGTCCTCCTCTTCCTCCTTCTCATTCGCCCCCGACAATAACCAACTCTTTGATCTTTCATGCTCGGCCGAAACTGCCCAGTTTCGGAGCACGCTGGTCCAGATACCGGCTCGACTGTGCAATTTGCTGGCGTGAACGCCAGCCCAGCCTCTAGGCTTCCCAACTTCTTTTGCCACCCCTACAACCACACCAAGTGTGACTGGAGGCAGATGTATGAATGATGGTAATTACCCCAACTTTCTTCTTCCATTCTTCCCTCAAGAAGAGAAACTTCTTCTGGCAAAGACCAGGAAGATAATCCACTTAGAGAGTGCGATCAAGGTCTCACTGGAGATGAGGCCTTCTGGGATAAGACGAACAAAAAGAAAAAGAAAAGAAAAAAAAGCACAAAAAAGGGTGTTAAGGGCAAATCGCATGTTGTTCGGTTGCCTGTGTATTGATAGAGTGGGAATTCTCATGAATCATTATGATATGTGTCAGCGAAATGGCAGTCTTCTTGTTCTAATGGGTAAATATATATATGTGGGATGTATAGGATGAAGGTCTGATCTGGCAATCTGTCTATCTCACCTTATACTTCTAAACAGGGCATCAATATCAGTAAGGAGAGTATAAACTATGTGAAATATCTGCAATCTTGTTGAACTATGGAGTCAGTAGTCTGATTGTCAACCCAGAATTGAGAAGGTGGTATCTTTCTAGCATTTCTACCACGGACTGAACGTTCAAATGAATACAGTGAACTTTTACTAATTCTATAGTATAGGCACCTATCGCAGACTAAATATCAACCCTACTTGAATGAGTAATTGCATATTTGCACGGTCTAGGAGTGATGACATGGATAGAATGCTTCAATGCACCAATGTGTATAAATGAAAATTACAGCGTCTGAACACACAGAGCAGCTGAAATCTATATCAACACACCATCAAGCGGCCTTGGAATCCGTCCATCTCCTCCCCTCCATTCCAACCACCTCTTCGATCCGCTGCAGCCCTTCACAAGTTCTTCCCGGGGAAGAGCAAACGTAATCCGAAACCATCCCGGCTCGCTAGCACAATACCCTTGTCCCGCACCTACCGACACGCCCACCGCCTCGAATCGATCATTCAGACGGGCCTCGTCCTCCCAGCTTGGCTCACTACCCGGCCGTGAAGACGATCTGCATCCAAGTCGCGCCCAGATATACACCCCAGCGGCCGGCGGCACAAAGGGAATCTGGTGGAAAGTGAGAAAGTCGCAAATCAGCCGGGCGCTACGCTGCAGCGCGACTCGATTCTGATGCAAGATTGTATCGATGTCCGCGGGGTCGCGGAGCAGCGCAGTGATGACCAGCGAGGTGAATGTCGAGACGCGGGAATGGTTCGAGATGGCGAGGGAGAGCCGCAGGTCCGGGTGTGCTTGGGTGATGCCGAAGCCCTGCAACAGTATTAGTATTGAGAATTCTTGATAAAGGGGGATATGTGGCGTAGATACCAGGCGCAGCCCGCTACTTCCTAGATCTTTGCTGATACTGTATAGCGTGAACACACGCGCTAGATCTACCCCAGGGCGGACACATCGATGTTAAGGACCGAGGTGAAAGGCGTCCGCTCGTCGAGCGTGGAGAGGGCGTAGATCTCGTCGGAGATGTAGTACAGATCGTGCTGTCCGGCGAATTGGAGCAGGGCCTGGATTACCTTCGTGGGGTAGATATGACCGCATGGGTTGTGGGGGTTACACACGAGTATTGCTTTGATGCGGCAGGGGGCCTGACGGAGGGCCCGTTCGTACGCCTCAATATATGGAATATCAGACTACCATGCTAGGCAGAATACCAAACTTAGCTAAGAATTATACCACGCATAGGTAGAATGACTCCGAGCGCGATGGAAGAACAGGCCCGGAGGCTTCTGAAAGAGGTGCCTCTGATCACAATGACTTTCCGTACATGATACGCGGATGGTTTCGCAATGACATGAACGGCCAGAATGCCCACCTGTATGATATGCCAATCGGCCAGACTGATCTCCAGCGTCTAGAGAAGGGGCTGTTGGGTGGCCAGTTCTGGAGCGCATATGTGCCCTGGTAAGACTATCCACCTTACTCTTCCGTTCTCGCGCACATGAAGACCCAGGTACTAACCTCGATTCAGCCCAAAGAACCCAAACAAGGAGGCTGGCGGTTTAGAAGCCCTCCGCCAGACGCTTCAACAGCTCGATGTAATCCACCGATTGATCGAGACGCACCCGACAGTACTGCAGTTCGCCGACTCAGCCGCCAGTATCTGGAGCAGCTTTCGCGCCGGCCGCGTCGCGAGTCTGATCGGGGTAGAAGGCCTGCATCAGATCGCTGACAGCGTCAGCGCCCTGCGCAGGTTGTATCGACTGGGAGTTCGCTATGTGACGCTGACGCACAACTGTCACAATTCCTTTGCGGATGCGGCGACAGTATCCCCTGAGATCCACGGCGGATTATCCCGCAAAGGAGAACGGCTGATTCGAGAGCCGAATCGAATGGGAATGTATGTATTGGCCCTGCAACTGGTATACGGCAGCTCATTGTACTAGGATTATTGACCTCTCGCACACGTCACACAAGGCTCAAACCCAAGCGCTGCGACTTTCTCGGGCACCCGTCATCTACTCTCATTCCTCCATGTAAGAACCAGACTATCCAGTTAAACGTAGGGTCTACTAACACCCACGGACGGGGACTAAAGATATAGTCTCTGCGCACACGCTCGCAACGTCACCGACGACAACCTGCACCTGCTGCAACGCAACGGAGGCGTAATCATGATCTGTTTCCTGCGCGAGCTGCTCGCAGCCGAGGCTGACCAGGCCGCGCTCAGTCATGTCATCGACCATATCATCTACGCCGGCACGCGGATCGGGTACGAGCACGTCGGCATTGGGTCCGGCTTTGACGGGATGCTCCGCGGTCCGGACGGGCTGCATGATGTCTCGTGCTACCCTGCCTTGGTGGCCGGGTTGCTTGAGCGCGGAGTATCCGAGGAGGATGTCAAACGGGTGATGGGATTGAATGTCATTCGCGTGCTGGAGGAGGTGGAGCGTGTTGCTGCCGAGCTTCAAGGGGCCGGGGGAGAATGTCTGTGCGATGAGTTGGACGAGGGTGGAATGAGGATATCAAGGGGCAGTTGACGCGGGAGCGAGAACGTGTGAGGAAGTTGTTGCCTAAAGAGATGGAGTAGGCATTCTCAAGATGCAATAGAATTGAATTCATGATATCTTAAGGGAAGTGAACGATGAGGCTGCTGGAATTATGTAGGTATCTAGAAGAGAGAGATGCTACAAAGCTATCTAACTAAGGCAGATAGCCCTAGGTCACACCGTCATATGCACCCATGGGTTTAACCTATATCCATATGGATTAGGTAGGTTCAACCCATATCCACATGGTTTAGATCAGGGTAGACCTGATCCAACCCAAACTACAGATTGGGTGGGTTGGATATGGATTTATGGATTGGGTAAACCAGTCTAGCCGGGAGGGAACTTCTCCCTGTCCTAGGACGTCTTCTGCAACAGACAATAAGAACGTTTCTCAGTTTCTTTCCTATTTCTACAAGGTGTGTTAGCCCCAAGGATACCAACCACGAGACAAACGGAAGACTAGAAAATGCTTGGTTGGACGTTCCAAAGAGATTTTCGGCGCCAGCTTCCGTCCAGAGCTGGAGTCCATTCAAGTGTCTTTCCAAATGAAATCTTCAATCGTTGACCCCGTCAGCCAAGTTTGTAGATCTTTGAACGCATCCAGATCATTTTTTTCAGTTGAAATGTCGACGTTGGGGTCATGCCAGTGCCTGGTTCTTTTTGTTTCGGTGCTGCGCAGGGACTCTCCAATGCATCGACAGCTGTCAAAGTCTATGAAAATAAGGGTTCCGTCCTCATCAAGCATAATGTTGGCGGGGTTAATGTCATTATGGACAAGTCCGAGCGAGTGAAGATGTTTGATGGCTGCTAGAACCCCTTGGAGGCCACTCTTGATACTTCCAGTCACTAGCTCGCGCCCACTCGAAAGGAAAGCGGCCTTGTTAAGGCATTGAGGATTGACCGCCTGAAGTAATGTGGACGTATACCGCTTGAAGCATAAGCCAGAGACTCGACCGTGATCTTGATTGCAACCGTAGTAAGTCGCGACGTTTGGATGAGGATTCTTCCGAAGGATCTCGCAAGTTTCAACTTCGCGAGTGATTCGCTTTTTGAGGTTTCCATCGACATATGCCAGAAGACTTGGCGTCTTCACAAACACTGCAGACCAGCTTTTTTTCATCTCCGGGCCCCTGTCCTCAGTCGGTATTTGCTCAAGTTCCTCGAGTTCTTCGAGCGTAGTCGGAGAATCAAGTCGGTTTGGCCATTTCCCAGAATATAACATGCCATCCCGCTGGGCAAAGATCTGGACGTAAGAAAATCTCATCTTGCCATCAATTCTTTGGAAGGCCTCATACTTTTGTACAACCTCCATGTTCAAATGTGGAATTTCTTCTGGGAAGTTGCGATAATGGATGGATTAAGTAGAGTCGGGAGTGAAGTGGTAAAGGAGAGTAGAGGAGAGGCTTCAGGCGTGACTTTAAGCCCCTGTCCGCCTTCTGTTAAAGGCAGCCAGCCACATGAGGCAGTGGGTAGAGATGCAACTAATTATTTGGGTTGTCATCGAATGACTGTAACAAAGAAAAGAAAAAAAGCACGGCTCATCACTTAGGTTTTGGATCTTCGGAGCTTTTTTGGTTCTATAAACACCCTATATAGGAGCCTGCTAGGTTACTATGGTAGGTGACAAGAGTATATGTAAATACAAGGTTAATGACAAATAAACAAACTAAAGCAATATCTACAATCTAAGCTGCCTGATAAAGCTAAAGTACCTGACGATAAAGACGCTGAGCCAGATGCGCTGTCGGATGATCGAAGATGGTGCAAATGGGCACCTCCAGCCCAACCCGTTTCAACTGACGGCTTAACCGCCAGGCATGAATCGAATCAGCGCCTGCCTCAAAGAAGGACACGGAGCAGGGAAACTCATCCAGCGAGATACCCAGGCAGGAGGCCATCTCGCGACGCAGGATTCCAACCAGACGGCGGTAGAGGTTCCAATCGACTTTTGTCTTGGCCGTGCTGTTCATCGCATTCAGGCGCTCGTGGATGGCGGCTCGAGACAGGCGATCGGCCAGCCCCTCAAGGACACACAGGATACTTTCCTCGATCGTGGTGATGGTCGCGTCGTCCAGCTGGCCATCGTCGTACTCGATGCGCAGAGTCCAGTGATCCGTCTGGATCTCCGTCCATTCGAACATGAGCAGGAACTTGGCCCCTGACGCAAAGCACATCTCGCGTTTTACCTCTAGCCCCTCGATCGCGAGACAATCTTCCACTGCGCCTTTGAGATGGAAGGTGACCATGGCTTCGAAGAGCGGGTGTTGCCGAATGGTCCGCGGCAGGTGGAGGAGGTTCAGGGCCTGCTCGAAGGAAATGGCATTGCAGACGGCCGCTTGGCTTGCTTCCCGAGTAGATTGCAGGATAGTAGCGCAGTCTGCATTGACAGGTGTTTTGAAGCGAAGAGGTAGGCGATCGAGGAACAGGCCCATCGACTCTTGCTCTATCGCGTGGCCGCGGTTGGCCCACGGAGAACCGAGCACGACGTCGTTCGAGCCGGCGAGCCACTGAAGTGTTTGCGCCACTGCGGCGCATACCAGCTGGTGCTGGCTCATGCCATATTCTTTGGCCAAGGCGACGACGCGTCGCACGAGGTCTCCCTTGAACTCGGACACTCGGGAACGGCCTTCAAAGGTCATCTGGCCTGGATACCGCGGGATGTCCAGGTGCCGGGGAGCGCCCTCGAGGTACTTGGACCAGAACTTCCGTTCCTGCTCTGTGAGCTGGCGCGACCAAGCTGGGGCCCGGGGATAGTGCCATCGGTCCGCTGTCAAGGTCATTCTTCCCGCGTACACGGCCGAGACCTCCTGCAGCAGATTCTGCACGCTGTTGAGGTCGGCGACGGCGTGGCTAGTGACCACGAGCAGGGTGCGACGGTCCAGGAAGACTCGGATGAGCTCATCACGTGCAAGGTCAAAGCCGCGGTCGACCTCCCTGGCTATGTCGAGGGCGCCGTCGCACACCAGGACTCGTGGCGGCGTGTCACGGAAGATTCGACATGGTCCGAGCGAGGTCTCGACAAAGTTGGTGCGGAAGATCTTGCGCGAGGCCAACACGGCGTTGAATGAGTCTAGGAGACGATCGCGATCAAAGGTCCCGCCGAGATGCAGGAGGACGGGGATGTTGAACATGCGCACATCAGAGGCGATCAGGTATTGGAACCACGTCTGCCGCTCTACCGGCGACAGGCAATGATCAGGAAACGCGTCGCAGATGGTTCGTGGTTTGGCCGTCGAGGTCTGCCGTTTGCGACGTACCAGCTCGACCTGCTCGGCCAGGGTGGGATGTTCAATCACATCGCGCATCGACACGGAGATGCCAAAAGTACTACCGAGGCGAGCCGCCAGCATCATCTGCAGAACAGAATGGCCGCCCAGCGCACGAAAGTCATCCTCGTCACAGAGTTTGCGAGAGCTGCCGCCCACCTGCAGACGCAACACGTTCTTCCACAGGGTTGCGATTCCGTCTGCGATGGAAGCATCTTTTGCCATCGTCCCTGCACTCGTCTTTTGCTGCGGCACTGCGTCCTCCGGCCTGGTCAGGGTGGCTCTCTCCGCCAGCTTGCGATAATCCACCTTGCGGTTCGCCGTCCAGGGGAACTCTTCGAGCGCAGTAATCACTTGGGGCACCCAGCTGGGCTGGAGCGATTCGCGCAATCGCTGCTCCAGTCGGCTAACATCCACGTCGTGCGGCATGACAAAGGCGACCAGGGTATCATTGACAACGAGAGCGGCCGCCTGAGTTAGACGTGGCTCCTCCTGATACATCTTCTGCTCGACAGCCGCGAGCTCGACGCGGAAGCCGCGGATTTTGACCTGCCGGTCCAGCCGTCCGATGTATACAATCTGCCTGTCCGCGTTCCAATAGCCGTAGTCGCCTGTGCGATACATCCGTTCACCTAAATGCCAAGGATCCGGCAGCACGCTGTAAGCAGTCTTGGCGTCGTCTCCCACATAGCCTCGCATCACCTGTTGTCCGGCCAGGAAGATCTCGCCGGTCTGGCCGTCCGACACGGGCTGTAGATCGGGGTCCAAGATGTACATGCGCGCGGTGCGAATGGCGTTTCCGATGGTGACCTGCTGGCCGGGCACTAGGCGTGTAAACGACGTACAAATAGAGCACTAAGAATATTAGTCTAGTACAGAAACCTTTGATGCAGAATTCGAACCTACCTCTGCAGGACCATAGGCGTTGTAAAATGTTCGGCCCTCGCCCCACCGAGCGAGCAAGCCCGGAGTGACGGGTTCTCCTGTCGCATATACCATGTCAAGGTTAGGATAGTCGTCTGGATCCAACACGCTGAGAACAGAAGGAGTGATTGTTGACACATCGACCTTGGCCAGATGCGCCAGAGGGTCGGACGGGTCACGAAGCACCAGCGTGCCGCCATGGAGCAGCGCAGAAAAAATCTCGTTAGAACAGTAGTCGAACGCAGGCGACATGAACTGAGCAATACAATGGCCGGGACGGCTGAACATGGTAGCTTCGGGATTCGACTGCAAAGCCAGAAGGCCCCTATGGCTGATGGGGACCCCCTTGGGGCGACCGGTCATACCGGAGGTGAACACGATGAGGGCATCCTCGTTTGCGTTGTCGAGGAGCGACGGTTGCCTGCTCGTGTCCCCTGTCTCGCATTCTTGAACCGTAAAGACGCGGAGGTCAGTTATTGGCAGGATGGCCGCGCTCGACGAGCAGGCATTAGGGATCAAGAGTGCGCTGGCACCGCTTTGCTCGTAGACGGCGACCCGTCTCGCCATCGGATACGCAGGGTCGAGCGGACAGTATGCACAACCGGCTTTCAGGATACCCAAGATCCCCACCACCCAGTTGAGGGTTCCATCTGCATGAATGGCGATGACTTGAGCGCCGGGAAAGTGCTTTGCAATATGCGATGCCACCGCGTTGGACTTTTGATCCAGTGTCCGATAGGACAACGAGCCTCCAGGCCCGTCCACGGCTATCAAATCCTCGTGGAGGTCGACCGACGCATAGAACGCCGCCGCTACATTGGGTACATTGTCTCGTTCAGGATCAGATTGAGGCTGGTCAACCGCGGGGGGTTCCTTTATCGGCGCGGTGAGCCGTGCCTCCAGAGTCGAATCATGCACCAGCGCCTTGAGCGCTTGTTGGAAGGTGTCGGCATACTGCTGCACGGTCTGTTCACAGTGCACGGAAGGATTGTATACCAAGCGGAAACGAGCATCCGCTTCGACCAGTAGACTCAACACAAAGGTCGTATTCTCAAAAAACTGCTCCTTTTGAGGAGGGATGGGTTGATCATAGGCCGGAAAGTCATACTGCGTCGCCAGTAGAGAGTCCACCCGGTATCCGATCTGATCAGGGGCAGACCAGGAGTAGGCGCTAATTATTGCCAGACCCTCAAGCGTGGTCTGCAGCTGGCGGGCAACGGATGCGTTTGTCTCGACGCGGCATACCAGATGCAGGGTGGCCATCATTGGCCCGACGGCGTGCGCATCGTCCGGCAGGACCTCTCGACCGGCGAAGACCACTCCCAGAGTTACGAGGTTGGACTTGGTCGTCCGAGCCAGGGTCAAGGCCCACGCGGTGTAGTAGACGGCTGCCAGGGTCACACTGCAGCTGGATGCAAGTAAGTGTAGCTCGTCCACGCCGCCGACATGCTTGAACAGGACCTCCTGTGCGAGGTACGGCTGTGCTATCGGTGTTGTTATTGCCTCTGTTCTCATGAGTGGCTGCACCGGCTGGAGATACTGCTCCCAGAACCGCCGTGCTTCGCCGTCTCGCCGATTCTGGATCCTCTGCAGGTTCCACGCTGCGTCCACAAAGGATGAGAGGCGGGATGGTGTGACCCCTTGGGTCGCCTGCTGCACCCGCGCCAGAATCAGTCCCAACGAGTAGCCGTCGATCAGGCTGTGGTGGGCCGTCCAGACAATGGTAACCTCACCCTCCTCGGCATCGTGGTCATTGGGAATGAATTTCATAAAATCCAACCGCATACCGAGTCCCACAGCCAGGCGCGAAGGATCGGTCAAGGCAGCGTTGTAGTCCTCCCGGCGATGAAAGATTATTTCCTGCGGCTGGCACCGTGGCTGAGAGTGAACGATCTGCACGCCAGGCCCGATATCCAGCGCGATCTGTGTCCGGAAGACGGGCTCGCTGAGACAGACCTGCCGCCATGCATTACAAATGCGATCGGCGGTGGCTAAGGGGTATGTCTGCCGCAGCTGATTTGTGTTGGTCCCATCGCTTTGAAAGATGGGAGCGCTCAGCTCCAGCTGAAGGGGTGTCAACGGAGCGATCTCAATGTCTGATGGAACCATGCCGTCCAAGAGGGGAAGTGCAGCAGCGACCTCGACCTTGAGAGACAGTCGGTGGTTGATTTGCTCCTCCTTGTCGGATACTGACTGACCAGACCGAGGCAGGTCACGAGCATACGGGACAATGCCTCTGACCGTCGGATGCAGGTTAGTGAGAAGGATGCCCCGTTCCCGGCACAAGGAGGTGAATCGAAGAGCGGCCAGAGAGTTAACCCCCATGGCGAAGAAATTGATATCCTTGGGCGTCGACGCAAACGGGAGTTCTAGTCCCAAAGCAGTGTACATGCATTCGGCTATGAGTTGCTCGCGCTCCGTTGGACGTTCTGCCCCAGTCGCCTCTTCATCTTCCGTGCCCTCGCAAAGACGCGCTTGGTATTCTTTGATCATGTTCTCGATCGCCTTGGTGTCAATCTTTCCATTGGCCGACAGCGGAAATTGATCGACAGCCAGGTATCGTCCCGGCTGATGGAATGAAGAGAGTCGACGCTGGGCCTCGCTCTGCAGGCCGTCCAGATCTGCAGTGGCCGGGGTCACCAGCACAACCAAAAGACCGTTGATCAATGAGGCATAGACATCAGTGACTCCGAAGCCCATCTGGCGCAGCGGTTCCTCCACATCGGCCGGCAGATTGACGAGAAAGCCGCGATTCTTGACGGTTCGATCACTGCGGCCGCGGAATTCGACCACGCGCTGGCCATCGTTACGACGGGTCCAGCGTCCTTGATCGCCGGTCCGGTAGACTCGCTTGCCGTGCCAGTCGATAAACTTCTCAGCTGTAAGGGCGGCGTTCCGGTAGTAACCGTGGGCCAGCCCGACACCTGCAATCGCAATCTCGCCTTCTTCGCCTTCCTCTTCGACGGGCACAAGAGTGTCCGACTGCAGCAAGTATACCGGTCCATTGGGCATCGGACAACCGATGATACCTCGGTTGATCATTCCTGTCTCCTGGCAGACCTCTACTTCCTGCATCAATGAGGCACAGGTGGTTTCCGTGGGACCGTAGGCGTTGAGGATGCGGACGCCGATTTCAAGCCAGTTGGACAACAGCGGGGCTGGTGGCGACTCCCCGCCCAACAGAATTGTATGCACATATGGGTAGCTGTCTGGTAATACCGTTGGGAGCGGCAGCGTGGCCAGGATCGAGGGGGTTGATGCGAGGATCGAGCAGGTCTGCGCTTTGTCGAAGAGGGTATCCATCGTCGCAGGGACCACAATGCCCGAGCCGCCTAGAATGGAAAAGAGCATCCCCGTTGAGGCCATACAGTGAGCGTTTGGTCATACAAGCCCAGTAGGGATGCCTACATTCAAAAGATACCGACAGGATATTGAGTACTCGGTCTCCCGGCTGCACATCCATGTTGAATGGACTGGTGTGGGCATAATTGGCGACCGCACGGTGCGGGATCATGACACCCTTGGGCACTCCCGTGCTACCACTCGTAAAGATCAGACAGGCGAGGTCCTCGGGAGCGACGTCGGGAACGACCTTGGTGCTGCTGCGGTCTGCCGATAGAGCGGCCACATCGGCACTGGTCAGATGGATGACTTTGTGCCGCGAGCTTTCAAACGGTTCGACGGTTGTGTTGATGAGAAGGCGGCTGTCCGTTCCGTCCAGGACGGCTTGGATTCGCTCTGACGACCACGAGCTGCGGTCCAGAGGGACATAACAGGCCTGAGCCTTGAGGATGGAAAGCAGTGCGACAATATTCCGGGTGCCGTGCTCCGTGAGTAATAGTACCGCTTCGCCAGGTACTACTCCTTCTTGCTGTAGCTTTCGTGCCAGGTTCGATGAGGCGACGTCTAGTTCTGCGTATGTGAGCGAGCCGCTCTCATGGTCGACTGCCAGCTGGTGTGGTGTCCGGGCGACGGACCGTGCAAAAAGCTGGCAGAGGTCGGAGGCTACTACTGATGGCATGATGAAGAGCGTAGGGTTGAGCCAAAACAATACAGTAGATATTCAAAAAGGAGAAGACATGCCTGACTCTTTTCTGTTGAGAGAAGTTTTGATGTAGGTTCAGCTCGAGGCAGTTCGATGCTTCATATCCCTATTTCTCGGAGAGGTCCGGGGATGGATCGCCGCACTATAGTGGGGACGTATTTCCTTTGGACCAAACGTAGAGTCCCTATCGGCATACAGTATTGCCACTATAGGCTACATCCCAGTTGCCGGGGGTGGTTTGGCCTCCGAAAAGTCGGCCTCCGAGTAGGGGTTGCAGTGAGAGGCAGGCCCTGCAGCAGGGGTCTCTTGCAGTTAAGGTATCGACAAGCCCCTACACTACTGTACCGACCATTCTGCTGACCCTTACCAACTCTGTCACCATGGCATATGCATTTACTGTCCTCCTCCCCTGTCTGGCCCTAGCCCTCGTGGTGGCTCGACCGGCTCTCTACTGGGTTCTCTCTGTCGTCGTAGATGTACGGGTTTCTGATGCTAATTCTGAAGAATACTGACTTATGGCATATAGCCTTTTCTAAGATGGAAATACCCACTTCCCCATCACCCGGGTGTTAAACCCATGTCGCGTGCTCGTTATACATGGCCCAATGGTCAAGGCACAGAAAAGTTCTTCAATGGGCGTTCTGCTGCCAAAAAGTGGCGACAGCAATGGGGTCCGATATATCAGATTTGGTCTGGCTGGTGTCCTGAAATGTCAGTTTGAGCTCTACCCTCACGGCACGTTCCTAACTGCTAATGCTGACGATGATAGTGTGCTGACCACTCCTACCCACGCCGCCCAATTCTTCTGCAACTCGCATCGTCACACCAAAGCAGTAAACAATGACTCGGGCTGGCTGTTCGGTGAAGTGCTTGGCGTCTGCGTCGGCCTGCTCAGTGGCCCCGACTGGAAACGGGTCCGGCAGCAGGTCGAAGACGGCTTTTCACGTCCCGCCGCCACTCGATATACGGCTGACCTGGTCACTCTGGCCCGCGAATATCTTCAAACTACCCTGTTAGCGTCATCCGAACAAAGCCTGGAAACAAAAGGAATCATTCAAGTCGAGCCAGCCAAGACCCTGCAGTTCTATCCCTTTCTGTCGGTGGCTCAGATCTTGTTCGGACGCTTAAGCCCGATGCAGCGTAGCCAGCTGACCACACTGGCTCCTTTAAGGGAGGAATTGTTCAAGGAGGTCATTCGCGGCGGCATCAATCGATTGCCCATCGCGCCTTGGTTCCAGTCGCGGGGAGTGCGTCTCTTGAATGAATTCCAGACGCAATGGGAGCAATTTGTCGAAGCCGCCTACCACGCAGCCGTAAAGCGCAATCAATCCCCCAGGCCGCTGGTCATCGGTCTGTGGGAGTCCTATCAGGCGGGGTCCATCAGCAAACGTGAAGTAAGTGGAAGTGCTCTCGTGCTTGCAACTCCAGCAGGTCGTATAGATTCCTGACTGCATTAGTGCCTGCAAACTCTCGATGAATCGCTCTACGCCAATCTGGACGTCACCACGCATGCCCTCTCCTGGAATGTCTTGTTGCTGGCAGAGAATATCGAGGCCCAGACTGAACCGCGCCAGGAGGTCCTGTTCGCACTGCAAAACGAGGCCAGCGAAGCGTACGAACGATACATTGACCGAGACGACACGTTCCTTGCTGCTTGTGTGCTGGAGTCTGCCCGGTTGCGCCCAATACTGCGTGAGTACACCATATGCCAAATGGGATGAACGTTCACTGATGCACCTGGACAGCATTTTCCAATCCTGAATCGGCGCCCGAGGACCTATACGTGGATGGCTACCTCATCCCGGCGAATGTATGTATTTATCCCTCTGTAATGTCCAGAGCACGCCGTTGATATCTTCCAGACCAATGTTATTGTGGACTCGCAGGCGATCAACATCGATAACCCTTTCTGGGTGAACGGAACCCAATACAATCCTCGACGTTTCTTCACTCTCAACAAGTCAGATGTATGTGATTCTTGGCCAGCATTTAGGTCGGACGTTCCCCAGCTGACTGACTTCGTAGGTCCGCCATAATATGTGGCGCTTCGGATTTGGCCCCCGGCAATGCCTCGGCAAGCATAGTGGCGAGCGGATGCTCAAGGCCATTGTCGCTGAGATCGTTCGCCAGTATGTCGTCTCCATCTCAGCAGACAGCGCGTCGGAGAAGAATGCCATGCAGGAGGAAAGCTGGGTGGGATTGCCTGCGACACGGATTCAGTGCGTGCCGGTAAGATGAGAGGTCGAGAAGGATTAGAATAGTCGTACAATAGCAAAATGGAATAGTTTCTTGATCTGTGCTCGTGCTTATCACCTGGTTCTGCAAGCCCTCTATTTCACTTTGTCTTACCGTCAGTTGCACGATACGGATTCCGTGCGTAAAGCGCGGTAGCATGGAGTCGATTCAAGTGAATCAGCTTCGGATGTCACAATCAGCCTAGATCACCCTGTAAACCTTGAGACTTGTTAAAATCAAACCACATGTTTTAATACCTACAAGTACTCAGCTCAGCGGGGTCAAGTCAACGTAGTTCACTGCAGATAGAAGTCTATGTACACAATCAATTCCACATAGGCCGAAAGTCGATGATACAAGGCCACGCGCGACGCACACGATGCACCTGGTGAATCTGCCAACCGGCCAACTGTCCCAGCCGCTTCCAGTCCTCAAGGGACCGTTCCTTACCATTGCAGGTAATCATCATGATCAGATCGCCGTACCGAGGCAGACGGCCCGATCGACCAGGCGACTTGATCGACTCGACGACCAGGAAGCGACTGACAGGCGACGGCACGATACTCCGACGTACGTTCTTCAGGATAGTCAGCACATCGTCGTCGACCCAGTCATGCAGACACCATTTCATGGTATACACCGAGGACGGGGGGATCTGCTTGGTGAAATCGCCAACAACGAGCTGCTGGACACGAGACCCGATATCGCTGAATCGACCGTACGGCTCGCGGAATTCCGGCGTGATCAGCTCGATGACAGACTTGATATCCATGAGACTTCTCTGGAGGTTGGGATGCGCTCGCAGTAGCGACGCCAGGAACGCGCCGGACCCGCCGCCGATGTCCAGGATGGGTTCGGAGCCAATCTCCTCCCAGGGATAGTCGACGGTCAGGCCGCGGGCTTGCGCAACGGCGCCCGCACCAAGCGTCTTTTGGAACTTGGCGAGTTTCTGCTCTTTGGCGAGGTACTCGAAGAGATCTAGCTCGGTGCCGTATGCGATCTGGGCGGCGGTGCGGCTCTCGCCTAGCTTGACGGCCTGTGGCATGGCGCGGCTGACGTCGAAGAACTCGTTCGGGTACAGATCGGCCCAGAGGTGCCACTGGGTCCAGTGGTCGTGGCAGAGAAGGAGGGATGCACGGTTGTTGCTGTAGGTATCGTCGGCGGCATTGTAGGCAAATATGCCATTGTTGACGAGCGTGTCGAGCAGTTGTGCAAGCCGCTCGGGCTGAATGCCGCATCGCAGACCGAGGGTTGATACAGGCTGGGGACCATTTTCGGCCAGTCGGTCCGCCACTTGGGCTTCCACAACGGTCCAGAGCGCCTTGCTGTTGAGGTATCCTGGTAAATCATTTGTCAGTATGTGAGGAAATGTACTTGTACGACTCTGCTGCTTACCGAAGAAACCATCAGTTAGCAACGAGACCGATGGGACGAGCTGCAGGTGAAGCTTGTCCATACTGTCCACCAGCTCCAATGCGAGCTGCTCCAGCTCCTTATCGGGGAGCTGATCAGGATGATGAAGCTGCTCATTCAGCCATGACTGAACCTCGGGTGACTCGATAGCGGATTGGACACGCTGCACATGTGCCTGTAACTCGCGCAGCTCGTTCACGATGGCTTTGAATTCCTTGCGTGGCGTGGCATTGCCGTTGAGGGTCTCGCTTTCAAGTAAGCTGGGTGCCATGGTTATCTCGTTCTTTATTGTGCTTCATGTGTAGGACAGCACAGCACACTCGTTGATTGCGAGCACTCGGATACATATACTCGACATTGTCGGAGACATATCTCCTTTTCGGTCGCCGAACTATAATCATGATTCTATTCGGCGACAAACCGTATATATCCATCAAATAGAGATACTGAATGATTGACATGATCCAGAATCTTCCATAGGCGCGAAATACAGGGATACTTAGTCGAGGTAGGACCGTATGGCTGGTCAACCCCAGGGCCAAGACATCCGCTAGCTAGTAATCAGTCATTCAGCCTAGAATCAACCTACGATTAAAGGGATATATTCTTCGGTATAACTGTATTGCATAAAGCTGGACTACTCTATAGACAGTGGGAGAGTAAGAATCACGCCTCTAACATTCCGTACTCCTTCTTGCCATGGCCAAAGCCGGCAACGCGCTGCCATGCCCGTTTGACGGCCTCTCGCTCACTCATGCGAATCGACCATTCCTGCAGTTTTGGCCATCTCTCAAACTCCAGACCAAACAGTTCCGCCGTGGATTTCATGGCAAAGGGCAAGGTGGCAATATCCGCAATGGTCGGTCGGTCTGTCAGAGCCAGGTATTGCTGGCCGGGTTCATTGAGGCGACGTTCCAGAATATCATACTGGACCGTAATGTTGCTGCGCAGTCTGTCGCCCATGTTAGCTAGGTAACTAAGAGACAAACACGAAAGGCAGGAGGTTACTTTTCAATAGTTTTGGGCAGCTTCTCCGGGTGCAGCTTATAAAAATACAGCCAGTACTTGGCCGTGGGCCCCAGAGCTGCCGTGTGCAGAGTCAACCAGTTATTGATTTTAGCCCTCTCCTGCACGTTGCGTCCGCCAAAGGTTCCGTCCTTGTCGTATGCATCGGCAATGTACATCAGGGTCGAGGTCGATTCCCAGGCGCGGACGGTGCCCTGGCTGTCGGGCGAGCGGTCCAGGATGGCGGGCACCATCTTGTGAGGATTGATCTCGCTTAACCAGGGGGCAGACACCTTTTCGACGACCTAGATGTCATGAGGCACTCCGAGCTCTTCGAGTAGAATCAACGGTTTGACGGTGTTGTGGGTGGACGTGGCAGTGCCTGCAGTCACTCCATGAGTGGGAGGGCTTGAGATGCGTTGACTCGGCTCACCTTTCACCACGAAAAGCACCAGCCGGTTTACCACAAGATTCGACGGGCGTTCGGTCATTTTCACGGGTATAGAACGATTAGAGAATTGAAAATAGGGTGTGGTAGTCTAGCAAGGGTAGTGGCAGCAACGTTATCAGCCGTCCTCTGGCTATCCTATATCTGCAGCAACCACCTCTTGTAGCCACCCCACACGCCATCCGAATTTTCGGACGCCGTCGGTGGGTGGAGATAGAGGCAAAATGGACAGAGAGATAATTCCCTCGTCACCCTTCTTTCTGAACGCAAAGAGCAAATAACATGGCGAAAGCGACGTTGCAATACCCCCACGGGGGAATCTGGTACTTTGCCTACGGCTCTAACATACGCCTATCTGTGCTTGAAAACCGAGGCATCAAGGCCCTGGATATCAAGGCAGTCGTTGTCCCCTCGCACTACCTGACGTTTGACATCTTCGGCATCCCGTATGTTGAGCCTTCGTTTGCCAGCATTGCCCCTTTTGCACCAGACAAGAGAACCACCCTACGACTGGGCGATTCACCCTCCCGTGATGTTCCTCCTGCCCAGGGTCTCGCGTATCTTCTGAATCCCAAGGATTACCGGCAGCTGGTAATCAGCGAAGGTGGCGGAGTGGCCTACGATGAGGTCGAGGTTCATGTCACGATCCTCGCGGAGGATGGCAAACCGGACCCAAGGAGTATTTTGATCGCTCGAACCTTGCAAGCAAAGTATCCCTGGAGACCCAACGGTGCGCCCAGTACGCGCTACCTGGTGAGCTTGTCCAAGAACGGGATTTATAGTACAGTATACTGATTTGTAGCAGGGCTTGATCTCCACGGGATGCAAACAGAATAAGCGGCTCACGGCGTACAGCGCCTATATCGACTCCTTACCGTCGTACGAGCCTCCGACATCCTTCCACGCGAAGTTGGGAGGTCTTCTTTTCCTGCTGTTTTGGCGCCCGCCGCGTAATATGCTGATTCGACTGATCAGGGTGCATACCGACAGCGACGGACATTGTCCAGCGTGGCTCGGTTGGATTATTCTGACCTTTTACGGGCTGATGTGGTCATATCATGATAATATCCACTCGAGGATCTGGGGGCGAGGCGATGGCCGGAAATTACATTTTGAAGAGACTACAGGGGGAAAAACTGCTAAGGTCGGTTAGGCAATAGGCTATAGCCATAGTGAATATATCTATTTTATTGCAGTTTCGGGAGAAATCATACGGAGAATGGAAGCATGAGGAACGAGTGAGTACCTTGTAGAACTCAACAGATACATCTACGCTTCATCCTGTTACCATATAGCAATAGCAATAGTATCATAAAAAGGAGAGAACGTACTAAATTACGTGCTGATTGGCTGATGGGTGTCCCTTGCCCTAGTTGAGGTTGTTCGGAGACTTAACGGAGACTTTGCCGCCACGCCAAATCAGATGGGATGATGCTGCAAACAGTCCGAGATGAGCAGATTTCTTTCAAATTTAGCAGGGATCTGCATTAGCCAAGTGTCGGCATTGAAAATGGGAACTGATGACAAGTGAGCGAGTCTAGAAGGGCTTCTTAGCTAATATGGCCAACGCTAGATGCATGAAAGTCTCCATGTCTCCGATGTCTTTGTAGATATAGATGCGCGTCTCTGGCTACTCCGCTGCTCGTTCATGTTTACAATCTATCTTCAAGTCAATTGAACATCTCTAGTGACATCAATCATCATGTCTAATCCTTCTATCGAAGAGTCCAAGCGAGAGCTGGACAGCTCTCCCAACGGTTCCATCACGGGCCATGACCCAGCCCCAGAGGAAGAGATGCATTATCCGTCTGGCTTTGCCCTCAGTGTCATCATGGCCGGCCTGGTGGCTGCCATCTTCCTCATCTCCCTCGACACCACCATTGTCTCCACCGCGATTCCCAGAATCACCGACGAGTTCCACACCGTCGCGGATATCGGGTGGTATGGATCGGCCTTCTTCCTGACGCTCGCCTCCTTCCAAGGCACCTGGGGCAAGATCTACCGCTATTTCCCCCTGAAGCTGAGTTTTACCGCTGCCGTGCTCCTCTTTGAGGTCGGATCGATGATCTGCGCCGTCGCCCAGAACTCCGTGACCCTCATCGTCGGCCGAGCAATTGCCGGCATTGGGGCTGCAGGCATCTCCTCTGGTTCTTACACCATCCTCGCCTTTTCTGTCCATCCAAGTCGCCGCGCGGCCATGACGGGAGCCATCGGGGCCAGCTTTGCCGTGGCTGCGGTCGCTGGCCCGCTCATCGGGGGTGCTTTTACGTCAAACACAACCTGGCGGTGGTGTTTCTGGATCAATCTGCCGATTGGTGGCGTTTCCGCCGGCCTGATCGCCATCTTCTTCAAGGCACCGCCGCAGGCTCGTGCGAAAAAACGTCCCGTACAAGGAGATCCTGCTGCAGATGGACCCATCCGGTATCGTCCTGCTGCTCGGCGCCATCCTCTGCTTCCTGCTGGCCCTGCAGTGGGGAGGATCGGCCAAAGCCTGGGGAAGCGCCGATGTCGTGGGAACCCTGGTCGGGTTTGGCCTGCTGCTGATCGCGTTTACAATCAATGAACTCTGGCTGCAGGAGAAGGCCATGATCCCGCCGCGCTTGCTCAAGGGCCAGACCATTCTCTTCTCCTGTCTCTTCACCTTTTTCTTCTCGGGATCGTTTTACCTTCTGCTGTACTACCTGCCGACCTATTTCCAGTCTGTCAAGGGCGCGTCGGCCTCGGACTCAGGCGTGCACACCCTGCCACTGGTCCTGGGCGATGGTCTCTTCGCGACTCTCTCGGGCGCCGCGCTCGGCATCATCGGCTACTACATGCCCCTGCTGACTCTCGGCGGCGTGCTCACCACCGTAGCCAGCGGCTTGCTCTACACTCTGGATCTGCACTCCGGCTCCAACGAATGGATCGGATACCAGGCCATGGCGGGCATCGGGGTCGGTCTCGCCATCCAAGTGCCCATGATGACCAGCCAGGCCGTCGTCGGCGTCGAGGATCTTTCTACGGTCTCGGCCATGATCCTCTTCTTCCAGTGCATGGGCGGGGCTATCTTCGTACAGGCTGGCCAGGCCGCCTTCACCAACAAGCTGGTCCAGGAGGTGCAGCCCCACCTGCCTAACATCAGTGCGGCCCTCGTCACGTCGACGGGTGCTACCGAGCTGCAATCCACGTTCCATGGCCATGAGCTACAGGTCATTGTCGAGGCGTATGTGGCCGGTCTGCAGGATGCGTTTATTGTGTCGACTGTCTTGGCTGGTATTGCTACCTTGTTGTCTTTTGGTTCGGGCTGGAAGAGTGTGAAGAGCAAGAAGGGGGAGGCCAAGGCTCAGCCTTGATGGGTATTTTCAGTGGACACGTCTCTGCTTGGTTCTTGATGATGAAGGATGATAAATAGCGTCTTGCATGCCAGTTGTTGTGTACTTGTGATTTTTGAGTTGCGACTTCGACAGGTGTATCATCTAAGGCTTTGTTACGGCAATGGATATTTATAGTGTCCCTGCTACGTTGTCTTCCTGCCGCCACATCTCCTACTAGCTAGAGATAATAGACTATGAGAGTATTTGAGGTGACTCTTCAATTCAAGTGCAGCCTCCATTCAAATGAGCTGCCTCATGTACATTTCACAAAGGGACACACACCAAACTCCAAGGATTATCAAACCACTGAAAGGAAACATCTTAAGAAATGTCAATATTTACGAGTCTGGAACTATTTTTTATAGATTTCTTCTAGCATAATTGATATCCTAGTAATGTGCTTCACCAACAGCGAGAGCAGTCCGTCTATGGCCGACGACCCCAGACAGTGTTAAACCGGAGGATCCCCCCAACCGTCTCAAACTCAACCTTGATATCCCTCAGAATCGGATCAAAGTCCTCGGCGCCAATACCCGTGCCATCCGGAAGGCCTGCACACGTTAACCCCATCCAGGCAAAGCAAAGACAAAAGCAAGGGAAGGAACTTACGCGTCGCAGCCGTCCGGAAATTAGCCACCACCTCCAGCATATTCTGCTTCGCCATCTCTCCTAACTTAGGATCCTTATTACCCGCCCTGATCGGAATCTCCATGACCTTCTCCTGCACTTCCTGCAGCCCGTACCCCTCCAACCACTGGCGCACCAGCTTCCCCGGCCGCGGATTCCAGCGGAAATGAGGCAGCATTTCAGCAACCAGGGTCTGGAAACGGGCTAGAACGGGGTATTGCTTGCGCTGCTCGGGGGTCAGATGCTCCAGGCTGCCTTCGGTGAATTGAACCCAGCCGGTGCCTGGTTTGGCGAGTTCAATGAGACGGTAGAGTGCCTGGCGGCCTTCGTCTGGGGGGAGGCAGGCAATCACAAGTTTCTGGTGGACGAGGTCGAAGGAGTTGCGCCATTCGGTTGGCCAGGGGTCGGAGATGGATTGGATTTGGAACTCTGTGTTGGCTGGGGGGTTGGCTGGGAAGGCGGTTGGGGAGACGTCGGTGCCGATTAGAGTAGGGGATTCGAGGAGGGTCGAGGCGTCTTTTAGCCAGAGGCCTGCGCAGTATTAGTCTCGAGACGATACAATATAGAAGCAGTAGGTTGGACTTACCGTTGAAGGTCCCGCTGTCGAGGACTCGGAGATTGGGTTTGTCAAAAGGCAGAGGAGCCAGGATTAGCTTGCCCATGTAGGTCTTGATCAGGTCATGTTGCATGTTCATGCGTCTCCGCTCCTGGTCCTCGTAGTTGAGGAGGTAGCCGTTTTCAGAGTCGGGGACAGTCATGGTGGCAGATTGCAGTTTTCTGGTGAAGGACGACGATGAGTGTTGGATCCGTTTGATGCTGGACTCGATAGAGATAGACCATGTATATATAGTCCACGGATAGATTCATCAGTCAGCCTATTTCGGAGACCGAAATTGAATCTCAATGACCGTATGGGTCACGGCTCGCTCATGTCATTTGTGAATGCATTCGATCTTACGATCAGCGTAGTGGCACCGGGGTCTCATCTCGGCAGATGAATCTGTAGACTAGGACCATGCTTACAGTAGAAATGAATCATGACACATCTGATATCAAAGCCTGCTTCAAAGGATACTCCGGACACATTTTGTTCTAATTTCATATGGTTCGATACATCTCACGGTAAGGTAGCACTGTAACCTCAATTTTAAGCAAATCAAGTAATCTCAACCACCACAAGATCCTACAAACCACCTCCTACAATCTCGGCCGGAATTCGACCTCTGCCTCAGCATCAGGGAAAATAGCCAATCCACCATACTTAGGAGTCGGACGAGGCCGTCCCTCGACCAGCCGTAGATCGTAGTGACGAATCACATAGGCCACAACCACCTTAATCTCCGCACTGGCAAAGAACCGCCCCGGACACGCCCAGAGCCCATGGCCAAAATTGATGTTGTCGGCCCCCGTGGAGGTGTGTTGCCAGCGATTCTCGTTGGCCCCTCCCTATTGGCGCAGACGAGCGAAGCGGAAGGCGTCAAACCGCTCCGGATTCGGATACAGAGTGGCATTCTGGTTGATCGGCTGTGCGCGCACCATCACCAGGTATCCGGGTGGAATCACATGGCCGGTCTTCAGTCGGAGCCCGTTTGGATCGGTGACGATTCGGGGGATATTGACCAACGAGGTGGGACTCAGACGTTGCGATTCACGCACGAAGCTGTCCATCTTGATCAGTCGCGGGAGGGTGGTCTTGTCAATGCTCTCGGCGCCGACGTTAGGGCCGAGGACCTGGTCGAGTTCCTCGCGTAGCTCGTCCACGACGGCCGGATACGCCGCCAGATCGAAAATGACATATGTCAGGGCATTAGACAGGTTGTAGATCGAGGCAAAAGTGGCCAGCAGTTGATCGCGCGTGAGCTGTTGTGCCGTGGCCGTCTTCCCCTGGGCCTGGTACCGCGACTTGAACCAGTCGATCATATCGCCGCCGGGGATCTTCTCCTTTGCGGGCGACAGCTTCTGCGCTTCTTGATCGGCAAGGAGCTTTGCAATCTTGCGCCCGATCAGCGCCTTATTCTTCTCTAGGGTCTTGACATCGCGCAGGAACGGCGCCACCAGCGGCCGGATCCAGTGCGGGTAGAAGCGCAGGACCATCCAGGCGCGCGAGACGTCCTGGGTGTAGTTGACGTTGGACTCGATCCAGTCTGGTTCTCGACTGAGTGGCAGCCCGACAAAGGCGCGGCCTGACAGGATCGTGGCCACCTTGGGCATGATCGATCGCGGCTTCACTCGGGTCCAGGTGTTGGGCGGGAGCTGGAGCACGGTCAACATGGCGTAGTCGATCTCGGCTGTGAACGAGGCTAACACTGCCGGAGTGTTGCGGACCAGCACATATCTCATCGCGTCGTCGAATTCGTCGGCCTTGGTGCCCATGTACGAATATTCGCCGAGGAATTGGTTGTAATGGTGCTTCTTGATGGACAGCTGGTTCTCCGGCAGCGCCTTGACGGTGTCGATTTCAGAGACGGGAACGACAACTACTTGTTGCCCTGGCACTCCCAGTGCGAACGGACTGTCTGGATACTGGTACTGTCAGCATTCTATAGGTCTATAGGAAAAGAGAAAAGGATGGGAGTACCTTGGCATGACCCTCCTCCAGCGCTTTCACAATGCCTTGATCACCAACACTTTGCAGAACCGGCAAATCCAGCGCCTTTAGACTCTTTGTCTTTTGCAAAATTAGTCGATATACCCAGTATAGCAGACCAACTCCAAACGAGACTGCGACTGCAGTTCGCAGGGGCTGGTGGAGGTAGACGGTGTCCATGGCGTGTGCTTCAGATCTCGTCTTTCTTTGCTTCAAGCGAGGCTCAATTCAATTCTATGATCAGTTCTCCATGAGCTATATGTAATTTCATTTGATTCTTTCCGATATGGCGCGACATGCGTCTTATACACCACTTGCATGGCGATTGGCCCATCCCGCGGAAACATTTTTCGGCTGCCGAGGAAAGTCCCCGAACTCTGGAAGTGTGAATAAATAGACAGGCAACCTCACCGTCGATCCCAAAGATTTTGAATTTTCTTTTAATTCTTTTCTCTGGGTGATCTCTTTTATACACTGACTATCTCATAATACCACAGACATGTCGATCGGCAAGCTACTGTCCAACGGAGCCCTCCTCGTCGACGTGCTCATCATCGGCGCAGGTCCGGCTGGCCTCTCGACGGCCACCGGCCTGGCTCGTCAGCTACACACAGCAGTAGTCTTCGACTCTGGCGTGTACCGCAATGCAAAGACCCAAATCATGCACAATGTCCTCGGATGGGACCACCGAAACCCCGCCGAGCTGCGAGCCGCAGGTCGCGCCGACTTGACCAACCGCTACTCCACCATCCAATTCCAGAACAGCACCATCGAGGCAATCAGGCAGATTGAGACACACCAGCTGTTTGAGGCGCGAGACACTGAAGGGCACCGCTGGTATGGTCGCAAGGTCGTGCTGGCGACCGGCGTCCGAGACATCCCGCTGGACATTGAGGGATACTCGGAGTGCTGGGCGAACGGCATCTACCACTGTCTCTTCTGTGATGGCTACGAGGAGCGCGGCCAGGAGACTGCCGGGGTGCTTGCTCTGGGCCCTATCGCGAACCCTCCGCGCGCTCTGCATTTGGCTCGCATGGCCAAGCGGCTCTCCGAGTCGGTCACTGTCTACACCAACGGCAATGAGCAGCTGGCGAAGGAGATCCAGGAGGCTGCAGGGGCGTCTCCTGCCGGCGCCTCGTGGCTGGAATTTGATGCACGACCCATCACACGATTCGAAAAGGGCGATGTCGCCAAGACCGTCATTGTTCATTTCGGCGAGAGCGGCGAGTCGAAAACAGAAGGCTTTTTGGTAGGTAACCGTAAACCTGAGGAAGAGATATCACGTTAACCGCTGCAGGTGTACAACCCCCAAACAGAGGTGAACGGACCGTTTGCCAAGCAGCTCGCCTTGAAAATGACAGAAGGAGGGGATATCCAGACCACGCCTCCTTTCCATGAGACCAGTGTGCCCGGGGTATTTGCAGTGGGGGATTGCGCCACGCCGTTGAAGGCCGTCACCCCTGCGGTGGCGATGGGATCTTTGGCTGCTGGAGGTCTGGTGGCTCAGCTGCAGGCTCAGCCATTGCCCGAGTTTCGTCTCGATCGGGAACTGTAGGAGCAGGTTATAACGTTGTACATAGTTTCTAATTTCTAGCTTCGTGAGGGTCAATCAAACCAAGTGACTTGCCTTGTTCCTGCCAATAGTTGAAGGCTCGTGAGCTATCCGCCTGTAAGAGATTCGTAACAAATTAGACGAGAATGAAAGACGCAAAGAAAGAGTCGCTCAGGTCCACGGTGGTGATCTGAGACTTATGTTGAAATTGCTCGCCGTGGATAGCTTCATATCACCCCGGCGGTACCAAATCGGCGACCGAAACTGCGGCATTACTAGGATAGAGGCCCCGGATGAGATAATATAATACCCAGAGAATGCGGACAAGTCCTCAATGACAGCAACTATTACCATGGCGAACTCCACCCCCCCCTCTTCGAATACAACATCTCCTTCACCACCCCAGCCAACCCGCCGTCGTGTGAGCCCAAGCTCACGGCGAAGGATCTCTGGACCGGCATCGCCCGGGTGGCAGATACACCCCAGGAATATGCGCCCTACGTATCCAGGTGCGAGGTGCTCTCGCGCAACGGCCACGGCCTGGAGCGGAAACTGACCATGGCAAACGGGGCGGTCCACAAAAGCGACGGGGAGATTATGTATCAAGACGTGTGGATTGCAGACCGTTTACTGGTGGCTAGCACTTCCGAGACTTTATCCATGTGCAATGGCTGACCTGCCCAGGTGGAAGCAAGAACCAAGGATACTGGCGCAAAGACCACCTTCCTGCTATCCTACCACGACACGGCAACCATCAGCCCCGACTCGACGGATATCAGCTTTGCCGTGATTTATGAGTTGAAGCTGGCCGGGATTGAGCCTGGCAGTCCCGAGGCGATGCGCATTCAGGCGGAATATCCCGAGCTGGCGCGCAAGGCTTGCACATCGACCGTGGAACAGATTCGGGAATGGAAGAAGAATGGGCAATTGGACGTCTGGGCTGAGGCTGCTGAAGTGCCTGTCTGGTGATTAGATAGGTGAAAATTGATGGGCTTGATTCACGATGGGCTATCGGGCATCTCAATCATCTGAGTTAATCTGAACTGAAAGATGTAACTGCATGGATTCGTAGCTATCTAGAAGTGAGAGAGAGATGATACGCGGGTAGGCTCAACCAGATGTTCCGAACTAGAGTATCCACCAAAATAACATTGGATTTGAGCGTTTTTCACCCTAGGGCAACTGAAACTAGTGCGATTCCCTAGGCTAGGCACTGAACCCTCACCACTGTGAGTTCAGTGAGGGTCAGATTCGATTTTAGCAGTTTGGTTATGCAACTCTAACTTTTCCTATTCCTCTAATACCCTTTTCTACTCCCTATCTTTAGTCTAAAGTAATAGATATAGCTTCTAAAGGTTAGTATCTTAGGTTCTAATTTTCTTTATAATTATATTCAAGATAGCCTCTATATCTATTATTATATTTATATCTTCCACAGACATATTTATACATATTTATTTAGTTATCTAGTTTCTTTATAGCTTAACCTAGGTTTTTGTCCCCACAGCGCGTTCAAGGTCATCAATAAGTTAATTTGGTTTTTAGATAGTTCACTTGGAACATCTCCAGGCAGACAGTTCACCTGTCGAGGCCTCTGTGTCGGATTCGCTCATCTTTTTCAAGATCAGTCGTCATTTCCCTTGACACCAGAGGGCTGGTGTCAACAATCGTAGAAGGAATCGATTCATGTCACGTGTGTCCCACGTTTAAAGTCACGTGTTAACTTCCGCAGGACATGCTCATGTCAGTAATCAAACATATCCTCATTCTCTCCACACCCAAGAATGGCCTCGTCGCTGTTCATAGACCTTCAGGGCCAGCCTATTCCTGACAGTCAGGTTCTAGGATATGGAAGATCAGGTGTCGTGGTTTATTCTGAAAACCCAAGCCCGGCTGCTATCAAACTCCCTTTACGACATCCCTGGAGTAGCAACGCCGACGTACAATCGAATCAGAGGATACTCCGACACGAGCAAGAAGTCTTTCAGCGTTTTCGTTCTTTCGAACCGGATCAAATTGATGGTGTTGTTCCTTGTATGGGATTATATCCAGACGCAACCCACCTCGCCTATATGAAGAATGGGGACTTGCGTGCTTACTTAGGCAAGCACACCTCAACACGCCTACAGCAGATTTCATGGTTCCGTCAGATTGCCCGGTCGCTTCAGCAGATCCACGATAAACGCGTTGTCGTTGCTGACATTGCTACTCGCAATCTTCTTCTCGATTGGGATCTGTCTATCAAAATCTGCGACTTTAGTGAGGCATCTATGTTTCCATTAGGGACACCAATGGACCTTGCCGATGACGACGGCTTTTCCGTGCAAACGGATATTGGTCAGCTTGGTGCGGTGATGTACGAGGTCATAACAGGCGAAAAGTGTTCGTTTAACCTCTTCGAAGATGATCGTGATGATGGCCGAGCCACCTGGCCTAAACGCACCTCTCTACCAAGCACTGACGGGATTTGGCTTGGTTCTGTCATTGAAAAGTGCTGGACTGAAGGAGGGTTTAAAAATACGGACTGTTTGTTGCAAGAACTGAGCATGGTCAATGTCAACGGCGAGACCGATGCCATATCGAGAGAACAAGACCCTCCACACATCCAGATCTCCCGAATCAGTAAAGCCTTTCAAAGTCCACTTTTTGCCCTTGGCGCTGTGTTCGGGATTTTCGCGATTGTTCATCGCTGGTCAAAACGTTGCTAGCGAGTGACCAGAACAAAGTATATATGTCCTGGCTCTTAGGAGGCATAGCGATCAGCTGCAACTGTCTAATTTGTGTCTTTCCTAGGAATTTTAATATCCGCAAACTTCCAATTCTTGCTTCCCCTAGGCTTCTATGATCCCCCCAAATAACCGGACGGAGGCTCTTGATGTACTTGTTCGAGCATACACTGTCAAGTTTATCAGGCCCCAACCTTCAAACCTCCCCCAGTAATGATTCCCCCACCCCTATTGCCACCGGAGTCCCCTTCTGGGTCTTTGCTGCCGCTGGCCGGGTTGCTTTGCTCACGATGCTTCGGACAGTTCGTGCGACGTCTGGTAGAGCTCGTCTGGGTTGTAGGGATCAAAACCTCACAAACGGCTCCCCGCTGTACTGCTGGAATACACCATTGGATGTGGTCTTCGACGGGATCAAATTTGATACAATCGCCTTTTGCTTTCCCTGTGCAGTGAGGGAAACTAGCTGGTGTTTTTTTCCTGTCCCAGCACATGACCCTGTGGCCGTCAGAGAAGGTCTAGGTTAACAAAGCCAGATGGGATACTGACGATCTCGCTTCCATATACATGAAGGTTGCACTTACTCTGTCGGTAACGCGTCCTGGGTGTCAATGTAGGTTATTTGATGAGCTGCGGTTTGTTGAAGAGGAGAGGGAGCTGAGCCATCCATGTTGGACAGTCGCGCTGGAGCCCATGCGTGAAAGCACATCTCACGCGCTAGATCCTTATGGCGTGGATAGTATTCTTGCATGGATTAGTGCCGATAGCCAATACTTACTCGATACGCATGCCGCGCAGGGTCCCCTTGTCGTTCCAATAGTAGCTTACCAATAATAGATCCCTACGTGGATGGGCTTGGCGCGCAGGAGGCTTCGACCTGAACAGGCGAAGCTCGCACGGGGCAAGCGAACTTCGCTCATCGGTCTGAAATCGACGTGCCAGCCATAACAAAGATACCCAAACTCTCAGCCGCTCGAATTGTGCTGACAGAAATATGAGTTAGATGCGGGAGAGGACTGGAATGCAGATGATTGCTTACCGATATCGATCCCTCATTATCATACAGCCTCATTGCCTTCAACGGTAGATCTTTCCTTGCAGACGGGCTATTGTGTGCTCTAACCGATAACTCTCACGTATACCCATCCGATCTTTGCTGAACTGGTTGTACCATGTATCCTCACGCAGGTCTTCTCTACCTTCACCAGGCATTAGAGTCCAAATGGGTTGACAAAGTGAATGAAGCTCGGCTCAACGGTCACCTTTGCTCTTGGGTATCAACTTTACACCCTTGCAAACTCCCATGCCGTATAGAAGGAGGCTTCTTGAATGGATCATACAATTTATGTCAAAGATTTATATTCGATGATGGAACGTCGTGGGTGTTGCGCCTGCCGCGAGTCTCAAGCGTGAGCCCGGGACACGCCGATGAGAAGATTATGATGGAGGCAGAGGCTCTTCATTTGATTCGAGAGAGGACGTCTATACCTGTTCCAGTCGTCAAGGCCTGGGGATCCTCAAAAGACAATCCGCTAGGGCTAGGCCCTTTTCTACTCATGGACTTTATCAGTGGCATAAGTCTTAACAACGTGTTCGCCGATGATCAATCCGGCCTGCTGAAAGAGAATCTTCGTGACGACGACATAGAGCGTGTCTATAGACAAATGGCCAGGTTCATGTTGGAGCTCTTCCAAATCAACTTCGACAATATTGGCAGCATTCCAACGCTGCAAACCGGATTTCCTGCGCCGATACGTCCTTTGACATGGAAAGCTCATGGTATTCTCCATGAAGGGGGGGTCGATGTATTCGGTATGTTTATGAAGCCTATACAGATGTCCAATGGACTAATCAGTTACAGGCGATCGGCATAAAGGATTCACCTCAGTCACCGATTATTTTCATTATCTTCTATGTCAAGATCACCAGCAGCTCAAAGACCAGCCAAATTCAGCCCTTGGGTGGCATAGCGCCTGTGAAGCACACGCATCTCTGGAGGTCTTAAAGTCCTTATTACCGGACCTCGTTGAGCCAAATTATAACTACGGCCCTTTCAAGCTTATCTGCGATGATTTTGGCCTTGGAAACTTGATTGTGAGGAGTCGCGATGACCTAGCCGTTGTCGGGGTGGTGGACCTCGAGTGGGTATACGCAGGTCCAGCACAGTTATTTGCTTCGGGGCCATGGTGGCTTCTAGGCGATAGGCCAATCAATGAAGCATGGGATTTTTACAACGGAGAACCTCCTCAAGTTGCCAGCAGGTATATGAGGTATCTCGAAATCTTCACATCGGTGCTTAAAGAAGAAGAGGTAAAGATCCCAGGGCACGAAAAGAAGGAGCTCTCAACCCTCGTTGAATGGTCCAAAACCATGGGAGCCATGTGGCTCCATATGATACTATCTGCGGGCTTTTTTGACTGTCAGTCGTTCCCATGCGGTCAGTTGCAAAGACATTACGGCTTGCGGTGGTGGCTGGATTCCGTGAAAAAGTTTGAAAACCTAGAGGAGGCTAAAGTAATTGCACAAGGCAAGGAGCTTGACTTAACCCGATACGACATGGAAGTCGACCAAATTGAAGAGCTCAAATCTCTAATGGATTGTGGGAAGCTGACGAGTGAGGAGTTTGCCGCTCGGACTCGGTTGATTCTAGCGCTCAAGCCTGATGATTCGAATGCCTGATTTGTGGAAATGGGTCAATGGTCCAGTGCCTCTCTTGCTATTGAATAAATTAGTGATCTGCTTGTCTCTTCGAATTCTGGCCGTGAAAATGAATGCTTTTCCTGAAATATCACCACTAGACTGGTAGTGGGTTGGATATGGGTTGATCCACACCATGTCTAATCCAACCCATGTGGATTATATATACCCTAACAAAGACGCATCATAACCAGTTCCTTCACAACCCCAAAATCCTCCCCATATAATCTGCCCATTTGCGAGGACCAGTTACTAACTACAGTCATCTTATCAGTCAACTTCATCAACGCCTGCAAAATGGTAATGAGAAATCCCAGCAGGCTTTGGAGCCCTGTCCACCGCCCCAGAGGCCCAGGATCTCCCTGTGCATGCTCGCTCCGTGGAAATCCAGAACTATCTCAAGGAAAAGGCCCATTCGGGAGAGTTGGAGTACACCATTTTTGCCGTGGGCGTGTTCCTAGACTATGTGGTCTCCAGGCCCACTGTGGTTGACTCAGTGAACCGGACGGCTGTGCTGTATGACGGCGGCGAGCATCCATTCAGCACGACTAGCGTCGCTAGTATTGGGAAGGCCGTAGTTGGTGCGTTGAAGAATGCCGACGCCACGAGGAATCGCGTGCTTCGTGTACACGACATGGTTTTGACGCAGAGGAAGGTTTTGACGTTGGCGAAAAAGTACACTCCGCCTGCGGAGGCCTGGACCGAATCGAGCGTCAATGCTGAAGCCGAACTTGCTGACCTTCTTAATCAAATTTCCGAGAAGGGGATGGAAATGCCTCTGGTTCTGGGGTTGCTCAAGGCCGCGGTCTTCGGCGGGAAATATCCGTCCGAGTATAAGAAGGTGGATAACGAGCTTTTGGGTCTGGGGATCAGGGGTGACGAGGAGTTGGAAGCAATGTTTGCTGTTTAATTGTAACTGTCAACAACGAGGATGAATAGTTTTTATTCTTTAACAGTAGCCTGAAAAGGCACCCAGACACTTATGGCTTAAGTTTAGAGGATGAGAGTCGGGCAGGAAGCCTGAATGTCATGCCAACCCTGATTCTGCTCTCTTCTAAAGATACCATAGAGCACTTAAATGGTGAGTTATGTGCTATTGAATTTAACGTTTAGAACTCATAATAGGATGAGACCTACTCCGTACAATTCCATGACTTGTCCATTCACATCTCCATCACTTTACTGCCTACTGCCTTATGCCTCATGCTCCACTAGATGCTACTAAAGAGCGGTGACATACGAATGTCTAAGAGCATATTAGATAACCTCTCCTTAGCCTTCTGTAACCAGGAATGGAGTCGGGGACCAAAATTACCTTATTGGATTTGTTTCAAGAGGATTTAAGTCTGATCACGACGACTATCGAAGCCTTTGGCGGTGCTGACGGGCTGGAGAAGAGAAAGAACAACCTCAACTATCCCACCAGCAAGTATGCCAACTTGCGCGCTGGGTTCCCTGGTCTGTGAGGCTGGACTCTGGAGCAGGTTCAACCGTTCAAGTTATGGACTACACCCTTGGTAATTGGGATGTGGGGGTTTGGTTGTAGGTTACTTTCTGCATCCTAGTTTCTTACTTGTAAGAGACTCTAGCTTTGCGTGATAGATATGTGACTTGAGCATATTTTCTTTCTTCTTTCGCCATATGCTTCTTACAAGCTGAGATTACCTGCTACTGAGTGACTGAGCGGCTTGGCGAGTAGAATTAGAGAAATTATCTTATCCTTGAATGTAGAAATTGTAATATTGGGAGTCTTTGGGACCTGTGAATTACTACATGCAGTAGTTTTGCTGTTTCTGGGTTGGCACCCAATACACCGTCGCGTAACCTCCGCCTCGATGCTGCGACAAAAAAGGCGCTGACCTTGCCCTTTCGATCTCTTTTTATCCTTCCTTCCTCCCTCCCTCCATCTCCTCTATCTTGCACTCATTGTTGCCCTTCCCTTTCGCCTCCGCCCACTGCGCATTAGCTTTCAGTCAGTCCCATCCGCTTTCCTTTCGCCGGAGATGCTGCTCGATCCGACGCCAAGGTCGGTCTGGCTATTCCATCGATAGAAGCAAAAGTACATACGAGGACTTGCTGAAAAATGAGAATTATGGTGTGGATGTAACCGGTGATGTGAGCCAAATCACCAAGTCACGCTTTACAGTGGCTCGAACTGCTGTCTACATAGTTGAGTCACACCAACTGTCAATGATAGGGCAAAGCTACATATAACAGGGGCAGGTCTCTGGTGTACTGGGCGGGGCAAGGTGAGGAGGGGAAGAGGGACATACATTACACATTTAGAAAAGCTTTTGAGGCCTTAGGACTCCCTTCCTAGAAAGGTTTAGAGGGATGTGCGAGAGTCCTTGAGAAGGGGTGAACACCGCTGCCTTAAAGTTGAGGTCACGGTATGCCAGGGCCCAAGAGCAGGGATTTCCATAGGCAGCGGACCTAGAGTGATACTCGTTTTCAGATACTTGGGTACTTGCGGGAGTAACCCGTGGACATCTCTCGGAAGCTTTAACCAAGCGAGAAGCGAATTCGCTTTTATTTATTTTCGAAGGCTCTGGTTCTAGCAAAATAGCCAAGGCTCCTTCGGGTTTCCCATTGCACACTGAGCGATGAGATTTAGTGCCATCTGTTGACCCGTTCTATCTCATATTGTCGCTCCGAATAGTCGCTCCAATCGTTTCCAGATGGACAAGGCAAATCAGAAATCTTGCGTGCAAAAAAAGATACCCCCTCGCCCACATCGGGGAAATCCGCGACTCCTTCAAAGCTAGCGAAGTTTTTATCCTTGAAGTTGATAGTGCCGTTGCTTTCCTCGAAGTGGATCATGCCTTCGCCCATCTCGCGGCATTTGAGCTTGAGTAGATATTTGCGAGGCTGACCTTGCTCTGCCTTATACTTCTTTGGCCTCGTCATAGGTTTAGAAGCCGGTGGATTTCTCTTAGCGCCTAGCTTGACGTTCTCCTTGGCTGGAACACTATCCTCGTCATCAGTTTCCTCTTCAGATCCCTCTTCATCCATAGAATCGTTCCAGTCGGATTCATCGTCGCGACTGGCTTGAGCACAGTATTCATCCAGGGCAGACTTCTCGGAACAGATAATCATAACCCCTTGAAGAACCCCGAAATCAAAGTCGGCTTGGAAAACTCCAGGTGTATCGGTCCGATGGATGTCAAGGCTGAGATCACCTGCCATGTCTGGCCACCCCCTCTCAATAGTCTCACAGTCGACAATGTAGGTGCCGACGGGGGTGACATCCTCTGTCTGCTGGCTACGGCTGTTGAGATAGTCCCTATGCATTTTTTCTCGCTCATTCTCCCGCTCGTCTTCCTCGTTCTGTAATCGCCTTGCCTCCTCGGCAGGGTACTGATTGGCTGCCTTTTCCACGGACGCTCTATCCCAACCCATGAAAATGACCTGAGTCTTCGGTCCAAAGGCTCTCATATGGTGTAGACCAGTGATCTTGCTGGCAGCTTCAATCATCTGCCCGGAACGATATTGGCTGTATCGATCAAGGGGTATGCCAACCACAGTGGTCGTTTTCGTACGATCAGGTTGATCATCAGATAAGAAATACTTTTGCATGACCCAGTCAGGCTCGGAAGAGAGTTGCTCAGGGGTACGTTGGCTGATCCATTCTGCATGCATCTGCTTTTGCAGCGTCATAATGCGGTCAGGGACCTGATCGCACTTCCCAGCTTGGAGGGCTGCCTTCATTAATGCAGTTCCCTGGCCAGTGAATTCACGTTCTTCGAACTGCACCCCATAGTGTTTCAACTGAGCACGGACGAAGTGGGGGTTATCTCTTAATGCCTTCTGCCCTTCGCGGGAGAGCTTTGGCAAAAACATGCTCCGAAGTCGAGAACCTTCGATTCGATCCATACGACCAGGGTCTGCCATGAAGCGGCCAAACTCTGAGACGAACCCATCGCGACGAATATCATTGTAGTGGTTCGAAGACATTGTGATCGGCAAGCTGAGCTCAGAGGAGGGCGAGAAAAACAGCGGGATCTGGAAGCGAGAGACCACTAGAAGGAGAGGAGCGGATGCAGATGAGTGTATGGACCAAGAGTGGTCTCCCAGAAAGGAAACGATATCTCCCAGGGCGGTGGGCGCTGACTCCTCAGGCATCCCCACCTGATCACCAGGACTATTACTCGACTTAGTCTAGTGCAACCGGCCTGACAATCTAGGCATTAATCTGCAATGAGACGCAAAGTCCTGTGTTTACTTCTCGATCAATCTACGTCTCTCTGCTCTGATACTGAATATACTGTTTTCGCTCGCTTCATTCCGTTCTTTCCGGCCAGAATTCCTCCCAGCGTCGACCGAATTCCTCTGGTGCTTCCACTCGGCGTGCCAAAGTGCAACCAACCCACTCCATGGAATGAATGCTGAGAAGACTACAACGAAACACGCTTCAAAGCAACAGAATGACTTGCATGCTATCAGTAACACTACCATTAAAACAAACGCCAAAGATCCATCTCCAGCGGAAAGGCCACCTCAGAGCCGCAGATTGGTAGAATGGATATCACTCAAAGATCCACCCAATGGTGTCATCCCAAATAGCGACGGACTTTTTGCGACCCTCCAAGAGATACACAAACTCAAAGAATGCATCGTTATCGCTCGAGGCCGTCCACGTGAACTAAGCGAGATTGAGTGGTTGATTATCGGTAAGCAGCATTAACCTTTCGATGTAAGAAGATGCTATGCCGTCTCCTAGATATCCAATAATTAACCAACTACTAGAGTGGAGAAGCAGCGGAGACAGGGAGGAGTTTCTTACCTCAGAGCTTTTCCTCAGATTGAATGAAGCCCTTGCACATCGCTCATGGAGCCAAGAAGTGGCCTGGCCGATCCGTGATGGTGGGATGATCATACGCGCAAACCCGCTTTTCCCTCCACAGAGGCTTTATGAGGTCCTGACAATCTATTTCCCTGCAGACTTAGATCAGGAAGCTATCTACTCCATTGAAATGTTTACAGGGCTACCATGCTGGCACATTGATGGTGAAGACCCAGCTGAATATCCCTCGGCGGCGCTCAAGTCCCAGATTCCTGCATGGATAGAGGGGACTTGTGAGTACCAGAGGCAAGCTGCAAGGCGGTTAGCTTATTTCATTGAGTTCACTAATGAGGAAGGAGAATGAATCTATAAAGAAAAGGTGAGGTCTAATCCACGCGGAAGGCCACCCTGGGACGTTATGGTGAATTTCTTCGACAAGCTGAAAGATCTCAGGATGATCGGGTACGAATCGCTGCATGTTGAATTCATGGAGGTTGTTCACTATATACCAGAGAACTACGTACCAGAGCCTCCCCGACCTATATATCCTGAAGCGATGAAGTGTTTAGATGGTTTGGCAGCCTACGACTCAGATGTATCATTATAGACGGAAAGGAATGGCAGAGCAGTTGCACAGGGTGGCACCAATGGTCGTTACAGCAGCTTATCTTCATCCTGATTCTCATGGGGAATAGCTGGATTATGGCAGTCTAGAATAGATAGATTAATATCTAGTTAACCCTCTAAGACATCCTCAACAGCCAGAAATAAGCCAGGATCACATGTATAGGAACCTAGAAGAAGAAGGTAATCAACAGTCTTATTTCTACTTACTATCTACAGCAGGTCCCGAACTTCAGGCCAGTATTTTACAGGGTCTTTTAGAGTAATTCCACTGTGTGGTCGCCATCCTTAATAAGCCATAAAGGCTATGGCAAGCCTGCATCTCTGATATTAATCAGATTATCAGAGTGTTAAGGGTGATCCTAAGACTAGCAGTATTATAGCTAATTATAAGTATAGTAGCCTAATCTGACCCATGTGTCCCTCCACATCTTAAAGCATAGTATAAAGCTATATTACTCCAACCTAAATCTTCTAGACCTGCTAGGTGATACACAAGTTCAAAGTGACCCTTATAGATATGGCCGGTATCATCCTCAAAGTCAGGCCATATAAGAAGCACATAGTTATATTGTAATATCTACAATCTCTGTCCGTGCACTTCCCCATAGTCAGGTAGCAGACTCAATGTAGCATACTCCGGCCCTTAACCTAGGCACCATAGAAGACACCCAGCTTTCAAACAGATGATTGTACTATTCTGCTGAGTAGGTCCTACATACTTATCAGATCCGCAGACACCATTTGGCCACTCATGACCTGGTGCCCGATCCTCGCGATCCATAGCGGTTGATGGACTTTTAGTGGCACCGGCAGCAGCCCTGATTCGTCTGTCTGGCACATTTGGGTGTAAGTGTCCCCCAGATATTCCTCCATTCAACGGCGAGGGAACTTGCAGGCTCGCAGCTGAAGGATCCAGGTCGACTGACTAATCGGATTTCGCTGTCCAGATGGGAGCCGCCCTTGCGATTTGGCCTAAATAGTCCCTCGTTGAAAAGAATCAGACCTTCATTTGATTTCGAACTTGCATATAGATTCCTAGTCATATCGAAACCTTACAAGTGTATCTCATTTCAAAAACAGAGAATGCTCCGAACCACAGATCGTAGTTGGAGATCGAAGTATTGCAGAGGCCGCCCAGACTGATTTAGAGACAATTACCAAACCTTAGTTTTACTGCACTAAATTATCTTTATATAGTTCCAATTGTATGTGGCTCATACAACTTTGCATGTAACGGGGTTTAGCTCAGCCAATTATTTGGTAAATTACCTTCCTCCTTACTTTGGATTCAGGTCAAAAAAGCACCACCGCGAAGGTCTAGGTTTCACAGGGAAGTTGCATTCGTGCTAGACCTCCCAAATCTCGATAATGCCATTCATATTCCCAGTTGCCAAAAGTTTGCCGTCCAGCGAGAATGCCACACAATGAACCCCGGCTGAATTATTTTTGAGGGTGCGCTGCAATTCTCCTGTTGCAGGGTCCCAGAGTTTAACCGTTTGGTCATGAGACCCTGATGCCAATAGTTTGCCATCTGGCGAGAATGTCACCGAGCGAACTGCCTCCGAATGTCCCTCGAGCGTGCGGCACTGCACTCCCGTAGCAGGGTTCCAAAGTATGACGGTTGTATCATCAGACCCAGACGCCAACAGATGACCGTTCGGCGAGAACGCCACACAGTGGACATCCTTCAGATGACCCGCGAGCGTGCGCTGTTCGATTCCTGTGCTAGGATTGAAGAGCTTGATCGAGTAAAAATTATGTATCGCTGACGTGGCTGCCAATAGCCCACCATCCGGTGATAGAGCGAGGTGGCTGCTGAACATGTTATCGAGCGTGAGGCGGATGGTTCCTGTGGCAGGCTCCCAGAGCCTGAGTGCACCTCTACCCCCAGTGGCTAACACTCGACCGTCCGACGAGAATGCCAGGGACCAGACATGATCGCCAGTTGTCCTCTGGTAGGTGTCGAGCGTCCGGAGCGCAGCCCCGGAGACAGGATCCCAGGTTCTGACGACCTGTTCTCGGTAATGCCAGTTACCACCCCCTCCAGATGCCAACACTCTGCCATCGGGCGAAAATGCAACAGCAAATGCATAGCCCTGATGCTTTCCGATGGTACGCTCAATGCCCCTCTTGAGTGTCCAGAGCCTGACGGTACCGTCCTCAGATGCGGATGCCAGTTCTTTACCATTTGGCGAGAATGCTATATCCCAAACCGTGCCAGGATTACCCTCATCTAGCTCGAGAGTACGACAGCGACTCGTAATTTCCTCTGCCGCAGCCTTTCTTTCTTCTTCAACCTTTCTCTCATCTTCAGCCTTCCTTTCTTCTTCAGCCTTTCTCTCTTCTTCAGCCTTTCTTTCTTCTTCAGCCTTTCTCTCTTCTTCAGCCTTTCTTTCTTCTTCAGCCTTTCTCTCTTCTTCAGCCTTTCTCTCTTCTTCAGCCTTCCTTTCTTCTTCAGCTTTTCTCTCTTCTTTAGCCTTCCTCTTCGCTGCGTCGGCCCTCCGATCATCTTCGGACAGGTCCTCTTCCTTTGATGAATCATCTTCTAGTTCCTTCAACAACTTGTGATAGCCCGCATCCTTGGCTAACATGAATGGTGTATTCCCCTCATCATTCAGCGCATCCCTATCAGCACCCCACTTTATCAGCATCTTGACCAGTGCGACATCGCCCATTCTCGTCGCGACGTGAAGAGCAGTATCCCCAGTGTCATCAGGAGTATCAATGTCCGCTTCTTTCCGGAGCAACAGGCGCACGACGTTTGTGTGTCGGCCTCTGGTTGCCCACAGTAGGGCTGTATTTCCGGCGTTGTCTGCCGCCTCGATATCGGCATCTTCCTCTAGCAGGATTCGGACCAATTCTCGATGGCCCCGAGTGGCTGCTAGGAGTAAGGGGGTCTGTCCTTCCTCGTCTCGTTGATGGACGTCAGCTCCGCTGTCCAGCAACTCCCGGACCTCGCCTTCATTGCCGTCGCGGGCGGCATACAGGAGTGCGCCGTCTTCCATTCTGGGAGTCGCGCAGGTGGTGTAACGGAGTTATCGATCTGGGATGTAGACTGGCAGTCTAGTTAGAAAAAGTGCTGTGGTACTGTATGCCAGATGATTTTGAAACTTCTTCCTAGCCCTGACCTGTACTTATATGTCTGACTGTCCAAACACCCCGCCCAAGGTTCGCCTCTCCGTGGCGTCCTGATTGGCTCTTGTTTGAAACGACATTACCCATGCGTGGCGCACGAGTACTCCGGCAGTTTGCTCGTGTATACTACCTATTGGTGAACTTCCCCTGTCGTTATCACCTTGTCCTCAGACACATTGACCAGATTCAGCACCATACAGAGCAAAGTCTCTCTGCATGGGATTGGAGATACCATATGATGGTCACAAGATCTGACGCAACTGGTTGTCATGCAAGGCTACTTTGGTGTCTCACAAAATGTGAGATGTTGGCAGATTAGTTAGGAATCATTCTGTATATTTTCTTCCCTTTTTTTTCCCCGAATTAAAGACAGGGCAAGCCAGCATCTCCATTAACGAAGAGTATGATGCTTTGAAAGGTGATCCGTGCTGGCTCATTAGGACAACTACTGAGGCCAAATCCCCTCGGAAGGAGGGTGTACAGGATTAATGGCTTGCCTACCAGTTTACAGTAACTGATATCTGGCTAGATTAAGAGTGCCCTAAGATCGGGGATGCCGATCCTTAGGAAGTGATCCCCTCGTCTGTGAACTAACAGGAGTTCCTCCTAATAATTCCGTCCGACATGTCAGGAGGGGTGTGACTGGTGCTGACTGCATGCGCTTAGCGCTCTCAACTTGAACCTGCCAGTGGTCTCTGCAAGAACCGCGAGTGGTGGCTGGCTGGCTGACATCTCACTCGCAGAACGGAAGGAAGCGCCTTGGTGAACAGAAAATAAATATGCCACGGGCCCACGGGCATCCGAGAGGGCAGTCATCCATTGTTTTCTATGTATTTCCCGGTTTCCGGCTCATGGCGCCGATTCTGGAAACGCTGGTCAGCAGGAACACAATGTTCGACCCGTCTCTTATTGCGGACCAGTTGAAAACCCAGTGGACTACACCGTCGGATGTATTCAGTATTTTGCTTATCTTGGGTGGTGACGTTGTTGCGAGGGCCCTGGCGCAGTTGGCTGGCGGTGGATTCACTCCTGTTGCTTTTTCCTTTGGTATGGCCCCCCCTGGGAATCAATAGGTGGTCGTTATCGGTACTCATGAAACAGGTTGGGTTACCTATGCGATTTCAGCACTTGGGCAGGACCGCCTCATGCTGCAGGATGCGGATACGCCGTGCCGGGTCATCAACGCCAGGACCGGAGTGACGCGAGACAACACCAGCTGGGTTCTGGGCCGCATCATGCGGGATTTCGAATTCTGGAAGGACCGACAAACTCTTGACAAACTCCACACTCTTATAGACTATAAGTGGAGGGCGATGAGACAGCGAAACCCAGATGCTCGTGTCCCGAAATTCGCGGGGCTTGTTGTGAGTGTATACAAGCCTAGCGAAACCCAACCGCCGGGGATCCCTGTGCGAGACGGCCTTTACTGGAGTGGGGCCGTTGTTCTCACCCTGCAGCTGTTCATTGCTGCCATCCCATGTGGTCTTTTCGGTGACTGGGGAATCCTCATGATCACCGCGGTCGGAATCATCCTGTCCTTAATCACCGGGTCCCTTCCCGCATGGGCACGCGAAAAATGGCCCTGCCGCCGTGATTCCGAGGACGGCTATATCTTGACAGGCGGGTATGGAAATCAGCATGCCATCATCATTCTGGGGAATGGCCACGGGCTGAATCTGGAGGATCTGGCCGTAGGTGGGGGTAATGATATGGAAGTCATCCAGGGCCTCGGCACAACGGTTGCAATGTTTTTGCTGGCGGTCTCTTGGGTCTTGCTGCTCATAACCGCGTCTGCGCTCAAGACGAACTCGTGGTTTCTACTAGCCATTGGATCTGTCGGGATGATCCACAAGAGCTATATGCCTAGATGGTACCGTAGGCCGGAGAATTACGGGATCCCTCTAGAGTTCGAATGCGTTATCGGGGAGCCGAAAGTAATGTCCACCTTGCTTGAGGTCGAGAGAAGGTACCATCGTATTGGGCGAAATATGCTGCGTGACTTGTTTCCCGACCAACTGAGGCCCAGTGAAGGGCGAGAATGGGAAGCCGTAGAAGAGGCCTGGAAGGAAAAGTATGCGAAGGAAAGAGCACAGGATCCCATAACCCTCCTCGGTGCCTGATCTTGGACGAAGGCAGATGATCGACGTTGAGGGGATTGGATGCAGATGCTGCTGCTACCTAACTTAGAACAGGTCTCAAACTATATAGGTCCCGTCATATAGGTTGCCATTCTCTCTCAGTCATTATCGCCGAAGAAAACCCTTCCAGGCAACCAGTTGTCGTTACAAGATTTGAACCGAATAGTGCACCCATTCAACAAGTCCATGTCATGGCCACTCAAGCCCCAGCCATCCAATTCTATATTCTCCTTGATCCGCACTGGATTTACGGTTTTGGGTACTACACTGGTGCTGCGCTGGATGCCCCACATAATTCTTTAGACGTTAGTACAAGGATTGCTATATAACCATAGAGATATTGCGTACAAGATTTGCTGCGGTGATTTCCCCTTACGTTGGGAGAGGTCAAGCACCACCGGGTCTTCGAATAGCGGAGAATCCGCGGACCCCAGACAAGAATACGCTGTGCAGTGGATGCCACGGTTGTTGCAATAAATGAGAATCCTCCGAGAGGGACAGTAGGGGTGAAGCTATAGCATGTTAGAAGGACCGAGTCAAGTCGAAAAAACGTAGCAGGTACCTCAATTTGATTGACTGCAGGCACCACTTTGCATGACTGATGGCTCAACAGTCGCTGGAGATGAGTGATGCCAAAGTTCGAAACCCCAATGTTGTGCACTTTGTGCGTTCGCACCTTTTGCATTTCCTCCCTGTACAAATCAGAGATATGATCCCATTATTGCTCATACAATGCCGTACCATGTGTTGATGAAGTTCCAATTGTTAAGCTGGGTAGCAGAATCATTGGGGCTTGTCGATACAGGCCAATGCTTATGAAGTCAGCCGTTACTCCTCACAGGTTTCTAGTCAAACCCTCATACCATGAGATAGAGGTCAACATAATCCGTGCCTAACGCACCGAGAGACAGCTCCAGAGCTTCCTCAACGCGGGTATGCCACCTATTGTCCAGTTTGGTGGTGATCCAAACCTGGTTTCGGGGAACACCAGAGTCCTTAATGGCTTGTCCAATCTCATGCTCATTGCCGGAAGACTGTGCCGTATCAATATGACGATATCCGACTCCCAATGCTATACGAACAGCCTCGTAAACCTGCCCGGGTCGCTCTGCTCTGCGAGTGCCCAGACCAACGGCGGGAATTGAAGCTCCTGTATTGAGGCGAAAGAGTTTGTGCCTGTTATTGGGAAAAGAGGGGGTGCAAAAAGAGGCGACGGCTACTCGACTAGTGAATGCTTTTGACAAGGACCGGTTCTTTGCAGCACCCGAAACCCCGGTCGACAATGGTAAGAAAGGGCGTTGGACCTGTCTACTTGCAAAGGACGATTTTATGGCGTCGACAACCGAAACCGTGTGCAGCACGTTTGCCAAAGAGGTTGCAAAGTCGGGCTGACGGCCAGAAACCCAGTCGCCGAATTCTTGAGCCATCGACTGAATGACTTGGTTCTCGTTCGGCTGATGCTTGATATTCAACGTCTCTCGACCTCGAGTGTCATGGTGAGTGATATCGTGTCCATCAAGACTTAGGGTACCATTGGTTCCAGTCACGGTAATAGATTGAGCATTTCTATGAGCGACGCGTGATAAGCGTATATGGCCTATACAATTCTTAGGACCCCATTCCATCATGATGTCGGAGATATCGTCACCACCGTATCTTTGCAAAGGTCGCACGGAGGAGACCTGATGCGCCATCACAGAGGTAGGAGGACCAAATAGCCACACGAGAAGGTCGAGCATGTGGCATCCCAGGTCTTCCTATTTGTGCTTTAAAGTCAATCTTCCATACTGTTCGCTGCATGGGCGGGCCTTCACCTACTGTGACTCCGACCCCAGAGTCGGCACGCCATGTTTCCTCCAGGTTTGTGATGTTCAATGCGAGGTTAGCCTCGACTGCGGCAGCATCGCCAACAAGTGCGAGCAGGCTTTTGAAATGCAGAAAGTGTGGCTCGAAGCGCTTCTGAAAGGTAACTCCAATTCTCACAGGCAGGTTTCTCATCCAGTTATACTCGACCATTGACTCCGCAACAGGCTTTTCTTTTAGGATAGAAACGGCCTTCGCTGCTAGAGCGGTGATGCATTCCACGTGGGCGCCATGAGGCACAGATACAACAGCAAAGTCCGGCGTGTGGCTCTGCAGGAGCTGGGATAGGGACTGATAGGTGGGAACGCCTGGGTGTTTGACGGAAAAAGTCTCCAGTGCCGCAAGGTTGGTATCACAAACGGCGATAATTGAAAAGGATGGGCTACCCAGGAGACTGAGGAAATGGGTTCTGTACCCCCGGTATCCGAGGCCTACCAAGGCGATGCTGTAGGCTTTCGATGTTACTGGGACATTTGGCAAGGGCTGAGACTTAAACCTGTAAGCGGCGGGTTGGTATTTTGTTGAGCTGGCCCTGACGAAGGTTCGGGCTTGCACGAAAACCGGCCGAAATACGACCATCATGGTCGTTTGCCAAGTAACGGCGCGATGGAGCGATCGTTCGACGGATAGGTTGATTGGACCTCAGAAGATGGAGAGCGAATGGCACACTCGTGCTCTTATGCCAAGGTCCAGGCACATCAAATGAGTTTCGACTTGGGGAGACGGAGAGCAGCAGAGCCTCATAGTCTGTAGTCTGTACAGCTCATCATTTTGCAGAAACAAGAATGTATCGAGCCGGCCGAACGCTAGAGCTAGACGCCGATCAGGGTACCCTTGGCTATTTGAAATGACTGCTCACATGGGTTTCCTTGTCCAGCTGTTTGCCTGGGGATTTGCGCAATATCATCCTTTTCTCGCCAAGAGACGCGGCCTTGCTGCATCTTGATCACATCACTGCCCTCAGATGCGGGGCACCGTAAGAGGCAGAAGGAAGCCATCAACCCAAGCCAGCGCGAGAGGCTGCCCTCAATTCGCACATGGGCAACCTAAAGCCCCCACCTTCTTGGGCACATAATTCGTCCAGTAACTCCTGAACACGACTGAGGGCACACTTCAGCTTTAAGAATCAAGTGACAGCCTGGACATGTTCCATATCTTTTCGAAAGCCTAAGACAGCAATGTATCTGCTCTAAGCCTCGTTTTTCATTGGATGACAGCTGCTCTTCTCGTCAATGCCCAACTGACACGGACCGGAACCTGGACGATTAAATACAGAGGATATTCCGCCTTGCTCAGCCTTGTCTTAATGCGCTCGAAGTCTGGCTAGTCCGACTGTCGATCTTCATTGCCTCTCTTGTCTACCCCCTCATCGCCACAAGTTTCCTCCACTTTCATATTCATACTTGATTTCCCTGAAGTGTCCATGTTCTCTTCCTGGAAGATTCTTTGAGCATAGACCCCTTTTAAAATCAATCCCTTGGACTGCAGACGTTGCTAGATGCGAACGAGGTGGATATCTCTCTGGGTCGCTTAGGCCCTAGCTACTGGCTTAAATACATGCCCTTACTGGCTGGGTATGTCTTTGCTGGTGATCAATTCCGCGCTAAAAAGCCAGCATTCACATTGTATAATGTCTCCAGCGGTATCATAACGGCGAATCAAGGTCTTGTGAAGCTCTTGATAAAAGAGCTCCCAAGCTGGGGGTAGAATCTTGGTTTCACTCAACTTACCCAGTGCGCCTACTAAGAAGGTTCGAGACTGGGCCATTACCAAAATATACTACGCCTTCAGCGTAAAAAGGCGAAGTTGAGTACGCAAAAGACTCTTTCACTCGGCAAATATAGTTGGGGCTTTGGAAACTTCACTCCTATTCCATTCAACCCGGTCCCCCTGACTGACCATATCACGGGCAGCGCACCCCCGAACCAAAGGCTAGATAATCTCCCCATGTGCCTCAGATGTTGCGTGCAGTACGGTGCGAACATGCTCAATGCTGAGCTCGGCCTTTTCCTTGTGAGCTAAAAGCGCTGCTATCTTCACAGTATTTTTGATTTGCCGTCCGTTCATGGGTAGCTGAGCAAGCCGACTGTATACATCGTCCGTCAATGTGCTATCCTGCTCTAGTTGAGAGGTAAATTGCTTCCAGATATGCTCTTTTGCAACTGAGTTAAGCTCTGGGTAATGTAGGGTGAGGTGAATCCTGCTTTGGAAAGCGCGGTCGATTGCATTCGCGCGGTTGGTTGTCATGAGCATGATGCCACGGTAATACTCGAGCAATCTAAGTTGACCCAGTCAGAATGCCTGTAGAGGGAGATAGGATAGGTAGGCAAGGGGGTGTACTAACCTCAGAAAGACGGCAACGATCTCATTGTGCGCCATGTTGTCAATTGATCGCTCTTGCAGGAAAACGTCGCACTCATCGAATAGCAGAACGGCATCCCACTTTTCGGTAAGTTCCAGAACGGTGCGCAGACGATCCTCGACACTTTGAGCATCCTGACCCAGTTCTCCTGCACTAAGCATGTAAAGAGGCTTTCGGACCTTGTCGGCGACGGCTTCAGCGGTCAAGGTTTTGCCTGTGCCAGGCTGACCAACAAGCAACATAATGACTCCCATTCCCTTTCCCTCGATGATATCGTCAAATGCAAGCTTTTTGTCGCTTTGGGCCTCCACAAATGATAAGATCAAATTTTGGTAGCCGTTGGGGAGCATGAGCTTTGGAAAGGCGCCATCGTTCCACGCGATATCACTGATGTTTTTCAAGTCGAACAAAACCCAGCGCTTGAGCTTCAACGAGTAACCCCGTACGCGTGTGCTGCAAAGCAACAGTTGCTCGTCCGTGAGATCATATACTGAAGGTAAAGACTTAGCCTGCGCGGCGCCGAGCGAGAAAGGGCCAAGTGATTTATATTCTCATCACTTACCAGGGTCGGGCTCTCGCTCCTCCGATATTTCTCCGTTTTCAATCTTCCTCTGCTTAAGCCTCTCTCGACGTCGGCTTTCGCGCCTTCGACCTGTACCGCATCTCCAGCCTCCATAGTCATCATCATCATCATCCACATGCGTCTCTTCCATGACATTCATTTGCGGCGCAATTGATTCGGAGTCGAGGTCACCGAGAGTTTCCTGTTCGTCGGGATTGGCATGGAAATAGGATGAAGCGTCCACAACGATACGTCCGTCAATCTTCACAGAGCCCCTGTTAGCAGTCTACTGAGATGCGGGAACATGACGCTCATACATTGCACTCTAACTCCCTTCCACAGTATTCAAACCATACCAATCCTGAGTATGCCTTGTATTGGAAACCACGAAGATCCCTGAATTTTTGTCCCCGATTGATGGCTTTTACTCGCGCCTCATCTTGGGAAGGGTGAAGGTCTGCAGGGTATGCACTCAAACTGGTGATAGCTTGGGTCCCGGGATACTCACAGATCGCAAGGGTTTCTTTCGCGTATCCGAAGCGCCGTCCATCCCAATCGACAAAGTTGGCAGTGACGGCAAGATAGCCATCCTTGGCGTTGTATTTGCAGCCTTGGACAACATAAAATCGTTCGTGTCCACCTTTGGATGCGACAATGAGCTCGCCGGGTTCGAAGAGTGCCCAGAGCAACTGATACGTGATGACACCGTGGTGAATATGATCATGAATTTCAGACATCACATCGCCCAGCTCCTTTTGTAGCTCGTTGTAAAGTAGTACAGAATAAGCAGCACTCGCCGTGTCTTCGCGTTTTTGGCGCTCTACGATTTCTGTAAAGAGTCCCCAGCGATGGTAGAAAGGATGGAACGGCGACTTGAAAACCACCTTCTTCAAAGATGGTGTGATACCCTTGTATCCATCAAACACTTCGCCCAGCGTCTTCTTCAGAGACGAGCTCTGCACCACGATGGAGTCGAGAACCAGCGGCTTACCATCATCGTGATTTTTTCGCATGCGTTTGATGAAGGCTTTCTGTTTGATCGCAGCTTGATCTTCGACTTGCCGGCGCAGATCATCGGGATACTCCTCGACCCAATTCTTGCAGCACTGGCATTTGGGAGGGCCCTCGTACAATACCTGTATGGCGCATTCAGAGCCTTCGGACGACTGTTGCTCCGTGGTCCTAGGAACCGTAGATCCCGAGTCGCGTTTCTCCACAGGTCGTAGGGTATTCAGGACGTTAGAGAGTGACGCTGAACCTGTATCAGAAGGAATTCCGAGATCGTCTATGAAGCTGTCGCTGCTAGCCTGGGATGACATGGTTGAATCGACGAGTTATGGAACGAATATCAACCTTGATGTGTGAGAAGCAAGCGACCAGAGAGACAGAGACAGTCCGTCTGGCCTTATAAGTCTTCTGTTTTAATGATCGACGATGAAAATTTCCTGGAATTCACCTCGAATTCACCCGGGTATGGCGATTGGACCTGGTCATATCACATCCCTGTGGGCTGTGCCCGGGCGATTGGCCTAGCAGCCCGGCTGCATGCACAGCCAGGCCGTGTCCTCCAGCGCCCAAACGTTGACTAGGCCGCAAAAATTGAGGCAAGCCAAGATCTCTAGTTATTGATTGGCTTTCTTAGTCACCTTGCCTGGGTCATAGCAAGCTTGTCAAGGGGGCGATGCAAGGCTTAACAGACCATATCAAGTCAGATGCGACCAATGTAGTAGACGCAGCTTACGACACAGGTCGATTTCACTACAGCTCTCAGCCAGACACACAAAACCCTCACTGTCACCGGGATAGACCTGAGTAGATTTTCTACCTCATTCCATCTCGGGAATTCACACCCTGTGTGCCCCCGAGAATGTCGAACGATTACTCGCTGCCCTTTTTGAGCGAACTGGGCCCTGAACCCAGAGATGAGGACGTCGAGCAGATGTGGCGGAATCGTGTCTTTCCGTTAGTTTTCACGGATGATTTCGCCAGCAACTGGTCGGCAGTTCGCGATCCTAAGGGCATGTTCGTCGCGCCCTCGGGCTCTCGCTGTCGCGTTGAGCCTCGACCACACCACGCACCGCAATGTCTGGTAGTGATTCAGCAAGGTGACATGCGTCGCCAGGAAAGAGTGTCATATGAAGCGATTATTTTCTCCAAGGTGGTGCACCAAATGTTCCTGAACAGGCAGTCGAAAGACTGCACAGAGCCTGCGCAGGTCCAAAGGCGAAAGTTCATTGATCACTTTGTCAGGAAGTTGCCAAAGCAGTGGCGTACTTTAATCATCCTGGGAGACCTTCATTACTACAAGGAGCGAAATGAACAAATACCCTGGTTCATCAAGCTCGACATTTATTCCTCTCTCGCAGATCCTAAGAACATACGACTCATCACGCTACAAGCGAGCGATGACTACAACGCACTGATCAAATGCACACTCTTTGAGGTAGACCGTACCTCTGCGCCGGAATATGAGGCACTCTCGTATGTTTGGGGCGCCCCCGGGTCGACGCGGAACATCTTGCTGAATGGGAAAATGATTCCCATCCGGGAAAACCTCGAGGCAGCATTGAGAGAACTGCGACGACGAGAGGACCCTCGTACCCTGTGGATTGACGGTATCTGCATCGATCAATCCAATGTAGAAGAGCGGACCGATCAGGTCAAGCGGATGGACACGACCTATCGCAATGCCGCCGGGGTTGTCGTCTGGATTGGGCGGGAATCCAATACAAGCGCAAGGCTGTTCGACAAATCGGAATTAACTCTCAAGAATTCCAAGCAGCTGGACAGCCTGTTACGCTCCGAACACTTCCTCGACTTCCCATTCCAGCCCGAGGACTACTGCCCTCTATGCGATGGGGTCCCTCACAAGATACCCTCTCAGCTCGTCGGTACCTACCTTACTGAGAGCGTCGCCGATAGATATACAAGAGCTGCGCAGGACCCTACTCTTATTCCACAGCAGTGGAAGAATGAACACACCGAAGATATCGAGGCCTTTGTTACACTTCTCAGACGGCCATGGTGGAGGAGAGTCTGGGTATTGCAAGAGGCCATATTGGCCAAGAAAATCACGTTACATTGCGGACCCAGATCTATGGATTGGCCAATATTCCAAGGCATTCTCTACACGCTCGTTCGTCAGGGGAAAAGATCGAGAATACACCACACTGGTGGGCTCACCACAGAAGCACGAAGGGCTCGAGCCCAGGCCCAGTTGCTTTTCTTGGCCAACAGTACGTTTGCTTTCTTCTTCTTGCAAAGTTCATTGCTAGCTACGAAGCAGCTTCGGGGACTTTCCATGGCCGATCTACTCTCTCTTACCTCGAATTTTGATGCCACGGATCCTCGCGATAAAGTATTTGCTCTGATCGGCCTACTCCCGGAAAACAGCCCCGAACGGGTCCAGTTCAAACCCGATTATTCTATCAATGTGAAGCAGCTCTTCATCAATGTAGCCAAGAGCTTCCTTGAGACAGACCGCAGATTAGACGTCGTGACGGCAAGGCCATCTCTGCCTTCTTACTTGGTCCCAAAGTCCAGATCTCACTCCCCAGACTGGGATCTCGATTGTCCCTCGTGGGTTCCGAATTGGAAGCTACCCCAACTCTGGTACTTGAATTCAATCTGGATCAGCAAATTCTCCCAGTTCAAGACTCTAAATTGGTATACAAAAACCCGCATTAGTGAGCATGAACCAGGCCTCGAGTCTGTTGATTCAGGCACTCTCCCCGAAGAGAGCCTACAGGTCTTCAATGCCAGCTTGCAAAATCCGTCGCCCTTCCCATTCGAGTTCTCAGGACATGGAGAGATACTTCACGCGCATGGCGTGACTGTCGACACGGTTGAGGAGGTCGGCAAGCCCTGGGACCTAGCCATGGCGGCGCTTAAGACCCATAATCCTGCAGATCCCGGAAATTCAAACCAAAACGCCCACGATGCTCAGGTAGCTATCATTGAACAGTGGAAGACTATTGCCCGACTCAATGTTGAAGGACAGTACTCTTTCACCCAGCAATCTCGCAGTGAGGCTTTTTGGCGCACACTCTTCCTAGACCGATACCGCTCTACCCACACACACGAGCGCGTCTACCGCGTTACTCGAATTCCAGTTCAAGTGGGGGATGAGGAGGCTAACAATATCTTTGGTCCCGCAGGGATTACATGTGGCTTTCCTCCCGAGACATCCGAAGACGAGCTTGGGCTGATTTACTTCCTCCGCCATGAGGCTACTGAGATGGGGAGCTTCACCAACATCAACCTCCACTGTGTCAACCTCAGTCTGTTCAGAACCGTCAAAGGTTACATTGGAGTCGGTCACCCAAATATGCGTCCTGGTGATAAAGTGGCTCTTCTCCTGGGTGCCGCAGTTCCACTTGTACTCCGGGAGTATGATGAGGGCCATCTCCTCATTGGCCAAAGGTTTGCCTCCTTAGTCTTCACTTCCCAGCTCTACATTCTAACCTTTACCTCCAATAGCTATGTACATGGCATTATGGACGGAGAATATTTACAAGCTGAGCGTGATCAAGGGCGAGGCACAAAGCGAGAGGATTTCGAAGCGTTTGCCATTATCTAATCCGATATACCACTGTTTGGCCCTGACACTGGCCCTTTTCGAACCTCGTACGAAGTTATTTTGTGGAAAGAAATTGCTCTCGGCTCTTGGTATGGGTACCTTGGGCGATCTGATCGAAGTTTGACATGATATAGGACTGAAATAAAATACAATATGTACTTCGCTAGATGGAAGGTATATATGAACGGAAGGATCCCGAGAAAGATCCCGCACATGCGACATGTGCTTTACTTGCGATCAGCCTTGCCAGTGGGTTCTCAAGTGCCCAATGATGTAAAATCACATCCATCCAAACCAAAACGCGCCAGTCATCTGCATATGCAGTTTGCTATCCTCTCAGCTGAGGATCCCCTCCATCTTTGTGTAATCCAGCAGCCGCTCAGAAGTAGCAGTCTGTCAAGATTGTTTATTTTTGTATTATGCATCACACAGTGATTACAGCATTTTATTTTCACCATTGCTGTCTTCACTATACCAAAGAATTTATTGTGATTTTGTTTAGTGTTAAGCAGAAATTATGGAATAACCTTCTAGACACTGCCACAAGGCTGCTAGTGAGTTCCCCATATGACACCCCCGCATATTTAACCAACATAATAAACCTAATAAGCAGCCTGCAGCAACCACGTAGCAAGGTGGATCTTGTGGTTTATGAATAAGGGCCTATGAGCCTGGCAGAACTTTCTTATGAAGGCTATGCATGACTGTCCCATCAATATGCTGCTGTTGATAATTCATAGCATCAGGCTGAACATGCCTGAGAAAACATCATCACTTCAATCCCATGCTAAAACATATAATGCTTCATTTCTTTTTCGTTGATTTATTTATCTATGCCTTGTTTGCCCGGCCGGAATGACAATGTGTGCATTTGAGGTATACTGTAGTGGTCAGGCTGATTTGTCTATTTGAGTATGCATTCTCTACAATAGTTTTGGTGGGTAAACCAGTACAACTTAAGATATTCATCACATAACCTCTCAGTACGACACTCAGGCTTTGGAATTCCCTCATGACTGGTTCTGATATCGCCTTTTAATCGCCTCGATCAATGGATTTTCTCAATAATTGTGTTCACAGAAATTCTGCAACTCAACATTTTACAATAGACATGTATTCTTATGTAATAAAGAATCAGCCTGGGTGCCTGCTCAGCCCCTCACCTTCATGCCTCAAAAGAACACAGCCGCACGACAATCTCGCAGAAATTTTGATCCTGACAACTCCCTTAATCAGTGATCTTCTCTGTTGTTTTACATATAATTTACTGTTTCAAGACACACATCATGATATATCCGTGGAAAGTGCTGTCCTCATGGGCCCCCTTCAAGATCGATGCGCTAGGCCTGGTAACGCTACTCGGTGCAGACGAAGTCAACACCTCTGTCGGCCGATTAGCACCGAGTTACTGGATGGAGTTTATGCCATTACTTGCAGGATTCGTTTTCGCAGGTGACCGTTTTAGGTCCAAACAAGCGTCTTTCACTTTATACAATGTCTCCAGCGGAATTGTCACAGGGAACATCGCTTCCTGGTTCACGAGGTGGATGCAAACGCAGGACTTTGAAAGGTCACGGAGCCTGGTGTATTGGGAAGTCCAGGCGATTCCACGAAAATCCTGGGGAAATTTCATCGTCGCCGTTATTATATCCTTCGCCGTGACTGGCCTACTTATTGCGATGACTATACTTGCGAGCGACTGGTATGGGTTTGCCAATGCTACAGCGCTGGTCTTTTTGACAGCTGTCCGGTCCTATTTACTACAATCGCATCGAAATGCGATTGATAGAGAAGTGAAAGCAGCGCGACCGCTTCCTACCACATTCGCGGGGGCCTTGGAAGAATGGGAAAAGAACATCAAGAACGACCGCAGCGCTCCTAAGCCGGAAAAGGATTCAAGAAAATGGCGACCGGAACTCGTCAAAGTTCTTATCGACTTGCCCGACTCTAGACTCGTGACGATGTTTATGCCAGAGCACCTCATCCGTCCAGTATTTGTGACAGACACCACCCCATCGTCACCTTGGGTTTATCGGTTGGCGCAATGGGTGGGATGGGTTGCATTTTGCGTACATATCGTCACACTGGGTATGGCTCAGTTAGCAACCCAACTATACGTGGTGGTGATTATGGTTCTTTCAACTGTTCTTATCTGCTACGGTTTCGGCTGTGACGACTCTACGTTATATAAATGGTGGCATCAGGCGCGGTACGGAGATGCCCCGTCCTCCTACTCCTGCTGGGTGGGGACATATCTGAGAGCGACGGTATCTGAGTGGCCCTCAGATTTTGAATTCGTTAGAGGCAAAGACGGGGCTTGGTCTAGAAGACTTGCTTCGGATTTTCTAAAGCGAGAGCAGCGTTCGACTGCGCGTCAGGATCTGTACGCGTGGCTAGACCTGAGCCCCGAGGAAATGAGGAGTATGTCTGACTGGCATTTACTTCCGCATAGACGCGATCACGATGATTCCTGGTGGACGGATTTCGCGGCGAAAAGACTGCTAGTCCAGCGTAACCCGCTGGATATATCTCTACTCAAAGAGCAGAAGGAACATCATTCCAGGATGGGTGAGAGAAAGGACGAAGATCTCGACTGCCGTTTTTCCCAGTGCGGGGATATGGAAAAGGGTAACTCGAACAACCACAGCAGCATTCGGTGCCGGTAATGGCCCATCTCTGGGGACCTGCGGTAGAACGAGTGGCTTGGTAGCATACATTGCAAGAATAGGGGCTACTTACTGGTTGAATTCCCAACTTTGCCCGTCATTTGTCACGAAGAAACACAATCAGGCCACCGGATTATGGTTTTCAACCCATTAGAATCTAGTTAAGAATGTAGTGACCATATGCTATTCTGGCTTTACCGAAAAGCCATGTCTCTGTTCCCCGCACACAGATCGCTAATCACTGGTCCAATGCCTTCTGAGATACTCCTTGATAGAAACAGGTTTGATATGGGGACAGAGGTCATTCAAAGTAGGCTAAAAGTCCATCCGGCCAGTGGCAATTGCCAAAAGGAGTTGATAATAGAATCTTTCATCACTGCTCATGTTACCTCGCAGAAGTCCTTTAAGATTCTCAGTCGGCATGACCTTAATTTGAATGTCTCTTCCACATCTCGATTTCGCCAGCTCAGCAACCTCAGTAAACGTGATTCTGTCACCAACAATCCTGCTCTCAGGTTCCCATTTAGGTAGATCAAGGGCAGCAGCCACAAACCGGCCAATATCTTGCGTTTTTGAGATTACCACCATCTGAGACGCATCGCCTGTAATTATCGCCGTGCCCGCTTTCAAGTCAATAGCAAATGGTGGGCGCCCTTTATAAGCCCCAAGAGCTTCCTCTTCATCCCTGACGCAGCCGGGCCCGAATACGTTCATCCAGAGACCATTAATAAACCGAGTATATTCTAGCCCTGAAGACTGGACGGCTTTCCAAACAATACCCTTGCCAGAGTAGAGATCGACAACATCATAGCAGTCACTATTCCATTCCGACGGCACAAAACGAGCCACACCCGCTTGTTTCGCAGCTTCCAAGAGGGCCAGCTCAGAGGTGGTCGAGTTACTTCCATATGCAGCAATGCAGCTGATCACTGTGTGCACTCCTCTCAGTGATTCCCTGACATCTTCGGCCGATCCATAACCAACAACGCGGACATCAGCTCCTTGAGATGACAGGTGTGGCTGGTCTGACCGTGAAAGAACAATCACGTCGTGTTTCTTTGCGTCAAGGACGGCTTGGACAATGTCTAATCCTATTCCGCTCCCCCCACCGGCCACTGCAACGGTGACCATGCTGGACAATTCAGTTGCACTTTAGTAATGGGACCAAATGCTGGGATCTTATTAGCAACAAGAACTCGAACATTCATATCAGGATATACCTACTAGGCAACTTCCGTATACTGCAGGTATAATACAACCACCAAGAAGATTCAGACGAGCTGGTACTTATCAAAACTCAAAATGCAATTGGATTTGACGATTATATAGTTTGACAAATGAACCTAATATAATACCTGCTTATAGACTGTTTTGGACATTCACGTAATATGGTAACATAAGTTAGGGCTTTGATTATTAACAAGTATACTTCTAAGTTAACTTCTCTATGCTCTCGTCAGCCCAAACAGACAGCTTACTCTGGCTCATTACACACCACTGGCCCTAGTAGTTAAATCTTAATATAGAGGAATATCTGATTATTTATTGAAGCAGATTATCTAAGAAGATGCTGCTCTGTCAAGATGAACATACTGCTGGCTCATTCTGGGAAATTATAGATTGTCACCTCAAATGCACTGGTTCCCTATTTTTTTCTGCTTTCCTGGAAATATACTGAATTGTTCACACCACTTTCTTCGCCTCCACATCCTCAAATTAAGCCTCCAAAGTGACCCTTCAATTCCATCGTCAACAAGTTCTTCTCAACAATCTCTTTCTGGCGTTCCACCAGCTCCTCCACATCCCAATTCACGCTCATATACCGGCTGTTCATGAATCGAGCTTCTTCAGTGGCCAGCCAAAGCGCAGTCCCGCCAGCCAAGTCAAAGGTATCCTTGGACATCCGGATAAATGCAGGTGCAGTGATTTCGGTCAGAATTGAACCAGGGTGAAGGGCCGTTGCAAGAACATTCGGGTTCAATGCCGCGATGTACCTCTGCATTTGCAGTTCCAGCAGCTTGCACATGCCATAGCTATCCGGCCCGGGTGTGAAAAAGACTCCGCCTGCACTAGTGATGTTGATGATATACCCAAATGACTTCCCCCCAAGAAGCTTAAGGAAGTGTTGAGTTACCATGAGGGTGCCTTTCACCATTACTTCCTGTTTGATTCAGTCAGTACAACGGGTAGTAGCATACTCCCTTCAGTAACAGAGCGAGTCTCACAAAATCCGTCCAAATACCGTCGATCGAGGTACTCCCAATCGGGCCTCCTTTATTGCACCCCGCATTGTTAATCAAGACATCAGCCTTACCATGGTTGGCTTTGATCTGGTGGAAAAGCTCTGCGACTTGGGACTCATTTTGGACGTCGACAGCCTTAACTACCACTTCAACATTCGGATTGAGACCATACACCAATTTCTTCGTCTCCTCCAAATTTGCCACACTTCGGCCTGTGAGGTATAAGGTCTTTGAACCTGCTTTTGCAAATGAAGCAGCGAATGCCTGTGGAACTATTGGGTCAGGGATTGGACATAATAGCTACACAGAGTCCGGGAAGCCTATATACCTTCTGACCAATGCCCTGGCTTGCGCCTGTAATCACAACGACCTTTCCCTTCTGCGAGAGCTTCTCATTCAGAGGATCGATAGCATGGTATATATCTCGGTGTAGGGCTTTTGTGAATGCGGATTGTTTGACATAGTAGTCGTCAGGCAGATCGTCTAAATTGGTCATTTTGTTGTTTGTACGTGGGAGAATGAGAAGGCCATATGTAAATTTCAAGTGAACCTAACGAATCTGAAGAAGGATTTATTCAGAAAGGATTGGACTGTTTAATACTTTCATGTTAATTAGGAGATAACTATTAACATGAATCCTCTGGTCCGATGATATCATCCAAAATGCTGAGAATTGACCTGCATGTAAGCAGATATGATGCCGTCAGCATTGAATGTTAGTTATGGGAATGCAGGAATTGATAGGTGACCCTATTTGAAGATACATCACCTACTATTGGATGACTCTTTTTTCCTGCCTGCTTATACTTGTATCAGCCATAAGCAAAAGGTGCTGAAGTAAGCACCCCTGTAATCATCATATGTTCTCACGTAAGCTACTATCTACACCTAGACATAATCCTAGGACAGGGGTACATGAACCCATGGTTCACTGACCTTGACCACACCTTTATTAGCCCTGCTGATGAAATGAAGACATTAACCATGGCACAGATATGGTGCTTATGTGACCTCCATCCTAGACTAAAGGTCCCCTTGCAACAAGGCTATTGAATTAGTTAAATCACACTAAGTGAGCGTGACGAATATTTATAGTGCAGGTAGTTCTTAATATTCCACCATCTTCCCTCTTCCCTCTTTCATTGCCACAAAGACAACATGGCTCCCAAACTCCCCACCCGCCAGCTTGGCCGAAATGGCCCCCAAGTCACAGCCCTAGGATACGGTGCCATGGGGCTTTCAGCGTACTACGCGCCGGCTGCATCCGATGAAGAGCGTCTTCAATTTTTGGATTATGTCCACAGCAGTGGCATACTTAACTGGGATACTTCCGATGTGTATGGAGACAGCGAGGACCTGCTTGGGAAATGGTTCGCCAAAACTGGAAAACGGAATGACATTTTCCTCGCTACTAAGGGTGGTAGTGGCGTTGATGACGCAGGGAATCCTCTGGTCAGGAGCGACCCTGAATACATCAAAGGTGCTTGTGAACGGAGTCTGAACAGACTGGGTCTTGAATGTGTTGACCTGTATTACATTCATCGCTTGGATAAGGTCACTCCGATTGAGAAGACAGTCGCTGCTATGGTTGAGCTGAAGAACGAGGGGAAGATCAAGTACTTGGGGTTGTCTGAATGTTCTGCGAACACCCTGCGTCGCGCGTAAGTGAACCATTACAATTTACACCAATTACTGCGAATTCAACGTTCAACACTAATAATGTTGTGGGAACCACAGGTGCAAGATCCACCACATCGCCGCTGTCCAGGTAGAATACAACCCCTTCAGTCTCGACATTGAACAAAACGGCCTGCTGGCCGCATGTCGCGAACTCGGTGTGGCAGTAGTCTGCTATGCACCTCTTGGACGGGGTTTCCTGACAGGACAACTGAAATCCTCGAATGATTTCCCTGAAGGGGATATCCGTCGTTTCCTACCGAGGTTTTCGCCTGAGAATTTCCCTAAGAACCTAAAGATTGTGGAAGCTTTGGAGGAGATCGCCAAGTCCATGGATATCAGTACTAGCACTTTGGCTCTTGCATGGCTTTTAGCTCAAGGCGATGATATTATCCCAATTCCTGGCACGACGAAGCCGAGAAATTTGGATACCAATATCCTGGCCTTATCCGTTACCCTTACTCCGGAACAAAACAAAAAGATCCGAGATGTTGTCGAAGCTGCCGGTGTCTCTGGCGGAAGATATCATGCTGCGTGAGTTCCCTGAGTCCCTGACATTCGAAATGTTCTTCCTTTTCGCACTAATAAATTTGATGCAATAGGTGGGATGAATCATTTGCTGATACACCAGAGCTGTGAAAACCAACAATGAAAGAGCTGGTTTTCTACTTGAGAGCCCATCAGACGGACATTTCTTCCTGATCAAAGGATGACAGTGGGCCGACTACTAAGCCTGCTCGATGGAAAAGCTCCCTTTTCACCTGACTACTTTCAATGGAGATTTCCAACCAATTACATATGCCACTCTGATTTATTATACGTTTGGTTGTTAATGTAACCCTGTACGCTCAGTGATTGTACAGGTATAAAGTAGACTCAAGTGCCAAAACTAGTCAGTACAGTACTCACCGTCAAGGATCTTTGATTTTTAGTTATTGTACACTGTTGTTGGCTTGTCTCTTTTGTGGAAAAGCACCTTCGCAAGAAACCCATGGTTACTTACAACCAAAAATTGTTAATAATTTCGATCAAGGCTTGCTGCAGTGCCTAAATCTACCCTTGTTGATCGGCTCAAAGGAATCCATCCACGATCAGAAGCTCGATTCTTCGCAAAAACAGCCATAAATTGGCAGCAATTGAAGAAGATATCTTTATCAAAACGACTGCTAAATGCATATAACGTGGTTTTTCACTTTGGCCCGAACTATTGCGTGGAATTCCGCTGATTTGCTTCATGGGACTACACAGGATTCTATGGCAACTATGAGTGTCAACTGGGTATATAATTTTGTCAACCACCACTTAGCACTGCGTTCACAAAGTATATAACCAACCGTATATACATCAACATGCGAAGCAAGAGGACCAAGGGATCATGAATAGTGAGTGATATACGACCGTATGCGAGGCATCGTATCCATAAGGACGATAAAGCCACTATTCATCCTATCTTTTAGTCGGATTATCTGAACATATCCTCTTACCAAGGGTATGAGGACTTTTCACCCCTCAGCTCAGACCACCACCGACTGTGTTGATACATTTCACCATCAGGCCCATCGAACAATAACCACCACTTTTTCAGAAACCACGGTTTTATCTCCCAACTTCGGATGTCCCAGGGTGCTCCTGAACCTACTGTATCCCGTCCATCTCTCTTCGTCGAACCCCAACAAATGAGTCCATCGCTTTGCAAATCCTGACAGAGCCTCTCAGAGTCAATGGGCGGGGGCTGAACCTGAAGGAGCTGAATAATTCGATTTCGGAAAGCAGGAAATGGGAGAATGTCGAGATATGGATGATGAGGGTGGGTCAGTTGCGTGCTAGAGGGTCGAAGCAGGGGCTTGAGATGGGCAAATTGTCCCGTATTCACTGTTCCGAATGGACAATTGTCCATCTGCGCCTGGTAAAAGGGTGACTGCGACGTTCTGCTCCACAAAGTCTCCGGTGATAGCCCAAGCATAGCCGCGTTGGCAAAGCATGCTGCGACAAATGACATGGCGGTGAGTTGAATCGTGTTCAGATGTATGTCCGGGATGTAGCAGTGTTCCACATCTGCCGTTGGGACTAGGTTCTGTCGAGTGTCATTTCCCGCGACCGTTGTTGACGGGCTATTAGGCCGTGTGTCACTCATTGGCTGGTTTTCTCTCTCCGAGAGGGCGTGTATTCCCGCGATCATGATATCTTCAAGGGTGTACTTTTGGCTCACACGATCCTCAGACAACAAAACATCGCTCAATCTGCTGGAGCCGAAAGGAGCTTGAACGGCAGACCGTGCCAGAGCTTGCTGGTTGTTCTCATGGTTCCCTGCGGATTCATCCTCTGAAGTTCCACTAATGTAATGACCTGTGTTGCTCGGTCTCCAACCGGAAATGTTGTCCAAGTCAAGCGCTAGAGTGAGATCGGCCGGGGGTGGAAATACCGGATTTTCACCCAAGAAATTTACGCCACGTTCAAATTCATTAACTGATTCACCCATTGTCTGATCATATCGTGGAAACCCAGATGGACAGCTAGGAAGATCCAGCTCGTTTCCAACTTCATGATTGACAAGGGAACAGGGCTGAGGGCTTAGGTCATGGTGACCACCTTCCGCACATATATCATTATTGAACGCCGGACTCCTCCTAGAACTGTGATCATTCCTCGGATATCTCTGTCCCGGTGATTCGTCATTATGCGAGGACGGCGGCGTAGGAGCGGTCCCCGCTCTCATAGCAATAACTTCAAGTCGCTGCAGGTACCTCTTTTTCTTGTCTCCTGACAATACATCAGTCACACCAGTGCATAGAAAGTAAGGGGTAGACAAGAGTCAATCAGCTCGTCTATTTAAAGGAGAACTAACGATAGGTCCTCTGCGCTATTCGGTTTTGCTCGCGCCTGCGTTCAGATATTGGCGGCCGGTGACGTGACACTCGGCATCGGCCGGCATTTTGGCTGTTTATTTTCTCAGCCGCGGGGTTTAGTCTCTTCGGCATGATTGTACTGCCCAGACAAAATTGTGCGAGCTCTGTTATAGGATCCTCTCCAGATGAAGAAGAGAGTGTGGGGGGTTCCCCGAAGCATGCTGGAAGTCAGGCTGATATTACTAATTCCTGCTCCGTGGCGGGAAGTGATAACGTAATTTCCAAGCCAGTGGCGGGAATTGATAGGGGGACACTCTTACTTTTATTGCAAAAGGTGTGTCCCGAATCCCGATCGATTCCAGCGAGTGGCTACCCCTGCTACCTACCGATATATTACTTTACAAATAATTTGTTCGACCAGAACACCAGTATATTAACCAATCAATCTAAGTGGACAATTATTGGACCCTACATATGCTTATAAAGTGTGCTAGGAGTTGGTATTATGTTTTACTGGACCTGACCAGAATTCGTATAGGCTATAAGCTCCTAAATTCGATTGACCAATGTAAACCCATTTCTCCATAATATATCTAGAATAGAGTATCCTACAGATGGCTCTTGGTCGGGGAAAACCCGGCGACCACCAACAAGCGCTGTGCCTCGGTGCGTTGCCAGTCCATCTTTGCGATGATGGCGTCCTTGCGAGCACGATTCTCGCGACGGCCGAGCTGCAGCAGATGGACCTCGTCCGGCCCATCAGCAATCCGCAGGGCACGGCTCATAGCCCACATATGAGCAAGGGGAGTATCCTGGCAGACACCAGCGGCTCCATAGGCCTGGATAGCACGGTCAATGACGGCCAGGGCAGTTTGGGGCACAAGGACCTTGGCCTGCGCGATCTCCTTGAGAGCAGACTTAGCATCGCCCTGGTCAATCTTAATAGCGGCGTTGAGGACGATGAGGCGAGCAGCGTCAATCTCAATACGCGAACGGGCAACCCACTCAAGGATGACACCGTGGGCAGAGAGGTTCTGACCGAAGGTCTTCCTCCTGTCGTCGTTGATGCGGGCAATCAGCCACTCAAGAGCCCTTTCTGAGGCACCAATAGTTCGCATGGCGATGTGGATGCGACCAGGGCCTAGGCGGCCCTGGATAATCTCAAAGCCACGGCCCTCGCCAAGCACCATGGCGGACACTGGGACACGCACATTCTCAAATGTGATCTGGCCGTGGCCGTGCGGAGCATCCTCATAACCATAGACAGACAACATGCGATGCACGGTGATGCCGGCAGTGTTGGCTGGAACGAGGATGACAGACTGCTGACGATATGGATCCTGCTGGGAGGGATCAGATCTACCCATCACGAGGTAGATCTGGCAGCGGGGGTCACCTGCGCCTGAGGACCACCATTTCTTCAATTTCCATTAGTACAGGTCTACATCTATATGCGGGTATAGGATAAAGAAAATTACCGATCCATTCAGCACATATTCGTTGCCCTCCCGGCGGATGCTTAATTGGATGTTGGTGGCGTCACTAGATGCGACCTCTGGTTCAGTCATGAGGAAGGCTGAGCGGATCTTGCCCTCCAGCAAAGGCACCAACCATTCGCGCTTCTGGGCTTCGTTGCCGTACTTGGCCAGTACCTCCATGTTACCAGTATCGGGGGCAGCATTATTCGTGGCCTGACCTGATGGTTAGTCTTGGTCCGAGTTCTCAGAGAAAGGGCTGATGAGAATGACCGACCTCAGAGGCCAATTTGCTCTTGCCGAGGTATTCAGCCATCAATCCATATTCGAGATTGGTGAACCCAGCGCCCTCAGAGAAGCGGTTCTTGGGCAGAAACATGTTCCACAGGCCGAGGGAGCGCGCCTTGGCTTTGAGAGAGTCCATGATGACTGGGTTGGTGGTCCATCGTCGCTCGCCCTGCCCGAGTTGGGCCTGAAAGAGGGGTTCGGCTGGGATACAGTCATTATCGACAAATTGTTCGACCTGATTGAGTTATTATATTGTAAAGTGGGTGAAATAGATGGAAGAATACCAAATCGAGGGTATGTTTGGCCCGGTCGCTGACGAAGGGCTGAACGATGAGAGGTATGTGAGACGAGGCTGGCATTTTGATGAAGATAAGAGTAAGAAGTAAGGAGTCAAGAGCAAGGCGTGGGAGAGAGAATGTAAGGGACAAAGAGAAGGTGTATGTAGTATCATTGAAGATGATATAATGTTTGAACTGCCGAGGAACTGTGGCCGAAGTTGGGCCTCGGCTGCATTGATTGTATACAGCTTTTGTCTACTTACAGTTTGCACAGAAGGTTTGAAACAGCCAATTGGCTGATTTTTGTAGGCTGCAGATTCGTGACCGCATCGACGGGAATAATACTTTAGAAATGCCCATGGTTAGTTAAAGGGTACCGGTAGGGTAGTAGCGGATATCTTCTATCCTCAGCGGCTATGGCCTACTAACCTCAGGGGGTATTGATTTTGTCCTATTTTGACCTGGCCCAGCTCCCCAACAGGCTACACGCCGTTAGCCAGGCGCAAGTTTACCCTACTCCGCCAGACACCCCGCCCAATCAATTATGGAGGATGGTCCAGGAGCTCAGTCATGGACTCCCCTCGTTGGACACTGACGTTGTCATAGAAGATGAGACTGTCGTCCTCATGCTCATTGACGAGGATCCTCGCCAAGTCTGGGATCGGTACTTCGACCTAATCCTCGCGGCAAGGGATTTATGGACGAGTTCCACGTTGTGGTTGAGTACCAGGGTTCAAAACAGCAGTCTGCAGGAGAGGAGCAGGAGGGAGTCACAGAGCTGTGGAATCGGCTTTTGAGCCTTATCCACCAACGCGTAGATGGACAGGGCGACCTGTCCGTGGATTGCTTCCATATCAGAGGACACAAGTCTGCTACCTGGTGTCTAGCTTGTTTGACACAGCAGACCGTGATATCCTTGCGCTGCAATTCGACAACGGACAGATGGTGGGCGGAAAGTCACAACTACCTTATAATTAAGGGGGATGGTGTATTTCGTTTGTGTATCACACCTACTGAGTATCGTCTCACATTGCTTGGCGTTGTTCTATCATGGACATTGAATAGGAGTTATGTGCTCTTGGCTTATATGATCTGGCTTTAGGCGGTCCATGAGCAGAAGGTCACAGGTGGATAGTAAACATACTGTGTTCAGCAGGGCTTGCTATGAGATAAGTACACCAACGGAGAGACACTCCTCCTTATAGACTACTACATTAAAACCTCCTATTCTAAGAACAGGCATCAATCATATAGCCATTTCAAAAGGCTAAGACTCGGAGTCCAACCTTGGTATCACAGCCTCGGGAATACGCGCTCATTTTTCAACCTCAAAGAATGTCCTTTGGTGCCATACAGCCCATTGGCAGAGCCAAAGTCCACTTCGATAGGATGTAACCAATACACTTTCTACTATGCTTCCCCTGGCAAATTTTCGTTGCCAATTCGGTCGCGGCGTTGCAACTATGTTCTCAGTCGAAGTCTGCGCCAAACTCTGGAGAAAACCAAAGAATCAATCTCAATTTCCTGGCTGCATTGAATTCAATACCGCCAAGAAGCATAAATGGTTCACCAAAGCTTGTTGACTTGCCTGTGGACCGTCACAGCTCAAAGATAAAGCCTTTCAGACTGAGGTAAGAGTGCTGAATCCGAGTTCTGGATGGGATAATCTCTAGCAAGAAGACGATATAATGAGTCTGCCTTTCATCCTGCTTCTCGACCGTCTCACCAGTTCAAATCAGACTATGGACACATCACTGGCCCCCCCTTTTGTCGGTTGTTACTACGTTTTTAAGGAACATACTCCACGGACAGGATGCCTCGCAGAGTGATTAAGATCAGGAGACGAAACATGCACCTTTGATATTTCTAAATTCACCACACCACTACATCATCATCCAAACATACAGCGCGTACTGCTTTGTCCTCGTCTTTCACGGATCTTGAGTTGTTGTCACAAATACGCAAGCCGAGGAGATTCCAGGCCGAGGCATGCTCGCCCTGAGAAGCCGTCCGATCTACCCACGGTTGGCGAAGGTCCAAAGGTGTGGGTTAATGAATTCCTCCGGAAAGGTTTTCTAGGGTCAGACGAGTCCCGAATAACAGATGTCTCAGGTTCCAACTACCATACGCATATCTGACTATCGACTTTTCGTTGGGATATCATTATTTCCTGTTACTGAGGTGAAAACAGATAGGACAACAGGAAAGGGGGGATTGATGACTTTCTTAGGTGCAGCACCTAACAGTCGGGACCGTCTATTAACAGATAGTCAATACCATTAGCCTGAATCGTTCGAGCAAGCATCACTCCGATGGTTGACAATGCTATCTACATACTTCTTTGGATTCCCATATGAATCTCTATTGTCAGTCAAACCAGCACATATGACCATAGGGTGTGGAAAACAGGGCTTCCCGTCCGTTCGGCAGCACTTAAGCCAGTATTGTCAACGCGGCCAGAAGTAATATGCGCCCCGTAAGACTTGCCGCTTTATGGATGAGAGCCACTGTTGCCAATTACCTGGCGTAAGGCCAGGTGATACATCTGATCGAGTTTGGTGCAACTCTCCAGATTTGCCTGGGGTTTGCGATACTTACCAGAAGGTGATCATAAATGCCGTAGCTCCCTGCTTTGACACGGTCTAGACTACAGCCAGTAATATATGGATTCGAAAGTGGGCTTTATCTAATATTCGCGTTGACTTTGAAAAGGCCAGGCAGTTCGAAGAACCACAAGTCATGTATGGTATTTCTCCTTCAAAGGAACTTTTGTGGCAATGCAGATAACGAAAGAGGCTTATAAGAACAAAACAAATCATTCCCATGGCAGCCACAAGCATATAGTGGAAGTTACTGGAGCTGCAGTTGCAAAAGTCTATAGAGGCGAAAAAGTACCCCTGATATTCCCTTTCCCGGATTGATAATCTACTCTCCCATGGAGTGCAATGCATATCACACTGGCCTAATAAGGTGTCTTAGATTTGTATCACAAGCACAGCAGATGCTATATCATCTTAGTTACTTTGAGTATGAAAGAGAGAAGAAGAGTACGACTGACACATTATGAGATTTAGATGACTGATTCCCATCTAAGACTATTATTCGCCCATATGTCAAAGTGTAACTTCTTAGTAGCTTAAGTGGAGAATATTCAGGCACCTGAACCTTCACCTAGAGGCCCAAAGCTTAGGCAGGAAGGTGTCAAGAGAATAGATGCTAGGAGGGGTGAGCAGCATATACATCCATTGTATGTTTCTGATCCTGTCTATAGCAACCCCAGTTATCAAGGCTGCTGTTCTTCCTCTGTTTTTGCACTTCTGGTGGTTATACCTTGAATTGCACCCCGCTCGAAGAGGGTGATGCCGTTGTTGGATGCTCAATGGGAGGATCGGCCTGGCCTCATGTAAGGCTTCTTTTGGCGTCGGTTGACAAAGTTCACAGAAAGTCCAATCTTCGAGCGGTTGCAAACTTCCCCGGTTAGCCCTGTAGGGTGCCAGTAGAGCGGGATAGGGAGCATGGCGATGAGTCCTAGAGTGGTTTACTGAACGGCATAGGATGAGGAAAGAGTTATGCATAAGTGGTTAGACAAGTCAGGAACTTGGTAGGGTTCGGCATGGTGAAGATTGAGCTGAACTAAAGAGAGTCAACGTCAGTAATTACTTTCGAGCGCCAGAATCGATATATTTTCGTGGCTGAAACGACGAAGAGCCAGCGAGGCGTTTTGACGTTTAGTTATGACAATATAAAGAAACAGGTCATCGGTATATCTCATAGGAAGAAGACATTCGGGTATATTTATTATACAGATTACATGGCAGTTACCATCAACTCCACTCCAGACCAATCTTCCGCGCAACCTTTTCGGCAACGTCAAGGAAAGCCTTGCGCCTTATGCTGCGCTCGTCACTCTCCTCTGATACAACCGTAGGTACTCCGCGGTCAGCGTCCTCGCAGACTTTAGCGTCGAGAGGGATATCCCCGAGGAATTCGACGCCTAAGCGCTTGCACTCGGCAACCACGCCCGAGTCCTCCGAGCCATGGCCATGACTTTCACCATGGGAAAAGATCTTCGTTTGATGACCGCACTGCGGGCACGCAAAGTAGGCCATATTGCGAACCATCCCGAGAACGGGAATATTCATTTTCTCGAACATCCCAAAGCCGCGGACGGCGTCGCGCAGAGCGATATCCTGTGGTGTGGTTACAATCAGGGCGCCGTCTACGACGACCTCTTGTCCGATTGTTAATTGTACGTCACCAGTCCCCGGGGGCAAGTCCAGGACCAGCACATCTAGAGGGCCCCAGGAGACGGAATGGAGAAGTTGGTGCATGGCCTTGGTGACCATCAGACCACGCCATGAGATAGGAGTGGTGTCCATGGGAATGTTGCCCGCAGGTTGTGACGGGTCAGTTTTCGGCTGTGGGAGGAGATAGCCCATTGACATCGATTTCAAGCCATAGTTAGTCAGAGGGACGAGGCAGTTGTCTAGTTCACCCATTAGCTCTTGCGCTCCAAAGGCATGTGCCTCAAATGACAGTCTCACTTTCGTCTAAGCGGGGTTCACCAGACAGGTTGAGAAGAGTTGGGATCGATGGCCCAAAGATATCGGTATCCAAGATACCTGTACGAATCCCACGGCGAGCTAAAGATAAAGCGAGATTCACTGGCGCAGAGAAGTCAGAGATCTACTGAAATATCACGCATAGAGGTTCATCAACTGCTGATATAAGATATCAGAATGGTACCTAAGACAAAAATTCCATACCTGCAATGGTAGATTTGCCAACACCACCCTTTGCCGATGATACCGCAATCACTTTTTTGACATCACGGATCTTGCGCTTTTCTGGTAACCCCCGGCGGCGCGGGAATGACGGTGGTGTGCCGGATCGCGGAAGACCCTGCTAACATTAATATTCACAGCCAGCCAAGTCACCCAAGGGGCTATTTACCAAAGGATTCTCATGTTGAAGAGCTCGAAGAGCCGAAAATAGTCTCTTTTGTAACATAGTTGCCGTTGATGGCAGATACAGTATTTCAGAGAGGAGCAACAATCGACATCATTTACTGCCAGAGAAAAGTACACCGCCTGGAGCAACGTTCCCAATCGGACCAGCTCCAACCCTGAAATGGGAAGTTTGTCCGGATACCGCATTCCGCCTGTCAAAAAGTATCACGGGCAGAAAAAATAAAAAATTATCGCGGCCAAAACTTATTGACAACAACCTTCGTACCTTCGACTTGTCCAAGGCGCAAAAATGGCGCAAAAAACTCTTGCAGAACGGCTCGCGGAGCTGGAAGACCCTACACCTAAAGGTAGGTTCTCGATAAATTGGTTGTCTTCTTTAAATGAAGGTTAACACTGCGATCAGATTTCGACCCCGAAGACTTGGAGCGCGCTGGGCCAGACAGTGACGATGAAGGTGCCGAAGCTGCTGATCCTAATGCTGGGCGAGAACATTATCAAGCTGTAGGGTGAGTTCGAACATTTCCAACCGCGCGCAATCATTGTCTTCAAGGCATTAACTTCGACCAGAAAGGCGAGGCTTCGCAAGCAGGACCCAATAAACCTCGGAAAACAATATGCCGGCTCGAAAATCAGCCGCGACGCGCTTGAAGCCGAGAGCGACGATGACCCTTTCAAAGCACGGTCAAGCGACGAGGAGGATGGTAGTGAGGACGAGGACGAGGAGGATTCCGAGCTAGGAAGCGACGAGGACGAGGACGCATCCGAGGAAAGCGAAGAAGAGCGACCACGGAAATCTAGGAGCTCCGGAAAGGATGGCAAGCGGCAGATAAAGGAGTTGGAGTTTTCGTCGGACGAAGAGGATGGCGAGGGCATGGATACCGCCGGGTCTGAGGAGATTGAAGGGAGCGAGGATGATTCGGAAGATGGATTCGACGAGGATGACATGGACGGAGAATTTCCCTCTGACGACGACGATGAAGAGGATGATGAAGAGAATGATGAAGACGACGACGAGGACGAGCAAACGGACAACCGAAGAGTGCGATTTGAGAAAACATCCAAATCCGATGATCGCGAGGAACTGCGCCGACTCATGTCCTCCGACCAAAAAACAATCGCAGCCAGCATTTCCCAAGCCGCCAAAGCAGACGCTGCCAAAGGCCGGGCCGTCAAGCAGCAGCGCGCGACTTTCGACGCCTTGCTCAACGCACGGATCAAATTCCAAAAGGGCTTGACAGCGATCAACGAGCTCTCCATCGCCGCAAAGGGAAATGATGACAAGACAAACGTCGACGGCGAAGCCATCAAGTCGGCCGAATCCGCCGCGCTCGCCCTTTGGTCCACCCTCGAAGACCTGCGCCTCGCTCTAGCGGACGCACAAACCCAGGACGACTCCAAGAAACGCAAGCGACCCTCCGCAGTGTCCGTCGAGACATCCACCGATTCCCTGTGGAAGCGCATGACCGATCTCGAGTCCGACGCCGTCGCCCACCGCCGCGCCGTGCTCGACAAGTGGTCCCTCAAGGTCCGCGGTTCAACCGCCTCACTCCCCAACGCCCGGGGAAAGCTCCTCGGCGCTAGCGCCAGTAGTCAACAAACCATCACCGCCGTCATCGACGCGCAGGTCGCTTCAGAGACTGGCGACCGCGCTGCCAAGCGCCGGAGAAATTCCTCCGACGAGGACCCCGAACCGGTCTACGACGACACCGTCTTCTACCAGTCCCTGCTCCGAGACCTCGTCGAACAGCGCATGTCGTCGTCCGACGCCATCACGAACGGCATCGACACCCTACACCTCCAGCTGCCTTCCCGTCAAGGTATCCACCCTATTACCGGCATGTGCAAGGACAAGGTCAAACGGGACGTCGACACCCGGGCCTCCAAAGGCCGAAAGATGCGGTTCGACGTCCACGAGAAGCTGCAGAACTTCATGGCGCCTGAGGACCGCGGCACGTGGACCAATACCGCTCGCGAGGAGTTCTTTGCCTCCTTGCTTGGGAAGACGGCGAGTGGGTTATTGCGGGAGGGGGATGATGAGGATGCCAGTGCTGCTGAGGAAAGTGATGAGGACCGCGAGGAGGTTGGATTGCGGTTGTTCCGCAGCTAGGATGTTTTTTGGTGAAGTTTGGTGGATATACCTAGGGCAATCAAAAGTTGCATATAGCGGTACGACATTGTTTATACATATATCGGCGTTGTGTCAATAGTTTTCCATTCACTACAGGGACCAGCAAGCGCTTTGCAAGTCAGCAATTGTCATCCCGCCATAGCCTCCTGTTAAAATGCATATTAAGAGTAAATATTATCTCGAATTCCCATGTCAAGGTGCAACCGACATGCCCGTAGGCTCGTAAACGAACGCGTGAATGCTCTGAACCGAGCACAATTCAAAAGAAGGTATGTACAAGAATGCAGACGCCAAGGTGTGCTGTACAACGCAAGATAAAAAGGTCAACGTAATAAAGCCCAAGCCCTCAACTCCGAATCCCAGTCTGTCCGAGATAAAGCCAAGTCGACTATTTGTATCTCGCAGGCGAATAAGACGGTTACGAAGGGCCATGCGATTGCCCCCAGGTGAAGTTCGTCCGGCGCGGAAGCCCCAGCATCCTCTCCTCGACTGCGCGCCTCAGCAAGACCTGTCGTTCCTCCTCCTCCTGCGGCGACAGAAAGTGCGGGAGGCCTTCGTCGTTCACGATCACGGCGCCACTCACGTCGTTGTATGCGGGTAAAGTACTGGACATCCCGAGCGGTTTCGCTTGAACTGCACGCGCCAGAGCGGATTGTCCGTCTCGTTCTTCGTGCGCAGCAGAGAAGTGAGCATTTGTTCCTGCGCTCGGCAGCCGGCTAGATGGTGGGAGCGGGTTCCCGGCCTCGGAGGTCTGCCGTTGTGTCTCCATGTAGAGCGGGTTGTCCTTTTCGGTAGGTGATAGTTCGTAGTTGAAGAATTCTGGTGGTGGGTTGAGATCCGCCGGTGGCTCAATGTCCCGCCAGATGAAGGCGGGTTCTTGGTCTGATGGGTCAACGCTGGGCTCTATAACGGCTTGAGTGTCTCGCGGGGATTGGTCGGTGTCGGTATTGGAAGCGTTGGCAGGCTGAGCGTGGAATCCGGAGACCGCATCAGACTTCTCTGTCTTATAAGCGTCTGCATGCTGGTTGTTTCCGGGCGTGTTGTTGTGTGTGGGCAACAATGGAAGTGCTGTTGTTGATCCCCGCATTTTTGGGACTTCCGGTTGCGAAGGCTCGACGATGTTGTTGTCATCGCGACGGCGGTGAAGACGCAATTTTCTCAGGAAAGAAGGAGCCATAACTGGTGGGGAGACTCCGGTTTGATCTTTCATTTGCAAATGAGAGGGAAAAGAGAGGTCGAGTTCGACTGTAGAAAATGCAGGAAATCCATTCTGAACGACGTTCCCATGGGCTGCTGCCAAGAAGGCCCAGGATCGTCGGCGTTCCTGAGCGCAGCCTCAAGGTTTACCGAAGGAAGAGTCAGGTGCCACCAACCAACAGTTGCAATCTGCTTGCATTCGAGGGTGAAATGAGGCGGCCACTAGTGCATCCTGCAAAGGCAGCCTGCAGGATACCATTTCCTCAGCCGTTGTCCGACAAGACGGCACTTTGAGTATAAAATGAGATCATGGAGAAACTTAACAAGTCCGATGGCTACACGTGGTTAAGAGCGAATCGCTTATCCGACTGTCAGTCTGTCAGGCATGCATATCGATTTGCACTCACTCAGACCAGATCTGATTGCAGAGCAAATGTGTTTCACGGCCCCAAGCCACGGGTGTACCACCGGATAAGCGTATTTTGGCGTCTCCACACTCGATATCGTCGTGACTGGACACTACAGGTTGGTCGTTCGGAATCTGGATTCCCAATAGCACGCTAATAAGCAGGGATTTAGTTCCTTCAAAAGTCTCATGCTGTGAGGATTGGCTGTCGACGCAATGAAGCACTGCATGAGTGCGCGAAACACTGTATTCCAAGGTATAAGCCCAAAGTTGACTGACTGTACTCCGTATATCACCTACTCATAGGCTGATTTTTCGCATCAGGTCCCGGACTTCCATGTTTGTCCTTGGTAGCTGAGCATGTCAAACTGTCTCGTTGGGCTTCTGAAATCGGGCAGTTTCCGAGCAGCCCCTTTTTTTTTATCAACTGGCGTTGGTCCGTGGCCAAGTGGGGCTTTTACCCGTCTTACAGTTCAGCAAGGGCTCAGCCGCTCAGGTTATCTAGAGACTAGAACATCTTATTAAGGTTCCAAGCTACTACCTAAATCTCGGGTTGCAGTTCAGCAAGGTCTTAACTATACTTTTGATCACTTTTAATCAACTGTCAAATTTATAACCCCAGGATTAGGGTCATTAGGGGGATTACGGTGGTTAGGGAGAAGGGTAGGTATGGGTTAGAAATAAGGAATCTCTTTTTTAGGCTGGTTAAGGGGGACTTTTTGATACTATTATGTATCTAGTAGTTGAGGAGCTCATCAACGTCTTAAATTCTGTGTTGAACTTTTTCTTGGCTTGGCGATAGTTCGAGACCCTGCTGAACCGCATGCCGGGCGTGGGGGTTGATTGGCGCATGCACTCAAGTGCTCAAACACCAGCCAGGAAGCAACCATTCCTTGGTGGACTTGATCTTTATCATCAAATGCCTCATGAGCCACTAGTGATGGGCTAGGCGCAGCCAGTCTGGCGATTCCTTGAGGACGTTCTCATCGCGCCAACTCAAAAATGAAGGTTTATCCCTTATACCAATGCCTAGAAAATTATTTTAGTGTGATTCTGTCCATCTAAGCCGATTGGTTATAAGGCAGAAATCTGTGTATTTTACCTTCTGTATTAATATTCTGACCAATCAGCTTAGATGCATAGAATCACGCTAAAATAATTTTCTAGGCATCAGTGTGAGGGATAATAGACTGATGAATCACGCTTCTTCGGGACGGTCCTGGTAAGGCCAGATCTTATCCATCCACTCTCTTTGTTCCTCACTCTCTGCTAACGACATGAACTTTTCCTTTTGCATGTAGTTGGTCTTCTGCAAAATGTCATAATCTTCGGGATCGACGACTCCGTCGACTGGCAGGATACCCGCGTCCTGGAACTCTGCCATTAGTTGCTCAATGTAATCACGGTTCTCCATCTCCTCGTCGTGCGATTCCTTTTCCTCTTCGGTGAATGAAATAGGACAATCAACAGCAGATTGCAGTTCCAGCCAATGGTCTGCCACAGCCATCAACGATGAGCGAAGCCTGAAAACTTCTCTCGATGACCAAGCCCCCGTTATTGCTTTAATCGTTTGGACGACAGGTGACTTCCAGGTATCATTATGACTTATGGCAGCATAGTGTCGGGGATTCCTCTTAGCGGTAACCACTTCATAATATTTATGGCACAGGGCGCTCTCATAGAGCTTGTCTGCCCTCAGTCTGTCCTTCTCGGGTAAGTTATCGTAACCCTCGGGGTTTTCTGGCATAACCCAACCGAGCGGAAGCGGGCTGACGTGTTGGACCATCCGAGGCACCTTGGCTTGCAAGACCAGGGGAGCAACTGCTGTATTCTGCCAATCAATGACGTCGGTGATAGTTTCTGCATTGAGGTCGACGTAGACGTTGTTGAGATGGAGATCACTGTGCCACAATGTCGGTTGCAAAAGGTCCGCAGACTCGGATTCACATTGTGTTAAGTGTGGAACGACCAGCAGATACTTCTCGATGAGGTCCATGTATTCGCTAGGCATCTCGCGATCAGTGTTGCTGCGGTAATAGTTCATGCGTGGTCGTGCCTTCTGCAGTGCCCATACTCTCTCACTAATACCTATACTTGTTGCAAAATCGGAAAGCTGACGCCCTATCATACAACACAAAAGTCAGAAGGGACATAATGAAATTTGGGAAGATGAGAAACTTACAAGGACCCCAACACAGCCCCATCTCGGCGCGGCCATCAGACCAGAAAACTGGGTCTACCACTGGACCGATGCAGAATTTCTTGGAATCGTCCCCACCAAGCGAGAGCTGACTTTTGGAATATGCTGTGGGCAGATCTTGTGCGTAGTATATGCATCCGTGTCCTGGGAATGGCACTGACACTATCTTCGCTTCCAATTCCACCACCTGCCTTATATATTTGTGCTTAGATGGACTGGGGAGCTGATACCAGACATCGCCGAGAGGAGTCCCTTTTGCCTTTTCCATGATGATGTATTCACTTCCAACAGGGTTCGACGGGTCACAACTCCAACTCAGCACCCGCGGCACGGGTAGACCGATAATATCTCGTGCCTTCCAATATTAGCCTTGGCATTTCTGTTTCGCGAATTCGGCGCTTACATAGTCCATGGTTGCCACTTCACTGGCGATAGTGGGAACCTTTGGTCCTGCATTAGGATTTGGCAGCTTTGCGACCACTTCGGATCCATTCTTGAATGTAAGCAGAAAGGTTTTATTATATTGTCCCTCTCGATATTTCATCACACGGGTGCCTTAAGATGTTATTAGACAAACTATGCGCTGAAGAAAAGGGGGGTGCAGTACATGTATTCGCATCTGTGCCACTTGATCGGGCGGCAACAGTAAGAAGCTCCTGGATATTAAATTTTCGATATCTCGCCGAAGCTTCTTGAGTATCGTTTGATCTGCTGTTGAGTCAATAAGCAGTCAAGAGCAGTATTTATTCGCAGACACGTACAGCCATCTCTTGGTGGTATATCGGTAAAAATCTTCTTCACTGGCTTCAACGACTGTAAAATACAATGATAAGCAGCATGTTCAATAGCAAAGGTCCCCAGCGAAGCTTCTCACCGGTGCCATCATTCTTCTGTAAGTACAATGAAGTAGAGGAGGACATCGCTTGATGGCAGTTCCTGGAAGGATTCATTTTTCCGCTGAATCGACGGTGGACAGGTCCGAAAGAATATCTTCTGGAGACCGAGAATAAACTATTCAAGGATCGAATTCTCATATTGTCACCTGAGAAGATGCTGACAAGCAGTGCTGTCAATGAAGTGGTAGCTTGGAGCCTTGGACCTTGGTAAACGGCCACAGGGGATCTAAACGACGTGATTGGCAGAAGCTGCAGCACAGCGTAAACATCATCTACGCGCTGAACAGTCCGCCGTAGTACGCCTTGTATCTCTCAGACACCTCCGTACTACCAATCTGCGAACAAGTAATAAACCACACAGAAGACGACAGATACATATATTACAAGAGATAGACACTCGAAGGGATAAAACACCAAACAGCAGTAAGTCAATAACGCATCCCTCCTACAGCTGCTCAGACTGCACTTGGCACTACTCTTGATTGTAATTGCGCGGCTCGCCACTGTGCGTTCAGAGCCCATGAATTACTGTTCAAGATCATCTTTACAGAATGCAGCTACGCCGTGGTTGGAAAGGGAATGGCTTCCAGGTGTGGGAGGAGGTCCCATGTGAAGCAGAATATATCGGATTTTTTGAAGGGACAAGAAGCCGAGTACCACGAAGCACCAACCGTGACCGATGCTGCAACGAGAGATCCCAAAGTCAGAGAAGCAAACTCGTGAGTTGGGAATGATACACAATGTCTTTCAGGCAGACAACATTCTATGGCACGCTGAGCTCAAGCGAGCCTTTATCAAATCTGTGGTCGCCTTGACCTCTCAGGCCCACAAACTAGCATAACAGACAAAGGTGATGCTTTATTAAGTATAGTCAAAGGGATCTTCTCTAAACCTTTTGTACGTTCTGCATTTAACATTATAATAATGATGGCTTTCCGTACACACGCTCCACTCTTAGAAAAGAGGTCCTGGAGGTCATGTCACGAGAAAGTTAGGTGCATCAAGACTACTATAAATATCTTCAACACGCGCGTAAAGGCAAAGTGTATGATTTAGTCATCGACAAGTTCATTTTTCCATTGCTCTTGTAGTGACTCTATCAAGTGTGACGTGTTCCAGCCAGTCTTCAACTCCATATATTGCAGTAGCTCTTCAGCAGCTTCTTGATCTAGTTTATGCCGTAGTATCCAACCCCCTTAGAAGGTCAGTTTCGTATGACAGCGCGAGGAAAGAAGGAAACATGGCAAGCATAACTCACAAGCCACTAAACTATGCCGTGCAGTGAAAAGGGTATTTTCAGCTCTAGGGTTCGACGCAGCGAGGCCTAGCACATTGAGAAGATGGTCCCGGACAAGTTTCTGCCTCAAATTAGCCCTTGCTTCCATGTGCCAATAATCAATGTCGACATACTTCAACATCCCGTGATCGTTGCAGGCTTTCGTATGGGAGAAACGGTCTTGCACAACCAGACAAAGCAAGTATAATCTTTGCGATGTGGTAGTATTGTAAACCGACAACTGCATTGGGTCAGCGAGCACGGCAAGATATCAGGGCGCTTACATACCATGAACTGGCAATAGGGTCCAGATACTTGGGAATCGTCGATCAGACTCCTTTCCTCGAGGAACAAAATGGACAGGTTGGAATGTCTGCGGTTTGGAAGCATTCCAATCGTCGACTTCTGTCTCTAGATGCTTAAGTGAAGCGTAAGAACGGCTCGTCTGGTTGCCCTCATTGAAAGCGCAGCTCAGGATTCTGGCTAACAAAAAGACCATCCTGTTGGACCAAGCAAAGTCGTCGGTTCTGGTAAAGACATCCGAGCGCTCGAAGCTCTGTAGATTTGTCCGCAATGGCGACTGTGACGTGAGCGATATGTACATGTCCTCGCGAAGGCACAACCAGGCGGCTGCTTCACCTAATCCTCCGGAGGATCCAAAGGAGGACATCGTATTTAATATATGTGTCGTTCCCGTTAAATGGAACTGGTTGTCCTGAGCTAATGCGCGTAAGCATGGGAAGTAGCTCATTGCCCGCATACAACTTACGATCCATTTCTTCATTCTGACGGAGAATTGCAATGGCGGCTAGTAATTCCTCGGTAATCTCATTTTCATTGCACGACAGTGTTGGAATGAGAAGCTCAAGACATCGGTTGTGATACTTCAATGACTCTGTGTCGCCGTCCAGTCTTTGTCTGTTGATATGCCGGGACGAAAACGCAAGGATAGCCGCGCGTAATACTGGCTCGTGGAGGGCTCGCGCTGGAGCCACCATTTCAAAGTGTCTTTGAGGGTCGGTAATATCGGTCTATGAGTATGTTAGCATTTCTCGTAAAAATAAAAAGCCCAGAAAGTTGGAACCGAATATCGCTAGGAAGACTGACCCACATGGCCATATTATCAACGAAATTGCGGAAGAGGACAGCCTCCCTTGCACTGAGAGAAGTCTGCGTTTGTGACCTCGCCAAATCACTCAAACTAGCCGAGTTGCGACGCAGCTCTGTCGAACATTCGGCATCCGGAGGTCCATGATGAGTGACAGGGCTTCCTATATTCAGAGCTGCTTTAGTCACGGTCGACACTATGAACTATTTGAGCAGGATCCGTCAGACGCAAGGAAACGCACCATAGGCTGGTCTGTTGGCAGGAGTAGAACTCTGTTGTGTCCCAGATGGGTCCTCTTCGGGAAATATCTGATAGCTTCGACGGTGGGCCTCCGACCCTGGGGTATCATGGCTCTCTTGAGAAGGTGGTGATGAATTGCTTTCTACGTAAAGACTTTCAATCTCGCATGTCTCATCGTGGAATCTGACTTTTCCCCATGCAAGTCAGAAATCGAATCAAAAACAATGAGACTGACTTACTGGGTCCCGTCAAAGATGGCCAAGCAGCCGTTTCAGGGAACGTCACATCCTGGTCCTTGACAAAGTCTAGGCCATTTCGAAAGCGAATGTTGAGACATCGCTCGCAATCTTCACCGGCATTTCTGCAGTTGTCGCAGGCTGGTGTTTTTGTGTCGCCTATTAAGCTAGATATATGAGCCCCGTCCTCCCTGCTATAGAAGGTGTACGTACATTTTAGATGACGAGCTGTCGATAATCCAGTCAGTACGTCGAAAATACAATACGCAAGCTATTTTGTCTTTGGTCGGCACGAATTGATGAGCACTTACCCCTACATCTGTGACTGAATCAAGTGGTCAGCGAGTTATCGTCATCGCACGAGTAAAATAACTTCAATGGACGTACCAGCCAGCAATCAGTCGACGTCTTTTCTTCGAGGTTGCCATTGCCCTGCACTTTCTCGTGCCTGGTGAAGGAAGCAAGTGGGGAGACGGAGAGACTTGCCCTGTAAGTTGTCCATCCACATTCTTCTACCCCGCTGTCCCCGCACCACGGCCAGAACTTCCCCACACTAACTGTTCTCCCTGGTATCTTCAACACTCCAACAATTAGGAAGGCGAAGATATCCTATCATATTTGTCTCTACATGTTGGGGAAGCTGGGAGTAAGAATTTATTCCGTTCTTTAGTATAGCCCAAACAATGAACCAAGTCATCTACGCACCTTCAAAGGAGGCTCCCCGCGGCATAAAGTCTCGCCGGCTCCACCAACAAAGTCGACTCAAGCGACTGGCGCGAGACCCTTTCCACTTCCCTCTCCGACCTGCCAGTTACAATATACAATTCTTATCGCCCCGATTGGGACAGCTCGTGGACCGACGACATCAATTTCCCTCCTTACCGCGAGCAGGTGGAGTGGGAGCTCGACAAGCAGCACAAGGCCGATATTGTCATTATTTACTTCCACCCCGCTACTCAGGCACCCGTCAGTTTGCTAGAGCTGGGAATCTGTGCGCGGGTTCCTGGAAAGGCTATTGTAGTTTGTCCCGAGGGATACTGGAAGAGGGGGAATGTGCAGATTGTGTGCCAGAAATATGGAGTTGAAATGGTGGACAATGTTGATGCGCTGACGGAGGCCATTGTGAAGAGGTTGCCTGTTTGTTCGTGACTTTTTTCTCTTCAAGGCTTGATAAATTCTTACGCTGCCCCAAGAAATCTAATTTAACAGTGCAGTAGCCGTATATGGCTTCGGAGAAGTTAAGGTCAAAAGTTGAATAGGACTGTCTGTTACGAGGTCGATTCTCTGCTCATCTTAAACACCTTTAAACCATTTGTGTGCCAATGCCTCGTGGGCCGTGATTCTCCTTTCTGGGTCAAAATTCGTCATGGCGCAAATAAGACTTTTAAAATCGTCATCAATACCCTTCCAAAGGGCGAACGGTTTGCGCGGGTTTTCTTTAGTAAAACCGTCCCGAATTACCTCGAAAACGCGAACCCAGGGACTATCGCCAAGATGTCTCAAAAGCCCAGTCAGACCGTCTTCATCCGCAAAGTAGGAGATCTGGCGCTCAAGTACAATGGCCAATGGATCCACGCCCTCATCCAACTCCTCTTCCCCAACCGCAAAGATGACGCGTTTATGCAGCGCAAAAATGCACTATATAGTAAGTGAATGACCCGCTTACAAGCCAAGGACTCATTGAGGTAGAAACTTACGAGAAGAGCAAAAGAGAAAATGTCAGAGGGCTTATTAACACGTCCTTGGGCATGGGCTTCAGGACTTCTCCACATCCAGTTCCCTGCCTGTTTCCCGATCATATCACATCCAGGAGGGATATGCGCGGCATCTTCGAGATCCCCAATCAGCACTCGCTCGATTACGATTCCATCATGGTGATCTTTCCAGTTGACGAAAACATTGTCCGCCTTAATGTCTACCCAAAAGTAAGTCGCCGCTCACCGTTCCACGAAAGTGTGACCTACCTGTATGGACAATATCTTGATCATGGAGTTCTGCAATTCCATAAAGGGCATCTTTAAGGATCCTCTTTGTCACTTTAAGGGGCAAGTCCTTCTGAGCAAGGCGTAGAAGATGATCCGCAAAGTATTCAAAAACGAACATTGACTTCTTGAGGATGGTGTCCTGGGCAAGACGAACATGGCTGGCACCGTTGCGGCGTAGCGTATCATTTATATTTTGGAGATCTTCGAAATTAACTGGGTGGATATACTTCAATATGAATCTTTGGTCGCCAGCGCTGGGGAAGTAGTAAGCAGGCAATCATGAGAAGCAATAATCAGGTAAACCCACGTGGCAAGGTAAACCTGACGTTGGGGGAACGTCTCTTCCTGAAGTACGCGTTGGATTTTATACTTATGACCAGACTGGCCAATGTAATTCTCAATGTCTACCGCAGTTGACAGTGTGCTTGTCCTGCGATAAAGGGCGCTTTTCAAACAAGCCCGTTTTCCGCAAGAGCGAACAGCTAGGGTAGAGAGAGAGTTTAATAACAACATTGGGTCGGGTAAGGTAGTCACACCGAAACAATGTTGTTGATGGTATTCTTATAATGTCGCTAGAGATGGGACATTCGGGAGTTCCACTGAGATGGAGGGTGGAAACCCGCTCTGGGTTCGGGTGTACCGTGTACCCGTTGCCTATTTTGCTGACTAATTTCTTATATCGAGGATATTCTGTAAACGATATTTATGAGAGATAGCCTCCTATAAGGTAATATATATGAGATCATGATATACAGCTAGAACATCCAGTTGTTACTGAGATACAGAGGAAAACAATTTTTGTCATGGGTTTGAACCGCCAGATGGTCTTAGGAGACATTTTCCTTTGCCCAGCGGCCTGATTCTAGCGCTCACCTGGCTGCTACTCTTTTCATATATCACCTCAATGCTGCCAACCATGAGTCAAGGAACCTTAGGCGTCGTCGTTTGTTAAGAGAAGATATTACATATTCGGCTTCAAAAGCGCGTGAGACTAATGTATTACACTCATTGAGTTACTGGGGTCACAAAACCAATACTTTGAAACTTTATACAGAAAGAAACACATTATCGAAGCCACGGTGGCCATCTCAACGTGGACACAAGGAAATGCCACGTCGCCGGCCCAAAGGAATGGCTCTCGGGAACGGTCAACATTTGCATCCCAGTCTCCCTCGATAACAAGCCTGCATGGTAAGGAGATGTAGTATTTACCCTGCTAGAAGGAAGTAAACTAATCTGGAATATAAGGTGTAGTAGAGACCTTTGTTACTCTTACAGCTGCTGAAATGGAGGAGATAAATGGACATTAAATGTTTGCTCCTTCGGGCTGTCGTCTTGTCCAGTCAATATCTCGGGCTGTTCACTAATCTCACCTCAAGATGGAATGATTAATGATCATACAAGATCGCAGAATGGAGCACTCTAGCCAAAAGGGATATAGTAAATTAGAAGGCTTTGTAATCATAGCTACATTTGTACGCGTTAGTAAATAATGACCTGCTGGGCTTCTCCCATGGTGGTGATTAGCTCAGCCTGGTGCTTTGCGGAGATTGACACAGTGATTAGTGATCTGCGTGGGGAGAGGAGGAAGGTAGCCAGGTGTATGTATATAAAGTCCTAGGGACATATAGCAAGATATCCTGTGTCAACAATTGGTCTACAACACTATCAAGCTACTTCACTAAAATACAGAGTACCACAATGGCTGAATATCATTTGCTCCTTGCCGGTGCTACGGGATATATGTAAGTGCCCGACCTGCCACCCTCAACATTATTCTTGTCCATAGACATATCTGTACTCGATACGAAATGTGTCACTAATGCATACAATTTTATTGATCTAGCGGAGGGTCGATCCTTACTGGTCTTCTCCAGTCGAAGAATGACGCTTTTTCCAAAATCAAAATATCGGCTCTGGTCAAGGGGAGGACAAAGCCGACGCACTCAAGCAACTGGGCGTTCAGCCCATTGTAGTCCCGGATTACAACAATTTGGAGATAGTCCGGGAGGCAGCCAGCGGAAATGACAGTGAGTCTCTTCTTTGGAGAAATGGCGATTTCGTGAGCGTGGATGCTCATTCGGTTTCCGGCAAGTCGTCATCAACGCTGGGTTCGGATTCCATCCCGGGTTTGGAAAGGCTCTAGTGGAAGGGTTAGGAGAGAGAAAGAAGGCAACGGGGAAGGATACTTATATAATCCATGTGAGATCTTCGGTTCCGTTTGTCTGACATAAGTGGCATATGGGCTAACTGCGTAGACATCCGGAGTCTCTAATATCGCGGACTTGCCTCTCAGCGGTAGATTCACCGACACGCAAATCTTCAGCGACAAGGATGACATCTACGCGCACGAGGAAGGCCGAGAATCGCAGGTGCCGAACGCGCAGCGTACGACCGAGCTGACTATCATCAATACTGCGGAGGCTCTCAATGTGAGAGCATACATCGTATTCAATCCCATCATTTATGGCATTGGGTTGGGGAACTTTAACAAGTTCTCGTTCCAGATTCCGCTTCTCATCAGGAAGTCGCTTGCTCACAAGCAGGCTATTGTGGTGGGTAAGGGAGACGGGATTTGGGGACACGTCCATATTGAAGATTTGGTGGACCTGTATCTCCTTATTCTGGAGAAGATAGTCGTTTCAAAAACGACGGAAATCCCAGTGAACAGGAATGGGATCTACTGTTCCGAGACGGGAGAGACCACGTTCCTCGATATCTCGAGAGAGATTGGAAAGGAGGGAAAGGCTCTTGGTGTCTTTGAGACGGATGAGGTGAGGAGTCTGTCGTTGCAAGACGCAGCTGAGGCAATCGGTTTCAACGAGGCTGTTGTGGAATTGGCTTTTGCATCCAAGTGAGATACTCTTTGCTTTATCTTGAGGGTGCACGCTAACGTGTATATGAAGTGCTCGAACCAAGTCGGACCGTGCTCGCGAACTGTTTAGCTGGAAGCCCAAGAGGACAGTTGAGGATTTCAAAAAGAGTATCTATGAGGAGTTCAAGGTCCTTTATCAGGGCAACTGAGGATGCACTGGACTGATGGCGCCCTCTCCTAGGATGGATCATTATAATGTTAAGGTAGGTTGTGGAAAAATACAAAGTTGTTGTGTTGACTCTGGTGAAGCAGAGGTCAAGATCTAGGTGCTCGTTTCCTCCATGCCCCCAGTTCATGGCCAATCTCCTAAGGCCTTGTGTCTGCCTTCTTGTACAGCCAAGCTCAAAATTGCATCCCATATCCAGCACGTGCAATTTGATTCTGTAACCCTAAATGACCAGGTAGCTAGTATGGGGCTTTGTTAATATGGGTTGGACTGCAATTACAAGGTGACTTGAAGTTGAATGGTACTTCACAGAACATAAGTGGCCAGAACCAAAATCTGCCCTTAGTATATATCTTTTCACCACTGAGCCAAAATAAAGCAGATGGCTTCAACGCAGGAGTGACTGACCTATGTCTAATTGAGGAATTCTTTGCTGAGCTGAAGGGTTATATTAGGAGAAACTGGTCAAGTATAAGGAAGAGCCTAGCCAAGGGTTTGGTACCTTTCTTCAACAGTGCATTGATGCTGTTGGTGCAAAAAGTGAGAGTGCCAAAGGACACTTTCGAAATGCCGGTGTATCAATCAAGCAGTATGATTAGAATGTGCACTCTCTTCTGTTAGTCACATATGATCATGCAGAAAAGTGACCCTATCTATGTTAGATACGGTACATGTCCATTTCTTAATTCAGCTGCTTGCAAAATAGTGGTTTATGCTCCTGGGAAGTCTGTGGAAACCTAAGGCTAAGCTGTATTTGGAATGGACATGGAATAGCTACTTTCTCTGAAGCTTACTGGTAATCAAATTATACCATCACTGTGATATCTCGTTTGTTCATTACCTGCTATCTCTGTGTATTCTTGAGGTCTTGAGGAGGTACCTGACAAGCTGGCGGTCCAGGCTGATTCCATCAAAAGAAGCAAAAGCTTAGCAACTGTCTACCTGACCCTCATCTTATGATTCCTCAGATGAGGTAAGCATATATAAGAAGGCTCAATCGTTACAATCGTGGCACCACTTCCTATCTGGCTGTCTTGGTGTGCTAATTAGCCCGCGTCCAGCACAGTAGTGCCTAGAGAGAACATAAGGCATGGCCACACTGCACACAATTGTCACAAAGTCTGAGACTCTGTGGTCCAAGCCCACATCGACAACAAATCCATAGAATATTTTTGCAATCAAAGTCGATTTCCAAAAGCTCGCAGGTCGTGCACATCAAGGAGGCATACCACGGTCCTGCTAGAGCAAGGAATTGTGCTCGGCGAATAAGTCCACTTTCCCCTATCTGCATAATATCATTTTGCGATGGCGTTGGCCCAACCCTGGGAAGCTTCAGTATATCTTCCAAGCTCAGTTCGCCCAAGCTCCCACTCTGCACACTAAGACTGGATTCAGCCAATAAATTGATATAAGGATATAGGGTCAATAAACTCACTCGGTGTGCGCTTTTGGGCTCGTCCGTATTTGGACCACAGGGATCATTGACAGTAACTCCTTTGCATAGGCAGCTGCTACCGCTGCTGCATATGGCTGCCACAGCTTGTTCTTATGCGAGTCTGCATAGTCGCAGATACCGCGTATTACCAAGCATTTGAAGTCGTTCATAAGTCCTGCCGCCTCCATCTCAAAGCACAGAATGTCACCACCCAGATCGCCCACCACACGGTCTCTCGTCAAGCCGTCTTTGATTACTTGATTTCCTGAGGCGATCAAGCCGTAGTGGATGCGAGGATTGTTTGATGAACGGGGTGGACGGGGAACTATGTGTTCTCTGCTGCAATTAAGGCATGCGTCGTCTGGATCCCCCATATGTTGATACTCTGGTTCAAAAAGAACGTCATACTCCGAACCTGGGTAAGAGGCTCTGGGAAACCGCGCCATAATCTCTGCCAGATGGAGCGGAATATGAGCGTCGCCGATCATACGGTCTGCTTCCAGATGCGAGATCGCTGCTAGTAGAATGGACGGTGGTTTGTTCAGAGCACCGGTACGCTGAAGTCGATTTCCACTGATGGCTTTACCATGGTCATACTGCACAACTCCACCAAAGGTACTTGTTGGCTTGCTGACCACGACGTCACCAAGTCTGATATCTGGACCTCTGTCGCTCGGTACCCCGCCCCCAATACCTACTAAAATGGTGAACCGGAGTTCGGGGAACGTGTGAAGCATGTGGGTTGCAACAAGAGTCGCCGAACAGATGCCATAAATGCCGAGCGGCAGACAGGCAATCACTATATTATGACCATAGAGCTCTCCCAAGGTATAGACATTGTGATCGTTTGGGGACTGAGGCAGACGTGTATGCATCGTCTCTAGCATTACTTTGCATGCCGCCATCTCCACCGGCAGCGCGCATATCCATCCGATAGTATAATCCGTGTGGGATCTTTGATTTGTGGCCATTTTCCATTTGACGATGTTTGATTTTGCTGCTCAGCGACCGTGAGAATCGGAAGATTGACTGACTTGGAACCTAAGCGGGACTCACAAGGCTAGGCTAATACCCGAATGGCTATGGCAGTGCGCAAAAGAAACACAATACTTACATTGGTGTAGGTAAGCCTTGTTGAGCTGGTGCAAGGCTGAACATTTCCAAGGACGAAGGTTGAGCACTTGGGCCATTGCTTGGGTTGGTCCACGTGTCTGCAACATGCTGTGCGGCGCTTAGGAGTAATTTTTGCCCCCGGGAGTCAGGTGTTGGATTGTGTGTATTCTAGTATTCTGTCTGGGGGAATGCAATTTCGAGCTTAACTGTACCCAGACCATCCTACAATCTGTCCGAGCCCTTCTCATCTATACCTGATATACCTGTCAGGAAACATTAAAGATACTATATAGTCATGGCTGTTCTTTCAATTCCCCCTCATAATATGGAAGAGAAAGGAAGAATGCCTGTACATGACACAAAGCCGATATCTAACCTGCAGAAAAACCTCTGTTGGTCGTTCACCTCCCTTCGTGCATTGGGATTGGAAAGATAACAATAGCGCATATCTTACGCTTTGGTGTCTATATTATGGATATAAGGCCATGGACTGACGAGAATACTGTCCGGATGCCCTTTTGGCCTAGAGGGATTAGATTTCTGTAGATATTGTCTTTTTTTATCGTTGTTTGGCAGAGGAACAATGGTTATTCTGATTTCTGACCCCGAAAGGCAGGGCAATCATCACTATAAATAGAGTATGAGCAGAAGGATCAGATAGGAACCAAGAAGGTTCTGTATAATGTAAGTACTTCTCCGAACCTTTTGGGACCTCTGAACCGATTTAACTATAGCCTTGACTTTTATTTTGCAGTCACTGAAATCCTTACCAGACCAATGGATCCATTGGGCGTTTCCTCCAGTACTGCTCCGAATGTAGTTATTGCACCTCCGAGACTATGACCAGCAACAACGACACTATAGTCTGCAAATGGAGCAGCAAGCTAATTAACAGATGCCATTATACATTGGGAGAACTCTACCCAGGCCTAGTAATAACCCGATGCACTTGGCATAGATAGGCACATGCTTGGAATCAATGTCAAGTTGCCAGTTGCCATAACGTCGGAATGACAGAACGATCAATTCATTTGTCTTGTCAACTGCCAGAAAACCAGTGAGATTACTCGGTCGTGTTTAATTAACCTTAATATCTGAGTCATGCATGGTTGATGGTCATAACCCCAGAATTCAGTGATGATAGTTGTATATGTCTGCTCCAGAACTGGACATACCCCTGGATCATACAACTTTTGAGCCTTGGTACAATTGCAAGTTAAAGTTTGCTGCACAAGTAGCGGAAGAATATTCAGAAAATAGTGAGAAATAGGTAAAACTCCAGGAGTAACATCTGCGTGAATTTTTAATGTTAAAAAGTTGTGATCTTATTTTAGTTGGAGATGAGTATCTGCGGCAGGTATTGTCCAGTCCAGAGAGGGGAAAAGGAGACTATAAAGTACACTTGGGGAAAGCATTTTGGCATGAAGACAGTATTCAAGGTTAGTTAGTTTGCAGGAATCGTTAGTGACGGCTAGAATGCATCTCCTGAAGTGGCTATATATACTTAGCTCAAGGTCACAAACAAAGCTCAGCTGGATACAGCATGTCAGCACATTGGCTTCTCAAACCGTTTCCGGACGTCATGCAGACATTGTCCTTATCGGCAGCTTCGAGAGGACGCACTGAATCCTGACTCGCAATAATATTTACTGTCAAGAATCTCCTGCTGTTTTCAGTAAAGTTTCGTGAACTCCACGGAAGTTGGACTGCAGCAATTAGAATGTGAATTACTTCCATGGTTTATCCCACTGATTTGGAATAATTGTACAGAGTACATTTCCCTACTAGGCTAAGTTAGAAGGATCGTCTAGACATAGGCCTTGCTCGCTAGATTATATGCCTCATAGGGAGTCAATTAGCAGGGATCAACAACATTTGCTGGTACGCAGAACAAAGAAAGTAAAATATAGCGACAAGGAAATTCAAGGCCCCGCGTTCCCCGACAAACTTTAAAAGACCCAGGCCAGTTGGGGTGCTTACTATGCTGTGACCTTCCCGGATGGAGCAGTTGATGTAATGAATCTAATGATACGATACTTAACTATGCGAAATTTGGAATTGGTTTAGGGATCGGCTGACCCGCCGGGCGCTAACCGGGCCGGAACCATGGCTCAGCGGGTCACCGGAAGACCCAAGACCCACTTTTGCGCCGTGTCATAGACCTCATGGAATGCCGTGACTGCATTGACAGTGGGATGTAGCCGTGGATACCTCTTTTGGGATTTGGCTCGCCATTCCGTTTCCTGCGCTTTAGAGCACGGGCCTTGGTTGATTCTGAATTAGAATTATATATATAAGAGGGCACGAGGCGGAAACTTCATACAGAAGATGGTTCTGAGCAACTATTCGTATGGATATGTAACCCTAGACTGAGTACATTGTTGGCACATCTTTAGGCTAATGATACTAGATTTTGATAAATACAAACATCCTTTTGGAGGCTGTCTAGGAAACAATCATTGGAAGACTATTTTGGTGCATTCTTGAAGAGAAATCTTATTAGTGACCGTGACAAATGTTTTGCGTACTAAATGTGCCCAGTGGGAGAGGATAACCCACCAATATGCATACTCAGGCTTTCACTATGATCCAGAAATAGAACTAGCTAAATATTGGTGTTAGAGTTCATTGAACTAGTTGCTAAGGCAGACTAATCTGGCTATTTGTTTAGGGTAGCATTGGTGATTACATGGAACAGATATAGCCTATGACAAGCTTGACAGTGTCCGGGCAGGCAATGCTCTACATGGTACATAAAGCAGGAAATCAATAAAAAAAAACCTGCTACGGTTTACACCAATAAACGCAAGGGATAACCTCAAATATGATACTAGCAGGCACAGAAAAACTGTACACGCCTCTGCATTTGCATCACAGTATAGGGAAAACCTAACAGACCAGGGAGAAAAACCTATACCGAGGCCCGTCCAAAAACCGGTAATTGCCAAATGCAGAACAGACCAGACGCCATGACCCCGTCCCTCGCTATTTCCCACCAATCTTTTGTCTAGAGACTGATTATCTTGACATCGTCTTTATAATCTCCATCGAAAATTACGTTCAGATCAACGTGCAGCCACAGTTCCTTCCCATTCTTCAGGTAGAACCGGAGTTCGCCCTTGGCAGCAATCAGGTTAACTTTGAGGGTAATCCCGTCCTCAAGGTTTCCAGTCAGAGTGCCAATGTTGATTCCAATCACAGCGACCGAAACTGAGGCTTCGTATGTGCTAGTGTCAACATAGCCGGAGACCTAATTGGCGGGAAGAAATCAGACGCTTGCTACTGCAGAGTAGAAAACAAAGGTTGTAACCGTACTGTGACGACTCCAAAAAAGCTGACCGGCCCAAAACCGACACGGACTTCAGGTTTCGCTGCAACTTGGAGGGAAGACGCAGCGGCTTCTGCATCGCTTATCTGCGTGGCAGAGAAGATACCAGCTGTTGGCTGGTTGAGTTTCACAATAGCTCCTGAGGGTTTTATGAATGTGAGTGTCTGAACGTATCGAAGGTACTAGTTGAATTACCTTCAATGTAATTGGCCATTTTGTTGTGTTTTGGTCGAAGCTGAATTAAGCTTCTGGACTCATCTCCACGGTGTCATGTCTGCGGATATGGCATCTAGAGTGGTATACACAGCGAGGTCGTCCGCCTTCTATGCGCAGTTGCAGGCTTGAATAATGCAATTGAGAATGTTATTGCCAATGCTTGCGGCTTTCAGTGAATAGTCAATATGAGAAAGGAAAGTAAATGATATTTGTAGCATTATTCCAACAATAGAGGGCAGCACTATAGAAGGTCTCCTGCACCAATGGTTCTCAAGCAGCTCTTTGTTCATAGCTAGGTAAATATACTACATCATAGGCTACGGCAGAGTCCGCAAAGGGCTTTGAATGGCAGGATTAGTGCTCCAGTCAGTAGTCCGAGTTCAGTACCACGCTCTGTAGGAGTATCGAGGACGATTCCGCGTATGTCACAACAGCTTAAGGACAGATCCTATTTAAACTAGTTGGAGTGATGCACTAAATTTGCGCTCATGTATCTACTGTCTTAAGTCTCACATTTTCATCCCGAATAAACTATTTTATGGAACATGTGCTCTTTCTATCCAACCCAGTTGGAGTTGGAGACCATCCATTACATCCCTGAATCAGTCTCTCTTAATCTGCCGGGGCTTTGCGTTCCTCCTACAGTTGCAAACGCAATGGACATACCTCAATACGCTCTGGAAAATACCGCAGGAAATACTTCTGGCACCATATCTCTCTTCCCAAACGACATTGATGATGGATATTTTAATAATCCATACCAGTTCCCGACCTTGAAAGACCTGCAGCTCGTATATGGCCATGACGTTATGAGAGCACAGCATATCCAGGACGTCAGCTCCAGCCCCAAGGCCAACAAGTACAGCACCAATGGCGAACTATCCGGCCGATATATCCACACGGAGACTAAAACGTCCACAGGAGCAAGATCTTCTGCCGAGACTGCAACTTGTGATAATGCAGGTGTGGTATCACTGTTAGATCTACTCATAGTTTGAATCACTAAGTTGTCTGATCCGCTAAACAGAGGGGATATCTCACTGCCGCCTGTACTATATAAGGACCTTAACTGTTCCTTCCAGTCACCCCAAATCCATCTTTCCTTTCGTCTGGCCATCATTCCACGACAGTCCTCCCTAAGGTAACTTTGCTACTTAACTAGCAAGCAATACCCAACATGACCACCGTTTCCCGTTAGTTCAACCTTCAATATTCTTTGCAAGAGGTAGACTAACCTATGACGCGGGCACTGGGAGGGGCTGTCAACGACAGCAATGATCTGACGGTGTATACCCAGGATATAAGCGGTGGGATTCGCGAGAGTATATATGAAAATGGATGGTCCAGCGGCAGATTAATTGCCAACTGCAAGCTGGGTTCTCCCATCGCTGCTACATCCCTGGCGCTTGGCAGTGTAAGATGCTAGCCATTCAGTTGCACAACAAAACCTAATGTCGTTTATAGATCCGCGTGTACTCTGTCTCCAACTACAACACTCTGCAGGAGGCAGCCCACGACGCTAACACTGGCTGGTACACCGGTGTGTCAGCCAACAGCAACATCCAAGTCGCAGCCAACAGCAGCGTGGGAGCCGCTTACCTTGCGGGAGCCTCGGGAACACAAGCTCTCCGAGTCTATGCTCAGTTGCCCGATAATTCAATCCAAGAATACGGATGGGATAGTAAGCTTTATCAAGGCATGCAACGTGTTCCCTAAATGACGTTGTTCTCTCTGTCTAGCCAATTCAAATCAATGGCAAACTTTCCAGAACCTGGGCGCGGCACTCCCTGGAACAGCTATAGCTGTAACGTCCTTCCTGCAACCTGACCAGGCTATAAGGTTGGTAGCATCCAATTCTAGCTGCGTGCTTTTGCAAGACCGCTGATAAAGTCGCCCAGAGTATACTTCCAGGACCCTCAGAACAACCTGGTTGAGATGGCATACGATGCCAATTCGGGCTGGAGTCCTGGCAGCTTCTCAGTCCCCAATGCCATCCCTCAGACTGCTCTCGCCGTTATCACTACCGAAGACGACAGCATTCATGTCTACTATGGTGGTTCTAACAATCGTATTCTGGAGAAAATCCATGATGCTAACTCAGGTTGGTATGACGGCGGATTCGCTCAGTCCAGCATCCCTGGGAGCCCGGTTGCTGCCATCAACTGGGGCACCGGTGGCGGGTTGAATATCCGCGTTTATTTCCAGCAGGCAGTATCCTATGTGACGGAGTATCAGTTCACGAATATGTGGATGCCCGGCTGGTCGCGTGGGCAGAAATAAATTCCGCCTGCGTAGCCTGGATCGACAAATGCAGAAGCAAAGTTTTAGTTACTCGGATAATGTTGACTGTGCTTTATGTCATTTACTCGCCTTTGAATGCAATTGTTCTCAAATTTCTGATTTCCCAAGGGACGGACGAACGGACGTGGAGGAATAAACAGCTCAGGTGATGGGAGACCAGTCGACCGGTCCTCTCATATCCGAACTCATAAACAGAGTCCTACCTAGGCAGTAGATTTAAGGACCCAGCCTGTGGGACCCTCCCGCGTCCAGCCTAGACCCGCCAAGGTATGGCCCGTATGGGTTGGGTTCGGGCCTAGCGTAAGAGTGGGAACTCCCAGGCCTGGACCCGACCTCGCCATAATTATTTATTATTATTCCGAATGGGCAAGTGTCTCCGGCTGCAAAGGGAAACTCTCTCCGGATTGTTTGCTCCAGTCTTCCGAAGTTCCGCTCCACCTTCACTCTTCATGCGGACCTCGACGTTGTCAATCATTAACGTAAGAGACTTTGACCAGTAAAATGATTAATTTCAGATTATTCTACCTCCGGAGATACTTGCCTGGTCTCAAATTACCCCTCACAACCAGCCTGCGATGATATCGAGACGATGGGGTCCTCAGTCGTTGTCTGTCTATAAAGATGCCGAATTCCCTGTTCAATCGACTATCTTGAGATGAGCAAAGCTCTGGAGACTTCTTTTCCGTCAACAATATAGGAGCTACCTAGTGAATTTTCTTTACCGCTGAAACTCATTGTTCAATTTCGAAGACAGACCACCAGAATGGCCGTACAGAAGCTTAAGGTTGGCATGGCTGGCTTAGGTAGAGTGGGCAAGCTCCATGCGATCAACTTCTTGCACCGCACTCCCCGTGCTGAATTGGTTGCTGCATTTTCGCCTGACCCCGCAGAGATCGCCTGGGGAAGACAGAATCTTGAGCCGTACGGTGTCACCCTTTATGACAATTACGATAAGATGCTTGAGCACCCAGGACTGATGGCCGTGGCTATTGGTACTGCAACCCCTGTCCATGCGGAAGAAACTATCAAAGCTATCGACCGCGACTTGCATGTCCTCTGCGAGAAACCGTTATCCACTGATGTTGAAGTGGTAAGTTCTACCTCCCCCCATGGGTGGCAGAAACCTGGACATGCTACCATATACTAACTGCAAACTGGACTTTTAGTGCAAGTCTGTCGTAAACAAGGCGAGAACCAAACCACATCTTAAGGTCATGTGCGGCTTCTCTCGACGATTTGATGAGTCCTACCGTGACGTATACGACAAGATCAGCCAAGGGCTCATCGGAAGACCTTCAATCCTTCGGAGCCAGACCTGCGATAAGCTTGATCCTTCGGGCTTTTATGTCGCGTACTCTGCGTGGTCGGGAGGTGTCTTCGTGGACATGTCTGTGCACGACATCGATCTTACTCTGTGGTTCTTTGGCGATGACGTGGTTCCCAAGACTATCTCTGCATATGGCATAACCGCTGTTCAGCCCGAGCTGAAGAAGTTCAACGACTATGACAACGCCGTTGGAATTGTCGAATTCCACAACGGCAAGATTGCATACTACTACTGCTCTCGCATGATGGCACATGGCCAAGAAGACACCACAGAGGTCATCGGCACCGAGGGCAAGTTGTCTGTGAACTGCAACCCACAGCGTAACTTGGTGAACTTCTACCATCCTGGAGGCGTTACTCGTGAGGCTCCCTCTAATTTCATAGGTCGCTTCGGGCCTGCGTTTGTGACGGAGGCCAATGAATTTACCGCCGCATGCTTGGATAACACACCACTCCCGATGAAGCTGAGCAACGCAGTCAAAGCTGTCGAGATTGGTGCATACCTCCAAGAAGCCCTGGTTACAGGCAAGCAGATTCACTTTGACGAAATTGGAAGGCGGGTGGAGAGAGCCCAGATCTGAATTGTCCTCGGACTGAGCACATCTACTTGATTGCAATTTGATCTTAATAAAATTTTGGATTTGCCAATTGTCCGCGTTACGATCCATCCATAGACCCGCAAAGTCAAATACTTGCCTAGAGATGACTCTTTCCAGTCGTAGTCTTTGTCCGCTCGAATGCATTGTCTATCCCTTCTAAGTATCGTATCTGTAACACCACATCTGTGTCGCTGGATCGCTCCACGGTTGGGGCTATGAGAGAACGACACCCCTAGGCTTTCCGGTAGCATATCTTCGTCTCGTGCCTCCTGCAGAGGACCATCTGCAACGTGCCAGATCTTCCATTCAAGAGACTGGCTTCTTGCATCTGACCAGCTCTTTTGATCCGCACAGCCTCGAAGGTGGAGAGTGCTTCTAGGATCTCTGAGCGTGAGCCAATCTTTGACAAAGCCTGCGCCAAAGCCACACCGTCTTCCACTTCCATCGCGGTGCCTAGCAATTGCTCGTAGGTATTGAACCAAGATACGAGGAAAGTATATCGGATGCTTGAAATGTACCTTGCCACATGTATGGCTTGGGTCTGCCGAACTTCCGACTCACGGTATACGTATCAGCGTCATGCGGATTCTGGGGAGTGTTTGTACCTGTATCGCTTTGATGACAAATCGATGATTGAAGCTCTTGGGTGTCATCGCTGAGAGGATACAGACCCAAATGGACGTCCATATTTTGAGGATTGGAACTCTGAGAAACAGCATTGTTTTTGCTTGAGGACAGCAGCTTGAAGTTGCCCGGCGTGTGTGTGTCCTAGTTGGAATGGCAAGGGTCTATTCCGATGTACTCTCTCTTAGACCTAGAATACAGCTAAATTACGGTCAGATTGACTGTCCTGGTATCATGGCTGGTGAACTAGCAAGGCCAGGGACATTCTCTCCATCGATATTGGCTTACTCCTTTGGCGCCTCCAATGGCTTTCCCCGCATTATCTATCCCCAGTTCCCACCAGTGCGCTCCTGTTATCTGATCTTCCATCACTCTTCTGTTGCCCACCTATTTTTATCGAATTGGAAGTTCTTTTATTATCTTCAACTATTCGTACTGGGAAGAGTGGACAGCCAGCCTACGGCTCTCTGTGAATTGTGTTGTGTCAAACAACAGACGGCCTATTTCAATGACGAAATCAACGGCTGAAAGATCGACATTCCTGTACTGACAGCCACGCAATCTCATAAGCAAGCCGATTGTATCCACAGCTAGCCTTGACGTGCTGAATTCCCATACTGATATATTCTAAATTCCCTATCTGCTTGCAATCGACTTTGCTGCCAATCTGGCCCGGTCTTTGAGAACCTGAGAACTCCACGCAGCAGGACATCGTCTACGGAATGCGTCTCTATTATGGTATTACACCTTTGCTTGTCACCTTCCTCTGCACCATTGTGTCTTCGCTCTATACGAGCCAACGGGGACGCGTCATTCATCAGCCAGCTCTGCCTCCCTCATACCCGCTGGCAGTAAGAAATCCGTATCTTTCAGCATGGATGCCGAGCGACCGGGTACAGATGTTACCATTCGCCGAGCCACAGTTCTGGGCCGGCCAGGAGCTTGGCTGGTCCGTCCTGGTGCGTGTTGACGGTCAGACGTATAGTTTAATGGGCGTGAAGGACCCCGGTAATGACGTCCAGCCGGCGGTTATGTATGGCGCGGAATATACAGCAACTCATTCGGTGTTTACTGCCAGTGCTGGAACGGTGATGGTCACGCTTGATTTCTTCTCGCCGGTGTCGCCGTTGAATTATCTCCGGCAGTCTCTTCCTTTTAGTGGGTGTGTTTTGTGCGATCGCTGGAGGGGAGCTAATGTGTTGTCATAGGTTATCTGACAGTGTCTGTTTCTGGGACTTATGCGAATAGCGTTCAGGTATTTTCGAGTGTTGATGGAAGATGGACGGGTGAGTCTGAAGGGACTGTCTGCGATTTTAATAAAGCAGGATCTACGGCAATGTTTTCATTGAAAGTCGAGAATGCTACGCTGTACTCCGAAAGTAGTGATATGGCTACGTGGGGAGAGGCAATATTTGCATCGCAACCAACAGCTTCCTCAAGGCTTTCCTTTGCATCAGGCAATGGAGCCCAAGTGCGGTCACAGTTCGTCAAAACCGGCAGGCTGGCTGCAGGCGGCCAGCAATGCAAGTCTAGGGACATCGTGGCACTCTCTCATGACCTTGGGGTTGCGACTGGTGACTGGGCAGTCACTTTTGCCATTGGATATGTGCGGGAAAAGGCAATCAACTACCTTGGAAATGCATACACGGGGTATTATAGGGCAGAGTATCCCAATACATACCAAGCGGTCACATACTTTTTGGATGACTATTCAGATGCCCTCAGTGAGTCCCTAGTACTCGACCGGAAATTGTCTACCGCAGCAAAATCGGTCGCGGGACAAAAATACGCGGACATCGTCACACTGTCAACTCGGCAAGCGTACGGAGGAATCGATCTGACAATTCCAAACGATACTCTCGATACCAGCGAAGTGTTAGCCTTCATCAAGGAGCTCTCTAGCGATGGGAATGTCAACACAGTGGATGTCATCATGCCTGCATTTCCCATATATTGGGTTATGGATCCGGACTATATCCGACTACTGTTAGAGCCGATGATGAGATATCTCGCAGCAGGACGCTGGCACAAACCGTATGTAATCCACGATATGGGCAGCCATTATCCCAACGCCGTCGGACACGATGATCAACAGGCGGAACCGATGCCCATCGAGGAGTGCGGCAACCTCATGATTCTTACCCTGGCCTATGTGCGCGCGACTGGCGATGAGGCATGGGCAGCCCAGTATTTCGACATCCTCAGAGGATATGCCGACTATCTGGTTGAAAATAGCATCGACATCGCTGAGCAGCTTTCCTCAAACGATGCTGCTGGTCCGCTGGCGAATGAAACCAACCTCGCCATAAAAGCAGCGGTTGGTCTCAAAGCATTCGGAGAACTAACAGGATTGACCGAATATTCCAACATTGCAGAGGCACGAGCCGACCTATTCTTCACCCAAGGACTGGGGACAGATGAGCAAAAGACTCATTTCGTGCTGCAGTACCCCGACAAGCCATCCTCGTGGAAGACGCCGTATAACCTCTACCCAGATGTGTTGTTGAGCCTTGGAACCTTCCCAAAGGAAGTTCACCAGATGAGCAGTGCATTCTTCAAGTCAGTAAGAGCTGAATACGGAGTCCCTCTGGACAGCCGGCAAGACTGGGCCAAGTCGGACTGGAACATGTGGCTGGCAGGCACACTTGATAACAGCACCCGCAGCGAATTTGTGGATGACCTGTGGGCATTCATGACCAATGGCAAGCATAATTGGCCATTCTCGGATAGATATATCGCGAGCTCAGAGAAAGGTAACACGCCTGGGGTTCCAGTGCTGTGTCGAGCGCGCCCAACAGTGGGTGGGCATTTTGCCTTGCTGGCACTAGAGGGACCTAAATCCCTTCAGGTCGGGCTACCAGAGCTGGAGGAAAGCTCCAGCCTGAGTGAGCAAGACAGCCAGCAGGTTCTGGGAGAAGAAAGGCAAGAGCTGTGACGTTGAGCGGACCAGGTGTTGGACGACTTGTGGGCTTAACATGGACATTTGGCCTCCTATTAGACTATTTTTGGTGACTTCGATCTATTTTCTCCTTTTTCCTCTGCTTTTCTTTCTTGAAGATGCATCCGAAGCATCCTGAAACCAGGTGCAGTGAATGGACTGAGCAGCAGGAAAAGGCGGTGGTAGAATGGCTGAATAGGACACCCAGCCACCAGAAAAGAAACACAGACTGAACGAAACAAATCAATTTGTCTCCAGCACACTGCCTTCAATCTCCTGAGGAGACTTAGGGTAATAATCCGTGCAGTAGCAGCGTAACACCGTCTTTATATGTGGACCAACTGCTGAATCCCTTGCGGCGCGCTGGCCCCTGCGATGGCGCTTACATAAGCGGGGTGACGGCGGGCTTTCTTTTCGGGGCGAAACCAACGAGCAACAGGAACAGACTCAACTTGCCCAACTCCAGCATCCCCAAACGAACCACCGGCCTGCTTTTTTTTCTCTTCCTCCTCCTTCATCTTCTCTTCGTCCTTGTCGAGCACCGTTGATCTTTTTCTTCGTACCTTCATTCCTTCATTTGATTCCCACCCATGGCTTCTGTAAGTTCTCCCGACCTCCCCACGCCGTGCTTCTCTCCCCCCGTCTTGCTTTCCCTGTCTAGCTTATCCAGCTCCTCACTGCAAGAGCTACGCGTTCAATAGGGCGCTCGCATGCAATCGCTGTCAAGATCTCAAGCTAACGAGTTTGTCCTACTGTTTTTTTCTAGCCCCGTCCTCCACACAACTTTGCTCCCCAAGGCTATTCTCTACCGAACGGTGCTGCGGCTGCCGCTGGTCCTGTCCCTGGCGCCGCCCCTCTTCTTCCCAACAATGGCCGGGTGATTCAAAACGGCCCCGTCAGAGTGTTGTGTATCGCAGATGTCAGAGGTAGGTCGCATGAAGGAGCTTCAGCTTCAGTTGCAGACAACGTCGCTGAAGATCAAGCACTGACGTACATCTTGCGCAGGAAATCTGAAGTCTTTGAATGAGCTGGCCAAGCAGGCCCGTGCTGACCATATCATTCACACCGGCGACTTTGGCTTCTACGATGATACCTCTCTTGAGCGGATTGCAGACAAGTGAGTTGGGCTCTTCGTTTTGTCCACGACTTTTTGACGTCAGGCATAATCCTAATTTGGTACGAAAACGCACTACAGGACTCTCAAGCATGTGGCGCAATACTCTCCATTGCTGCCCGAAAGTGTAAAGCGCACGATCGCCCAGACTCCTCCTCAGCAGTCTATCAAGCAACGATTCACTCCCGATCAACTCCCCCTTTCCGAACTTCCAATGCTGCTCGACAAGCGGCTCACACTCGATGTTCCCGTATACACCGTTTGGGGTGCATGTGAGGACGTGCGGGTGCTGGAGAAATTCCGCTCAGGGGAATACAAGGTCAACAATCTGCACATCATTGATGAGGCTAACTCGCGGTTGCTTGATATCGGCGGTGTGAAGCTTCGTCTGCTTGGCCTGGGAGGTGCGGTTGTCATGCACAAGCTGTTTGACAATGGCGAGGGCAAGACCACGATTGCTGGTGGCCAGGGCACCATGTGGACCACTCTGCTTCAAATGGGTGAGCTGATCGATACAGCCAACCGCGTATACGACCCGTCGGAGACCCGCATTTTCGTCACTCACGCCTCGCCTGCTCGAGAAGGGATGCTGAACCAGCTGTCCGTGACTCTCAAGGCCGACTTCTCCATTTCAGCTGGTCTTCACTTCCGCTATGGTTCCTCCTACAACGAGTTCTCCGTCAATCCCTCTCTGGACCACTACCGCGGTAAACTCGCCGCTTCCAAGGCCTCTTTCAACGATGTTTGGGAGACTGTCCGCGGTGAGGTCGAAGCCGCTATCTCCTCCAACGAAGCTCAGAAGACCCTCTTGGACAATGCTCTCGACGTTGTTCAGAGAATGCCTACTGTCGCCAATGGTGGAAATCCGTTCGGTGGCCCCACCGCCCCGGGCAACGCCGCGGGCCAAGTCGATGAGAGCGCCTTCAAGAACATGTGGAACTTCAACCTTGCAGACGCTGCATTTGGCTTCCTCGTCCTTGAGATTGAGGGTGGTCGCATTGCGACGGAGATGCGCGCTCAGGGCTTCAACTTTGCTCACCGTACTGGAAAGCCTCAAGTTGCTGCCGGACAGGCAGTAGCCAGTGGTCTTCCAGATTCTCCAGCAACTACCACCCGTATCCCTAGCGTTACTCCTCCCCAGTTCGGCCAAGCCCCTCCTGCGCCCACTCGGGCTGCGGCGCCCGCCCAGCAGCAAACTCAAGCAAAGGGTCCTGCTGCGGGCCCCACTCGCGCATCCCCCGTCTCCGTCATTCCTAAGCCTGCCACTCCACAGCCCTCTGGCGCTGCACCTCAACCCAGTGCTGCTTCGCCGGACAAGGCGGCTACCGTCGAGTCCAACGGCACTGCCCAGCCAGAGAAGCCCTCGGAATCTCCTTTGCCCAGAGGTGAGAAAAGGCAGAGCAACGGACTATTTGTCTCCAATGTCGATAACGAACAGGCGGTTCGCGATTTGTTCCCCGAGGAGGATAAAACAAAGATCCTCAAAGTCGAAAAATGGGGCAAGTACAATCATGTTGTGACCTTCGCGACTGTTGAGGAAGCCAAGGCCGCGCTTGACCGTCAGCCAGCCGAACATAAGAAGCCCAGCGCGCCTGGTCAACCTCGCAAACCTAATCTGAAATTCTTCGAGGATCGCGGCTCCCACCGTGGTAATGCCGGCACCTGGCAAGCCAGCAACAGAGGCACCAACGCATCCCAGCGTGGATACCAGAGCGGGGGTGCTAGTGACAGCGAGGGAGGCCGAGGACGTGGTGGTTTCAGCGGACGCGGACGTGGCCGTGGCACCGACCGCGGTGGACGTGGTGGAAGAGGTGGCCGTGGCGGCTTCAGCAAGGGAGGCGCCTCGGACTCTCCTACGGTCTCGACATCGACACCCTCCAGTGAAAAGCCCGCTCCCTCTGGCGGAGAGTCCTGAGCAATGTGTCATTTCCGCCTTTGCCTGTTCTTCTGTGTTATTTCCTTGCCACCTTTCAATTTCCCCGGCACGTTGTGTTCAATTAGTCTCTCATGGTTGTTAATTTCTTCTCTTGTGATATTTGCAAAGCCTTTATTTTCTTCCTTCTCCTTTCAACTTCTTTTCTTCGCTTATTTCTTCGTTTCTGAGCGAGATGCACATGGACATTTCTTACACTCTAGTAGAAGACCTTATCATCGGTCCCCTTCGACTGGCTAGTATGGGAAGTTGTTGGTGCAGAAGGTGTCCCATCGCAAGAAAGGGGAAGCTGCCGACTTGGGTGCGGATGACGATTGGGAAAGAAGAGAGACGAAGGAAACAATTAAAAACCAAAACCAATAACAAAAACAGCAGACAGGAAAGGGCACCGACAGCGACCTTTTGTGTATTCTAAGTCTTTCCTGGTACGCACCAATATCGATACCCTTGTAGCTTCAGTCTCCTGATTTTTTCCTATATATGCAATTGTGTAGCACATGAGTTTGTCTGTGCAGTCACGCAGGTTAGAGTAGATCGATTGGCTTGTATTTCAGGATTTGCCAGGAGTACTCAATATGCATTCCTCGTGTATTACTGCTATGAACAGAACAAGTCATATAAAGCTGAGATACTCGCAGCTTGGGGCTGTACAAAGCAACAAGAGCTGAGCAACAAGCAGTGACACTAGTTACGGTTCAATCCCCCCCGCATTAAGAAGCATGAATCCGAAGCTCCAGTCCAGAAAAAAAAACTCAGAATACTCCCGATCCCGATGTGATTGAGTGGCCGACAGAAGTGAGGGTTGTTGCTGATGTACAGTCTTTCCAAACCAAGGCCCCAGTAATGATTCCCGACTCCGTGCCTCCAGTTCGCCATTGAACGGGGTTAGGAAAATTTTCATAATGAAAGAAAGTTGATAAAGGGAAACACCGGAAGGAGAAATAGCTGCCGTAGGGAAGCGAAGGGGGTCAAAGTAACAACGATTACTCAAGATTGGTAAAGTATTTAGAATGAGCCCCCCATGAAACCCACCCAAACTTTCTTTTAAATCCTAAAATATTGTTCGTGATAACATCAATTGCAGCGTCGTTTAATATGGGTATCTGTCTCCGGATTCGCCAAAGGATGTGCATATAGTTGGCCGGAAATTGTACAAGATGTCGACTGTCTTCACCGTCGTATCAACTTCACTCATAGGCCGTCTATTTAACACGACCCATGATGTCCTCGACATCTTTCTGATTGACGACTACGCCGCCTTCAGAGCATCTGGCTTTGGTGCGCAATTCTGAACAGAGATTGTCCACGTCGATCTCGCCATTGCGGAATTTCTCCATGGATTGCAGGCGATCCCTACGGCAAAATTAGTTAGCAAGAGATTAAAGGCGGGTGGTAACGGATCAAAATGAGCATACCATATCTTATTGCAGGTGAGCATTTGCGACTGGTCCTCGCCAGGCACCACCTCCTCATCTTCGTCCAGTTTACTGTCGATTTCAGCGATAAGATCCTTCTTTGGCGCCACTGGTTGCTTTGTCGCCTCGCTAAGATTGTGGGATGGGCTTCCCAGATCGGGGAGAGGGAATGCATCGTCGAAAAATGTACCAAATTCTTGGGACAAGATAGCATCTTGCGGCTCACGCCAGTCACCGAACAGCACAGGATCGAATTGACCTCCATTCTGTTGGGCCAGAAGATCCAAACCAAGTGCCTGGTCTGAATTGGTGGCATGGCTAGGGGTGTTCGACGCGCTTTCGCTATTTTGTCTCGCAGCTGGAATGGGATTATTGATGTTGCCACATGCCATACCAAGTTGAGCGCAGAAGGATTCCTCACCGTTGATGGTGGTATAGGTGCATGTATGCGGAGTGCTACTCTCGGTCGCCTTTACGGCAGGCGAGTGCAAAGATGGCTCAGGTGAGGTTCCATTGGAAGAGAGCAACTGGCTATGGTGCGAATCTGAAGAGGATGATGGAGAGTCTGAGCTAGGGGTATCATGGGTTGCATGCTTCGTATTCGCGTTGTACGAGGAATTGACCTGGCGCGCATAGCCCCTGGTAGCTGCATTGTTATCATTGGCCCCGTTCAATGTACCAGAGATGGGTCGTGTAGACGGTTGCGAGTTTGGTGTAGACTTGACGGGTGGTGGTCCATTGGGAAGACCGTTGGGACCTGAGCTGTTCAGAGCGTGGCGGTTGAGGACACCGGGAACGTGAGCTTCGCTGCGTGGCGCTGCTATCTGGTTGTCCTTCGCCTTGTCCTGACTCGACTTGCTTGCTTGCGCATTGGTGAACAAGTGCGAACCAGGTAGATCTCCGAACTTGGGAAAGTCGAACATGAAATCATTATTGTTCAGGCCATACATGCCTTTGGAGTATGCACCTGGGATGGCATTAACAGGAGAGAGGCCGCTGCCGCTCGTTACCCAGGAAAGACGCTTGCGATACTCCTTGAGCTCTACTTGCAGACGCTCCACCTGAGCGCGCAGAAATCCGTTCTCCTGATTGGCATTATCAGAGGCTTTCTGTAGCTCCTCCACCTTGGTCTCCAGATCCTTCAGGTGCTTTTCTTTGCGCTCACGGAAGGCCCGCTGAGCTGCGCGATTCTGAGCCTTGCGCTTCTGTCGAAAATGTTAGCCCCCGCAAAAGTCAAATCATTTACGTAATGACCTGCAAGGAAGAAAAAGGATCACAAGAAACATACCGAGGTAGGTTCCGAGGTCAGCGGCTTTCTACCAGGCTTCTTGGCTGCTTTCTCGTCGCTCTCCCTTCGCTTCTTGCCCGACTCATCCTTCTCATTTTCCTGTCCATCGATATCTTTTCTCTTATCACCAGGTTCATACTCTTCAGTCGAAGGCAGGCTCGGAGGTAGATCACCGATCAAACTCTCATTGCCCAGAAAGTCAAGGTCGAAGTCGGGATTCAAATCCAGGTAAGGGCTATCTTCGTAGCCGAAAGTAGTTGACTGATTCACCGAGCCGTCCAAACCACTGGGGGGAGAGACACTGAAGCTGCCAGACGAAGCATGGCCGGGTGTGTGATTGAGCTTCTGATTAGCTTCGGAGTTGTCCGTTATTGTGAGTTGTTTCTGAGTCTGATTGTTTGATGAAAGAGCCGCGAGGAGGAGGTCCTGTTGATCGGGGGAGAGATAAAGGCCTTGTTGATAAAGAGTATTGTAGTCCGCCATGGCAGCTGAGAGGGAAGCGGGGTATCGTTGTGAGTAACGGTAAGATGACCCAGGTTCAATTGAGAGTGATACTTTGACCCGCTGACGGCTTGTTCAAATATAACGCGGTGTTGAGTTCGTTAGCTTGTTGGTGTTTCCTCAACCAGAAAAGGCTCGGGCTTCCCGCCCGTTTATCGATTCGATAGAGAGCACAAGTAATGTGGATGTGAGAGTGCTGGGCTTATGAATGCTGATAGAGTTGGAAAGGCCGCGAAAGCTCTTACAATTCCACCCCGCTTTAACAAGGCATCAATTCCGTTCCCGTAAAGGTAGAAGGGAGTGTGAGAGAACCAGAAAAGACACAGTAAAGTGTATTCCACGCTCTACAAGGGAGTCGAGTGAGATATGAAGATATGAAGGAAAGAATCGGCCCCTGGATGAAATCTGATGAGGAAGAGAGAAGTAGCGAAAGGGTAAGGAAAGGTGATGAAATTAGGACAAGAGGTTGCAGGAGCCAAGAGCTTATGCCAGAAAGTGTGGCCTAGTGGCCTAGTGTCAGATAGAAGGATGTCGTATAAGGTGGAATGGCGCGGCCACAGGTCTATCGAGCGGTACCGCTTGATAGCTGGCGATGAGGGGCTGCCGAAAGAGGCAAATCAGGGTCCGATTGAGAGTAGGTCGTCGGATACGAATGATTGATTTCAGGCCAGGAAGAGGAGATGGAGAGATTCGAAGTGGGAATTGAGACAGGGGATTCTGATGATGAGGGTAGGTGTAGTGAGAAAGATGTGGCTGAGAGGGGAGGGTGGTACGAGGATGAAACCGAAGCCCATCTTTTCCACTTTCCAGGATGGGGGGGCGGCGATGGAACGGCTTCACAAGACAATCAATCAAAGCCTTAGGCCAGTCTTACTGTGGGTGCTTCCAAAGGACGATGGGAGGCAAACGGGCACAAAAGGCGGCGTCAGCTATTGACAGTCCTTATTGGTTGGACGATGGAAAGTTGGTGGACGGGAGCCAATGGGTCTGTCTGTTTTCTCCCGCTGCTTTAGAGCGGAAAAACTGAGTGACTCGATGCTTAGAAATCAGGCCAGGCCGGATATTGATTCTCTCCGCGCCGATGGAGTTCCACGCGCCATTTTATTTAGTTCCAGCCCGCTAGTCCAGTTGATAGTCCATAGAAATGCTCAATCAGAGGCTGTTTGGCTATTTTCCGCGATGGTGTTCCTCACCTGCGTCCGCTCTTTCTACCAGGGAGGCTTAACTTACTTGCTTAGCTAATAATTAATCTATTAGGGATGACTCATAGACTCGTAGTCCAGGCATCGGGAGTGGACGTATTCCCAGTTTCCCACCGCATTGCATATACTACTGCACCAAAAGTACCTTATTTGTGACGATCCCAACGTTCCGACTGTCGGTGACTCGGTGTAGTGGCTGAGGTCTGAAGCCATCACATCAAGCAGGTGCAGAGTAAGATCGACCTTTGCCAGGGAGAAGGCAATATCTCGATCTCCAGCTATTCCAGAACACTGGAGAGAGTCATCAGAGAATCCGGGCTTTGCGGTCTCTAGTACCTTACTCTTCTCACAGATGTCCATAGATCGATCCCATGGTTCACTGCCTCGTATTTGAGTCCCAATTAAGATTTCAGTGGCAATTGAAATTGGGTTGGCGGGTACGGAGTAGTGCTATCTAGGACTTGACCACCAGGCAGGGAAAAGACTAGATGCTGTACTCCGTAGGCCTCATCTACTCCAAAACTGGGCTTGTCCTTGACAGTCTTGCTACGTTAGTTTCTCCTTTGTCTTTTTCCC